TTTCAGTCCCTCTTGGAATACATCGCAGAGGGTTTCCTCAAATTTTCCTCTGGCTGTCAGGACTATGTCATCCGCATATCCCTGACATTTTATTCCTGAGCGGTCCAGGGTTTCGAGCAGTTCATCAACTGTTAGGCTCCATAGAAGAGGTGATAATATCCCTCCTTGAGGACATCCTTTTGTTGTGCTAATTTCTATAGTGTCTGTTCCTACATTTTCACAGTTTCAGCCATTCTGGTTCTTAGCAGTTCTCCAATCCATCTAAATGTTTGGCCTACATGTTTTTCCCCAGGGAGGCTTCCATTGATACATGAGATGCATTGTCGAAAGCTCCCTCAATATTGAGAAACGCGCAGATTGCTATTTCCTTTGTTTCCATTGTTTCCTTTAGGTCACTGGTAAGTTGGTACAGTGCAGTTTGTGTTGACCTTCCTGCTCTGTATGCATGCTGACAGTAATGGAGAGGCTTGTTTACCAGCGCTGTCGTTCTTATATAGTTGTCTATCAGCTTTTCAAGGGTCTTTAATAGAAAGGATGTTAAGCTGATTGGTCTGTAGGATTTAGGTGATGTAGGGTCTTTTTTCCCCACTTTTGGTATAAAAACCACCCTTGCCATACAATCTGTGGTATGTAACCTAGTGCTAAACTACTTCTATATAATCGTAGCAATATTGGAGTGATTATATCCATTCCTTTTTGTAGCAGGATAGGAAAGATTCCATCCGTTCCTGGTGCTTTGTATGGGCTGAAAGTGTTAATCGCCCAGAGGATTTTCTTCGCTGTGATTATTTCAGCTGCTTTCTTCCAATTTTCTTTCTTGGGATTATTTGCTCTCACATTTTCTGGGTAAATGTCATAGGTACTACCTGGAAAATGTGTACTTAGAAGGAGCATTGCTTTTTGTTGCATGTCTTCTGTGTATTTGCCTTCTGCATTTCTTAAGGCAGTGTTTATGTCTGATCTGTCCTTTGCTAGTGCCTTGTGCAATCTAGCTGCGGATACTGTGGAGATTTCTCCGCAGAATTTGCGAAAATTCTCTCTTTTCGCCCTGCGGATGGCATGGTTATATGAAGTGAGTAACCTTTTATATTCTCCCCAGTTACTTCCTAGTCTAGCCTTGTTAAACGCTTTCCTGGTTTATTTTCTTAATTTGCCCAGTTCTGCATTCCACCAAGGTGGTTCTTGTCTACTTTTTGGGACCTTTACAGGGCAGCTTGTTTCATATGCATCAATTTTATTCCCTGTAAGTTCCCTAACTGCAAGTTCCAATTCATTGCAGGTCTTCGGTACTCTTTTCACTGTTGCATGGTTTAAACTGTGTGTTACCATCTCAGTGAACCTTGCCCAATTTGTGTTCCAGGGGTTTCTGAACGATGTAGGGTCTGTCCTATCTGATTCGATGTCGAACCTTATTATTTATTCTGTGGTCCAACATCGACTCTTCACTTGAAACCCTCCAATTTTTTATCACTTTATGTAGGGCTTGGCTGCAAGTGGTGATATCCAGTACTTCTTGTCTCACTTTGGTGACAAAGGTAGGGATTGATCCTATATTAAGTATATCTTATTTTTCCTTCACCAAAAATTCTATGAGTGCTTCACCTCTTTTGTTATTGTTGGTGCTTCCCCAAATTTGATGATGTGCATTGGCATCACATCCCACCAGCAAGGGGAGATTCTTCTTGCTGCAGTGGCTGGCTAGACTTCGTAGCTCATCAGGGGGAGGGTGTTCCTCTTCTCCTGGGAAGTATGCCGATGCTACTACTGCTTCTTTTCTCTTCCCATCGATTGGTATCTCTACCTTGATGGGAACTAAGTCTCCAGTCATGAATTCTGAAAGATGATGAATGATTGTTAATGAATCATTGTTAATTAATCTGTGAGTTGTTTGATGATTAACCACATTTTACCATAATTTTTTGGGTATCTATTTTATCTGCATAATTAGGTCAGTTGTGTTTTGAATTGAACCATTCTCACAGGCCATGAATTTCTGCTTCGGCACTTAAATTGTGGCATTCAATACTACAACAAAAGATGCAAGGTTTATGGTGCAAACAGTAAAATTCTTTTTTCCTCTTCTTGTTTTGATATTATTCTCCTCCTATATCCTAGTTTGTTTTTTCTATTCTCCTCTACTTCAACAACCCTTTTTTTATGTCTTTCTGAGGAGAATTTACCCAATGTAGATGATATTATTGTTATTACATTGAAATTTATTGAGTTATATGAGAATATGAAAATTGTTTGTGAAATGTATTAACAAAATATTTAAAAAATGACATAATTTTGTGCAGTGCATGTAATGCTTATGACTAGGAGCTATGTACTGCTATTTGGGGTAGGAACATTAAAACACTTAAATAAGAGAAAAGAAAGTTTTCTTCTTAACTCGTCCTTAATACAGGAACATATATGATCCCAAAAACATTCGTACAAGGAGAAGCCAGGAAAAACTCATTTAGGCTTCAGAAACAATCAGATTGGATGGGAACTAAACAATACAGGCACACAACCATAATAATTAAAATCAGACACCCATTCTTAGAAATGGAGACTGACTACATGATCCCAGAAACGTTATATATAACAGCTTATAAAGTCTCAACAGGCTATATAGGAGGCAAAGAACTTAGGAGAGTGTCAGATACAATATGACATACAAATGATTCCAAAACAAACAAAGGAACCAGATCAGGTGTTTTTTGTACAATCCCAAAATATGAGCATCAAATTCATCAGGGAAGTACACTTCGGTCTTTCAAACAGAAACACATGCATTACTGCTGGTGTCCTAGAAAATCTTAAAAGAGGTTACACTGGCAAAAAAAATCCTTATAAGATCGGATAGTCAAGCAACTAATAAAGCATTAGCGTGTAAAACAATCACATCAAAACTAGTCAGTGAATGCATCCAAAATCTCCAAAACCTAGAGAAAATAATATGATGGTATTTTGTGTTCCAGGACACAAAGGAATTATGGGTAACAAAAAGTAAACATATTGGCCAGAGGAACATATTAAGGCCCTGAACCTATACTTGGGTACTTGAGATAACAGAAACAAATAGAGAATCTGCTCCATCACAGAATGGATAAAAATAAATAAAAAAGAAAGAGAGAAGTGGATAAACTCTATGGGCACTAGACACAGAAAAATTATGGTAAAAACCCTCACCAAGACTGACAAACTCACTGCTGCAAATGGAGAGTGCCAGACTCAGAGGAGTGATAGGACTATTAACCAGACAGAAAACATCTACTTAACATGGGCATATATAATGATGATTCTATTTGCAGATAAAGTATGAGGCAAGAAACAGCCACCCATATCATCTTCGAATGCGAAGCAATGGCTCAATGGAGACATAACCTAGCATATAGAAGAAAAAAACCTACAGAATATTTTATAAGCTCTATACCTTCATGTACCGGAGCCAACTTTAAAGTAAATGTATGCTTTTCTAAAGCATTGGAAATTCCCAGACTAGAGATGATGCTGGGTCAAAGTGAGTTTGTGAACTCATGCTGAAGCGAAATAGGGTCACTTATTGGGTCCGTCTCCACTCACGGGTTTGTTGACCTTGTCAAACCCGTCTATGCCAGTATAGCATGATTACCGGACTAATTGAGAGCTGAAAGCAAACGTATTTAGTGTCTGAAAATCCAAAGGTATGAATCTGTACAACTTTTATACTATTCTATATCAGTCACACACACACACACAGAGTTGGATTGTTGAACCTCAGGCTTGAAAGTTTCTTTGCTAGGGTATAGTTCGGCCCTTTTACCTCTACACCCAGTTCCATATTTGTACCATATTAGGGCCCCTTTCCTGTTATCTATGACCACTTGGAATGGTCTGTCAAAGTTGAATTTTCTTCTTATTTTGTACCATTATAGCTATCTTGTAGCGGTTTACGTGAGTAAGTAATAGATGTAATCCAATAATAAGAAAGTTTATATTTTTAAATTAATGCAATCCAATAATACGGTACCGAATAAATCGGAAGATGACCATCGAGATTCAAGGTGGATTGATGATTTCTTGGAGACAGATATGATTACAGTGGTGTGTTGAGCAGCACCTGATACTTCTGAGAAGAAGGATTGACTCAATTGTACTGAACGAAGGAACTAGGAAGGTATAATTAACCAGAAGGCCACAATGCCTGGGGAACACACACCCTGCATCTTAGTGTCCATCATCATCTTCATCAACCCTGGAACATTAAACCAGTGAAAGAAGAGAGAAAGCAGGTAGTCATTTTCTAACTGAGCATCTTCATAAAATTTATGATTCCCACTCATGGAAATATATTGAATCGTGGATGTAACCTAACACATCCCTAACCCTAACCTTTCCTAACTCCAAACACGACAAGAAGGAGTACTGTTATATCTGCAAAGGGGATCATTTGGAGGACACTAACAAAACTGAAAGAAGTGAGAAAGCAGGAAAAGATATTTTAACATGGAATATGCGTAGTAAAACTCGAGTTTCACACTCACATATCTCTACGTAACCTAACCTGCCTTTAACCCTATCCCTAACTAACCTAACCTCAAACAAGAAAATGAGGAGGACAGGAATTGGCGCAGTGCTTATGAGCTATTTACTGCTGTTGGGGGAGGCAACATGTTGCATTAAAACAGTGAATGAAGGGAGACATTATTCCAACTGAGCATCTTTGTAGATAAAACTCGAGCTTCCGACTGACACATTTTTGTGTAACCTGCTCCGACCCTAACTCTAACCCTAACTAACCTGACCATTCCAAACTGAACTTGGAATTTGTGCACTCAAATGTGTGAAACCGACCCAAAAGCCTATCCATGTTTCTAATATGAGAAGTACGGTGTTTTGGAAGAGAGATGAAAAACAGTGACGTCAGATGTCAACGACGTCCTGGGTTGCGTGATGGCATCGATCTCTTCCCAGTGCCGAGAGACATGAATCGATGCCTAGGCGGGTGTCGATCGATGTTTTTGATACGGTTAGGTTGTTCTTCCTTTCCCCGAGTTATTCGGATTTTCGGTCTCGACTCTCCACTTGGGTGTTGTCTTTGACTGGAAAAGTAGTCGATCACGATGGCGACCGTCTCTCTTGGCCCCAAGAGCAACAGATAGTTTTCGACATTCGACACAAACTACGTGATGTCTCGGTTGGCCGATTATTTCGTTATTGTCGGATATGATCACAAAAATGAAAGTGAGTAACTTTTTTTATGTTGGAAACGTTTTTATTTTTTTTTGTTAGGTTAGCGTATTTGTTTTTTGACTTGTTGGGACGATTTGTTCCTGGCGATTTGTGCCGGATTACGGTCTGGACGGGATTTTTCCCTCGGGTCCGCCCGTCCTCGTCCTTCATCGATCTCGGAGGAATTTTCACACTTTCCGCGTCGGGAAATTTCCGACTTCTTTTTAGGCCTCTGTTTCATTCCACAGATCAGTTTCCATTTTCACCGAATATTTTCAATTCGAAGGCAAACTATTGCCATTCTCTAAACCGTTTTTAATTCGGCCCAACGTTTTTATTTTCTTCTCTTACTGGAACTCTGGACTTTGATAACAACAAGATTTTATCTGTCAACCCACGGCTACTGATTATAAACCACTATATAAAGTTAAATATTAATATACAGCCCTATTAAATTCAATTTCTCTACTTTAAACTTAATGTTCAAAATCAAACGACTCGAGACAAAGAAATCATCTCTCATCGTATTGAAGGATCATTAACATCAACCCTGTGTCATGAAGTATACAACATTGGATAAATGCAGATTTCTTCGTTTGTTTTCAATATTTCCTGATTGACTGATGAGCGCTGCTGAAAAAGGCAAATTTAAACAATTGTTTACATCGTTACAGCAATTAGAACCATGGCTGACAAAAATGTGAGGCCCAATTTAACAAAAAAAAACATTTAAAGACGTCCTGTTTAATGTTCAGTAGACTCTCGTTATCCACGGGGGATACGGTCACAACGGATAATAGAAAACATCTCGAATATCAGGCTTCAAAGCATTTTCTTCCATCTGCATACCAGTCAGACACGTCTATCGTCAGTGTTAAGTATTCAATAAGAATTCAGTTACACTCAGTCATTTTTCAGTGATTCACTAAGTTCCCACACCTCCCTAGAACTCAACGAGGGAGTCAACCGTGGATGAGAGAAAGCGCAGATAACAAGAGTCTACTGTATATTGCAGCCTCAATATTCATCAGTGTTGTGTATAATAATCAAAAAGTTTTATTAATTTCTCACCCGAGTTTGACGTCAGGTTCCTCATACATCTTTTTTTCTTTTTTTTAGCAGAAAAAGTAGCGACTGAAACTGAATATACTCTGGGTCAAATTATTCGTACAATTTTTTTTTCATTTTCTTCTTTAATTTTATTTAGACTTCTTTGGCAATAAAATAGATAATTAAACAAACGTTTCATCAGCCAATGCCTGAGAATGTGTTATGTGATATGTAAAGAAAGGTTGTTCGATGTGTCCCACCTAATTGAAGGGTGCAACTCCTTGGCTAGGAATGCCATCTGATGTGAGAATTGTGCTTGAGCACGGCAGCGTGTCGTTGGGTCCCATTTTCTCAGTTTTAGATGATTTTTTTGTTTCATTGTATATCGTATTTTGTTTTGTGTTTCATTTTATGTTTATCGTGAAAGTGTAGTGTGAGTGGTCTAAAGAGACATTGATCAGATATACAGTATGTGTGAAGGGTGATGGTGGAACATCGAGTTCCACCACCCTGCGTGATTGGTGTGTAAATAAGAAAGTATGTCTTTAAGAATGAGGGTGTGAGTGCATCAAGCTTTAGAAAATAAACACGATGTTATATGCAATGTTGTTAAATACGATGTTACAATACTTTCTCTATTTACCATTACCACTAAAAATCCATGGGCTATGCTAGCATTCAAACCCGCTCGCCCACCTCAGTCTCAAAAGGAAAACAATTTCTGTTATAAGAACGGCTAAAGAAACGGTTGTTTTATCTCGTTTTGTGTCCACTAGTGTGTGTTTAGAGAGAATGATTAGGGATGGTATGGGAAAATGTATTTATTGGCATAAATGTGTAGTGTGAGAGGGCTGATGGCAAAATATTTAGTACCACATCGACCCTTAATCGGATTAGTTATGTAATGTGTGTAGTAGGTGATGGAGGAATATCGAATACTCCACCCTTAACTGAGTGAATGGTCTTTAAATAAGAAAGTGTTTTGGATGTTGATCGACCTGCAGCAAATTAAGTTTGGGCGATAAGATTTGTTTAGAGGTCATATGGCCTCTAAAGATCTTATCACCCAAACTTAAGAGATAATGTATTTAAGAGTGAATGGGTTTGGTTTTAGAAACTGATTGCGTTGGGGGCTGTTGACACCACCCAGAACCCAACCTCGGCCCTGGACAGATAAGACCAAGATCTGACCCTGGACTGACAACACCCAGGGTGGATGATTCTCAAGGCCTGCCAGAAATTATAATATATATTGGTTTCATGTAATTATAATTCGACTGTACATTTAATTACAAAAATGAGATTTTTGAGTGCCAAACAAGTATTTGTTTGCTTATAACAACAGTTTTTAGTATTGCTGAGCAAGAACCACTGTGAAAGTATAATGTAATATTGTGGCACAAATTTCACCTCCTGTGCCCTGGAATATTTCGTAGATAATGTGGTAGAGCATTTATATACAGGAAAAAGGGCTTTATGGGTTACACCACTGGCTCACGATCAGTTTTATTGCTCAGCTTACAGTCTTCATGTAAGGGAGGAATGTTGTCCACTTAGGTTTACCCTAACTCTGACTATCAACTGGCACCAACTCTTATCTGACAGTCTCTGGTAGGCCATTCTTTACCCTAGATCAGTATTTATAAAAAGAAAAAGCGAACAGAAGTGGTGTTACAAAACAAATCCTTGATTCAACAAGATAACATCCCAAAAAATCCAGCCTGAATAACAAAAGAACTAAGATAACTTACAACGTCTACAACCTTTTACCTCTCCACAGTCAGCCTAGGAAATAAAATAATTCCTCCCATGGATCCAAGTTGCAGAGAGAACATTTATCACGCAGGTTTTATGATCACTGCTTGGTCTGGTGTTAAAATTTATTTAATAATTGTCCTCACAGTTTAAATATTCATTGCACTGCATATAAACTCACCCTTGGTTCTCTATTAACCTTGGTCCTTGGTCCAGCATTCTGTATAAACCAAACTTGTTCGGCATTTTGGCTATTTATTCGAAATAAGCTATTTTCTTGTCCTTTTAACATTTAAAAAAAAATTTAGTATCCATTTTCAAAAGTCTGCCATGGAATGATTTTAGCTGATTTGGGAATCATTCTTTTGAGCTAGAAATGCTTTGTTCGTCCAAGAGTGTGTATGGGTTACAAAAGAAATTTATTATTTTGCCTTTTCGTAGCTGTTTCAACATTAAAAGAAGTAAAAAATGAAAAGTTGGTTTGATACGATCATGTCTATGTGATATGAGGTTTACAGAACACAGAAGTCTACGTTTCAATAAATGAAAGTAAGTTTTAAATTTTCAATTCAATGACATTTCTAAAACTGACAGGATTGAACGAACTGCCAGTTGACCGGAGGGACCTGAGATCTAAAGACATTTAACTGGGTAAGACTGTCCAGTCACTTCAGATTCATATCATCAGCACACATGGAAGATCAGATGAATGTAAAAGAGCAAAGGCGCCATGGATAGGATCGAATTGTTGGATCACTCAAATTCTGACAGGACATTAATTTCATATACTTCCACCAGTTCAAAAAACAGTCCATTCTGTGCAGACTGTAAGACGAACCATGTCAAACACAGGCTCTTTGACTGCAGACAGTTGGAAAACACAAGCATATAAGTCCAAATAAAAACTGTTATTAGGTTAGATTATAGATAGTAGGTATTTGTGGCTTGTTTCTTCTTCACAAGTAGACCAAATAGATTTAATATTTTATTTATTGAAGTAGTAAAATTTTATGTAAAAGGAGTAACCAGCAAATTGAAGACTGACAAGGAAAGTCCTTTTTTTCACCTAATCCCAGTACATCCTATGGCTAGGGAATTTATTTCTACCTGCTCCCACATTGATTACAGTTATTTAGCATAATCTTTTTTATTTTTATTTTTATTTATTTATTTGCTTTTTTTTAATGAAGGTTCGCAACAGCCAAGGTCATATCAATCCTCAATGGTTGGTGTTTTAAAAAAAACAAACATTTATAAGTATATCGGGATCTGGGGCCATTACCTTACAGTGATGCGTGCCTTGTCAATGCCTAAACTGTTGTGGCTACCAACGTCCCCAATTACACATATTTGTTTTTTTTTTTTTACAGCTTCGGTGTTCTGTGGCCATTTACAAGTTATAAATTATATAAAATGTGTTAAACATAATATAGTTTAGTAATGTTCCAGTATGTTAAGATAACATTTATAATAACAGCAGTACTAAGAGCCTCATTCATCAAAATTCATTACTCTCATGAAATTCACAAATCTTTCCGTGAAGTCCGACATAAGGTCAAAGAACAGCAGTGGTCAGTTTTTACCTGCTAAAACTACTTTTCTTATGATGTTGAACCTCACATTATCATAAAACTTTGCATTCATTAAGGATACACTCCCAAGTTTGCAAAATTCTGTTCCAGCAGTTGCGATTATCATTGTCTACAATTTTGAATTTTGTAGGTAAGCTTTGTTTTTCCCATGTCCGCTCAAAACTTGAGTTATCTTATAATATTTTGGGAGATCCACTTTTGTCCTTGCTTTAATCATTGGAAAGAACAATTTGTTATGAGACTCCTTTATTGTTTCAATCCACATTTCCCATTCGGCTATTAACACATCCCATGTCTTTTGCTTGATATATAAAGGTAGAATGTTGAGAAGGATTTCTGGAGCATTTCATCATTAGTGGCTGCTTTCGCTTCTCTGTCAGCCATCCTAATAGATTAAATGTACTCTTTGCATGTTATGATTAATGGAACGTCTGTTGTGTTCTGGCTGATTGGCTGGGACGAGCATCGATGCTCCCCTCAAGAACGCCTGTGAAGCATGGAGCAAAGAGGGTTTGTGGTTACATAGTGCTCAGTGCTTAAGTTCGTCACTTTAACAGCCTTTTTAATTTTTCTTACAGCTGGAATGTTATATATATAATGTTATAAAAACAAAAGTGCTTTTAACCAAATTATGTTTTGTTAACAACTTCATAATGGTTGGTCCTCAACAGCATAAAAAAAATTTATTATGTCAGTGTCTTGTAATGTGCTTGCATATTCTGATCCCTCCTAACATATATTTCCCTGACAATTGTATTCAGGCTAACATAGAAAACACAAGGCCATTAAAAAAATAAATTTATCAATATTGTAATTTAGTATTTTAAAAAATCTGGGATAACGTTAAGAGAATAAAGCAACAATTCCGATATAGAAGGGCGGGTGGTATCATTCAATTATCAACTCAATTTTATCAAATTTATTATGTTTGAAACTTGTAATTCATATTTGTTAACCTTGTAAATTTTTAACTACAGTTTCAAAGTCCTGATGAAGATTATAATTTTTTAGCTATTTCTAGTTTTTAAAAATATATAAGGAAAATTAATTTAAAAAAACCAAAGATGTATTCATTTATTTTGAAATATATGTCATTGAAGGAATGAAACTAAATAAAGACAGTTTTATCTGGGACGGAAAGGTCAGAAGATGAACCGATTTTTATGCATGATAGATTCGATCTCAAAAAAAAAAAAAAAAAAAAAAAAAAAAAAAGACCACAAGCCTCTAAAATAAAATGGGAGAGTACATTCAGTGTTAAAGGGGGTAATCTGCTTGGTTGTCATGCAGGATTTACCTATTTCAATATGGTAAAAATTAACCAACAGTCTGAAATAGTTTCAGAATTCTTCTAACACTTGTCTTAATACTTTGTATCCTTATCTGGTATCAGCTTCATTTTTTGAAGTGTACGTTCAAAATAGGTTTTCTTTTATGGTTTTAGGTTTTAAAGTTGGTTGATATTGAGTGTTATTCCATAGCTTGTTAAATCTTCAGTCTTATATCCAAAAGCAGGTGACTTATTGACTTTCCCATTGACAAGTGGGAAGAAATGTATAAAAATTCACAAAAAGGAAGACAGACCCAACTGTTTCTACCATCAATAAAAAAAAGAGCAAAATTGAACTACCACAGAACCATAAAACTAAACCAAGTAATAACGAGTCATGGTAAACGCAGGGCATATCTGCACTGTTTACACCCAAAGACTCTCCAGCATGCCCTTGTGGCCAGTTGTGCACACACAACATTTTCACACCTTATTTTTATTATGTGTATATATATTAAGGTTAAAAAAAAATGTGTGTGTGTGTAATTTTTAACCACATATTCTAAAAAAGACAGAATATCTATAATCAATCAAACTGTGCTCTGGATGGCTGGTTTCTGAGTGTTGTTGTCAAAAGATTGACTTTTTTGTCAGTTTTCTAATTGAATTGGGCATTTAAAATTAACTTTTTTTACAGTACTATTGTATGTATATGTTTTTACATACAGCATGTTTTTACTGAATAAAAAAAATATTCAGAAATCACCATGCCTCTGTAAAAAAAAACGATATATATTACTAACTAAACATTTTACAGGAGGGGGTCACAGTCAAGGAATCATTTTACAGAGGTTCCCTGAAAAGGATTGGGAAGACACCCCATTTATTGATGGAATTGAATTGGTAAATATTTTGTACTTTTAATGCCATTTAATAAATTAATATTNTATAAAACATTCTATGTTTATATAATAATTTCCTCTCTTACGAGAATATCCCGATGTGAATCTCGTTCCTGAAGCTCTCAAACCTCTCAACCACAAATCTCATTCATGCCAGTTGAGCTTCTTTCCTGTGAAGTCCAGATCCTTAAAAATCTCCTTTAAAACATTTCCATCCTAGACACAAAGTCATTCCTTCTCACAGAATTAGCTTCCCATCAAGCATCCTCTGTAAACTTAAACTCCCAGATCATATTAAACACTATCAGCATGGAGACTTATCGGCTGTAGGCTACCTGAGTTTGACCCCATTCGATGATTCGTTGGCCTGGCCTGGCCTGGCTCCATGTGTCGTCTGTCTGTATGCCGTACAGCTGTCTTGACTGTACTTTAAAGAATTAGAGCATTTTTTTATTCATGAATTCTCTAGTTCTCAGTATGGTTTAGATAAAAAAACAAATTCAATTGTTATCTGCCAAGCTTTCAACCTATTTTAAGATCATCAGATCAAAACTCTTAAATATTCTACAAATTGGCAAAATTAAGGTTTTTTTAAATAATGGTTTCTATTTCTTTAAATGTAGACTCAGTCCCAACATTGCCAAGGACTGTAACACTATTGCAATACTACACACAACATTGGTTGTAATAATAGTTTTTTTTCCATTTTAAACATTTTCCTCTTTCTTCCACATCTAATAGGATAACATTTGGTCCTGCTGATCAACTCCCATCACTTTCCTATTGAGGTTATCTATTAATTTTGGTTTCAACTGTTTTTGCATCCTCTTAGTATCTATTAATACAAGTTCACCCTTCCATTTGCTGGAGGTAAAAATATTCCTTCTATCTCGCTATGTGGTTACACACACAATTTTATTGTTATAAAGTGAGATGCTCTCTCTTGTCCCTACAGTTTGCTCTCAGTGTTCTAATGGAGTACATCTTTTTATCAAGCAATTCATTTGCAAGTCTTATACTATTGTAGAAATAGTTTGTGTACTTCAGCAAAGAGTCACAATAGCTCAAATGATTAGAGCAGCGGCATATTGAGCTGAAGGTCATGGGTTCGAATCCCACTCATAGCATATCTTTTTCATTTCAACAAAGACCTTAGATAAAAAGTATAATTAATTGAAATAATTAATATGGTCAATTATGACTGCTAAACATGTATGGATTTTACAATATTATTGACTTGAAACTTAAATAATAACTTATAAATGATTTATTGCAGTTTTGTCAGCCTCAAGGATGGGCATTATCGACAGAAAGACAGGAACCTCGATTTTTTGTTTCTGTGCTGACAGACATCGATGCAAATAGACATTACTGTGCTTGCTTATGCTTTAATGAAACAGTTTCTATTACTCCTAGTAAACCAGTTGACGAGGTATGTTTTAAATTTAATTTTAGATGATTTTTATTACTTTTGTCAATGTTATGATTAGGATGACGATGGACTTGAAGGTACAGGTGTCGTGCCGGCTATATCCCACCACAGTATCATGTATGCACCAAAATGTTTGGTTCTTGTGTCAAGACTGGATTACATTGAGACTTTTAGAGTAAATAAACAAATACACTTGTCTCTTCCTACATCACTCTTAATATTTTGCTTCTTTTTTTCTTGTTTCATAGAATTGCTTGGGAATTGTATATTCCGTTTGGATTGAAGTTGTTAGTAGCATTAAACTGGAAGCGTTGGTTGGTAACATGTTAGGTTGCGTCCATGTTCCTCCTCCTGGTGGACCTCAAGTTAGATTTAGTATTGGAGCTGGAGATCGGCAAGCCTTGCAGCCACCTTTGTCTTCAACTTTGCCTACGACCAACACTGCAGTGACCATGCTCTTCCAACAACTTGGTAAGATTTTATCTTTCTTATGTTTTAAATTTTTATATAACATGAATAATCACTATCAAAAAACATAAAACTTACCTAACTTTCCTTTTTTCTGGACATGCTTTATTGGATCATTAATTTGATTGGAAAAATGTATAATTAAAAAAATGTAATGAGTCTTAATTATAAGTTCAACTTGGTGTTTTTAAATTGTCGAACAAATTTCAAACCCTGTTCATTTGGTGAATAATGCAGAATTTGTCATTTTCACTGGAACTAAAAGGCTCTCCCTCATAGTAACAAGTGTATTAAGCTTATTTGGTAAAAAAACATTTGTTTATAGTAAAGTGTTTGATAACAATCTTTGTTTATAAAACTGAGTTATTCCAGTACAACTGGAAAAACAAAGAGTAAGGAAAACCAACACTGCATATCTATTTTAAAAAAAGTGTACATTAAAAAAATCTTCTATTGGGTAGTTTCACATGAACTTGCAGTTTTTATTATGTATTTTAAAAAATTCATCAAAGATTAAGCGTTTCCTGTTTACTCCCCACATGTTTACAGATATAAGAAGCAGTTATTAATCGTCCATTGTTTATTTATATTGATAAGCTCCCAAATTTATTACACATTCGTTATATTGTCAAATATGAACATGTGAGAGTTTAAACTTAGTCATTCAGCAGCCCAGGATGGCAAGAAACATCATTACGATGTTTAGGAAGGCAGTGTTAATAAATTTTGGCCTGAGGAAGATCTCCATTATTAATGAGACAAGGTCCTCAAGCCTACTGTGGAAGAAAACCCTTCACAAGTATATCAACAACCTAATGAGCTCCCTGAGTTGAAGTGGAGACATACATTTCATTTCCAGCTAGGCAAAAAAACCGAGCTTCAGTTGAAAGAATAATTTGCAATGAAAAATGGATTTTGTGTGAGATAATCGGTGTCGGTCAGAAGTTAAATGTTAATGAAAGTACACAGGTCAAACAATTTACAAAAAAACATGGTGACTACAGTTTTATAGTTTACGGCTGGAATCCAAGGTTCTGTTTTGGACATTAACTCAACAACCTCCAATTCACCAAATGCATCAAAAGCATAACTAAAAAAGCTTGTATTGGTAAATTGGAAGGGCCAACAATGCCAGGCTTAGGGTTCATGGTTCAAGGGAGACTGTGATTAAATTAAAGGACCTGTGATGCGAAGTTCTTCCGCACCTTTTTCTTCAGACTTGTCTCCTACAGATTTTCAACTGTTTAGAAATTTGAAACTACTTAATTGAAGAAAAATTTATTGAAAATGATTCACAGTTCAAAATGTGTTTTGCGAGTATAAGCCTTGAAAATGGGTACCTGAGTTAGATACGAAATACCTATTGACAATAAAAAGTAAAAAAATAAAAGTGAAGTTCAATAAATATACCTATCACATGATGAATACAACAACAAGGAGGAGTTTCATCCTATAAATAGAAGAATTCTTTGAATAAAATTTTGGAGTTTTTTTAATATCCAAAATTCGAAAATGGACATTTCATACGCTTTTTTTTTTAATTACAAAAATGGCTGAGTTCTTTACAAAATGATAATAATAATAATGAAATAAAAACCCATGCTTCACACTAGCATATTTTCTTTGCTTAGTGGAAAAACATTTAACTATGGGTATTTAACTTAACACTAACCCAACTTCAGTTAACATAACCCATTCCTAACCCCACCTAGCCTAAAATAGCCCTACCTAACCTAACCCTAACTACACCTAATCAATAGTTGAAAAGAATGGTTGTATTCAAAAACTGGTTTTGTAGTGATCCAGATTTTGCGTTGTACACGCTAATCAGGCTATGTCAGTTATCTACATAAATAACTGGCATAGTTTTATTGAAAGCATTTACTGCTCAAAATTCGGATCAGTGCAAAACCAGTTCTTTTGAAAGGGTTACTGGTAGCAAGTAAAAACTAAAAGCCAACAGTCATTCATGGAATCCTTGTTTNCTCTCTCTCTCTCTCTCTCTCTCTCTCTCTCTCTCACTCTCTCTACTCACTCACTCTCATTATTAATGTTGATTTTGATCTTTTTTTTAGGTATTCGTAATTGCGTGTTTTTGTTTTGTGCTGTTATGACGGAACACAAAATACTTTTCCAATCTCAAAGTTACACAAGGCTGACGGAAGCTTGTCGAGCGTTAACAGCACTAATGTACCCGTTTAAATATTCCCATGTTTATATTCCACTGTTGCCAGCTTCTTTGGTAGAATTTTTAACATCGCCAATTCCATTTCTAATCGGAGTACATTCGTCTCTAAAAACTGACTACACTGAATTAGTAAGTTTTTTTTCTGCTGTGAAATGTTATAGCTATTTCTTAATTATTTTTTTTTATTAGTGTTTTTATTGAATTGCAACTTGACTTATACAAATTGTTTCAAAATGATAACCCCTTCCATTTTTAATGATTTGTTGAAAATTTTTAAATATATAAATTGTTATCCCAAGTTAAATTCAGCCGTTGGATAAGTATCATAAAACAAGAGACTCATCGGGCTAATGAAAAATAATATATCTCATAATTTCTAATTTTTTTAAATAGGTATTTATAAAATTTATTTATTTTAAATATAAAAGCATATTCAATTTAAACATTAGTACTATTTTTATATTATTAGCATAAACACAATGTTGATACATCCTATATACTTAGAATTGGTGTTTATGAGCATTATTTACATTTATTATTTCAGATGGATGTAATAGTTGCAGAATTAGATACTGGTTTTGTTGTTGTTCCGGACACTGTAGTTGTACCTCTTCTTCCTGAACCATTTCTAGAGGATACAATGTCTGCTTTAAGCCTTGTACTTCAACCAGAGCTCACTTCTGCAGATTTTGCTTTTGTACCTGAGTCACCTCCTCCCCCTTCTCCGCAGTGTATTGATAAAAGGATCAGAGCTGTATTCATGAGAATGTTTGCACAACTGATGCAAGGTTATAGATCATGTCTTACAATAATAAGGATTCACCCTAAACCTGTAATAACGTTTCATAAGGTAATTTTTTGTAATATAAATTTAATGTTTGTTTATTAATTTGTAAGACATGTGTTAATATTGTTCACAGGCAGGATTTTTAGGCGAAAGGGGATTTGTCGATTGTGAATTCACGACAAAAGTGTTAGATTCTATGTTTTTCACAGGTTTTGTTATGGAAAGGGGACCACCTTGGCGACCGTGTGATCATTGGGATGAGTTATATGCTCAAATGCCAGAATTGATCCGCCAAGAGCAACTAAACCCAGCATCAGTAATAAAACATATTCAGGTTAGTTTTTCAACTTCAGCTATAATTAATTAGATACTATTCATAACTTCTTTGGAGGTTAAGAGTATTAGGCTTGAGGCCTACTAAATAGTCTAACCTCCAAAGAAGTTGTCATCGAAGGCTGATACATCACAATGATTCAAATTGAATGCCTTTTTTTTGTAGGACGTAGCAAATGTCCTATACACAAATGAGAATCCAAATCATCAGCCGTACGTTCAAAAATTACTGAAGCCACCTGAAGGAGCTTACGCTAGAATACACCAGCCAGCTTTTCCTAAAATTGATGCTGGGATTGTACAAACAATAATTGATGAGGGTCTTGCTGAAAATGACATAAAAGCGAGGTTACACATAAATTATTTTAACTCATGAAATCAATTGTTGTAGTTGTATGCTTATGAAATATTTTAGGTTAGGAGCATTAAAACCTGCAACGTGCAGAATAGTACCAATGGGAGTACACATATCAAATGTCATAGATTCTCGGCAACAAATTGTCAGCAATTCAGCAAGAAGATTAGAGGTATGTTTTTCTGAGTCAAATTTATTGTATTGTTTTGTGTGTGTGCGTGTTCATTTTCTATAACATACTGCCAACACTCTGGTGGTAGAAATATCCCCTTTTTGGAAAAAAGTTATAGACAAGAAGAAATGTGTAAGTCCGATTTTCAGAGCATTTACATTTAAAATTCTCTACATTGTAAGTGGTTGTCTATAGAGGGGAACAAGTAATAATCAGCAAGGGGCAAGATCTAGAGAGTACAGAGGGTGGGGCAACTGTTGCCCACCTAACAATTTATTTACTCAGAGTGAGTTCAGCTGTGGGAGGCCTGGCACAATGGTGAAACACAATGTTCTGTCTGTTCACCTGGTCTGGACATTTTTCCTTCAACACTCCCAGAGATGCTCAGCTGGGCACAGCATACCTAAAGTTTTGGTTGTATGGTAACAGTTACCAATAAATTATTCCTTGAAAATCACACCAAACAGACAATAGGACCTTACGAGGGTGCAATCCTGCTCTTGACATCAGTGTTTCATTCTTCTTGCAAACAGTCCTTAGCAATTAACATTTATAAAAGACACATTTATCATCTCCAGTGAGCAAATAGGAAATAAACCATTCCGATTTATTCTTATTCAGGTGTGAAACACAACAAGCCATGCAGTCTTCCTTGTTCCTGAAGAACAATTCATGAGTTTCACAATGTAACGCAGAGTTTGCATTTTTTGTTTATTGTTGTGCGATGTTCCTTCAATTCTACAGTTAATTCGCCCTCATCCTTGAATGCCACTAAGTTGTCGCTTTTAAGCTTGTTAGACATTCCACAATGAGGCTGGACTAGAGATTCATCTCTCTCCATACAAAAACATTGGAACCACTGTTGACACACATGTTCAGTTAGTACTTTATCACTGTAAATTCCACATAAATTTCGACAAGCTTCCGCCACTCTATACCCGAGATTGAACTCCTATAGCAAGCAGTGCCTCAAATGAATTTTGTCTTCCATGTCATATGCATCGCAGTTTATTCTAGACTGACTTTTCAATCAACTATCGCTTTTCTTAACAATCTCGTTCAATAGTGCTTTTCCCACCCTAGAACTAATGGGGCTAGCAGATAATAAAGGATCAAAGTATAAGGATGAAAGTAGAAATTTGGAAAAGAAAAAACTTAAGCACACACAGTAAGATTGTCATTATACACATATTTTTTCTTCTGTTTAGGTTCTTAAAAATTGCATTTCGTATATCTTTGATAATAAAATTTCTGATGCAAGAAAAAGTCTTCCTGCTGTTTTACGTGCACTCAAATGTCGGATAGCGAGGTTAGCCCTGTGCACAGAATTGGCGGCTCATGTTAATGGAAATAAAGCCATGCTGGAACACCAGCAGTTTGATTTAGTTGTCAGGCTAATGAATTGCGCACTTCAAGTAAGTACTAACATACTATTTAAATTTTGAATAATTGTTAAAATATTTATTAAATATATAATGTAAAGGTATATATTTTATTTATGTATATTTTATGTAAAGGATGTTTCACCGATTGATGAATTTGGAGTTGCTGCTGCACTTCTTCCTCTAGCTACTGCGTTCTGCAGGAAACTTTGTACTGGTGTGATCCAATTCGCTTATACATGCATACAGGTAAATAACATTCTTGCTCTGCATGCTGGCATTTCCTGTGTTTTAGCGGGCTTAAACCAAATCCGAATTGCCTTTGTCAACAAAAACCTTTTTTATCAGACTTTACTGTACTGTTTTGTATACTACTCTCATTAAGTTCGTTCATGCGTATTAATTTATTATCCTACATAAAAAATAAAATTTAAAAAAAAAATAATTGACTGATTTATAGTAACCTCGAAATACATCCACAACAAACACAGAAATCCATATTTTATAAAATTACCTTAAATATTTCTATTTTTGACTCTTAGGGCCCATTTGCAAGAACGCTTACGCATGTGTCTAATACTTTTATACTACATAATACGTACTTTTATTTTTATTAGTATCACTAGGAAAAAATCTGTGATCAAATGTCCTTAGTCTCCCCTTGTATGACAAGTACAAAGGCACAATACATTGTGAAGGAGTACACAACGTTTTTACTTAAGCTGTTAAAACTTTAATTAGCTAGTTAAAATTTCAATTTATTTGTAATTATAATTCATTTCTGTTGTGGTGAGTGGACTGACCTAAATGTCTGTTGTTATTAACGGTATTTTTTACATATATTAAATGTACAATGAACTTATTTAACGTTGGTTTTCTTGTTGTTTAAAGGAACACAACGTATGGCAGAATCAACAGTTTTGGGAAGGCGCTTTTTATCAAGACGTCCAGAAAGATATAAAAGCGCTCTATGCACAAGTTTCTTCTAATGAGGTATCCATGATTTTTTTCCTAGTCATTTTGATTTTTTTTTTTTTTTTTTCAAATGTTAAGTGCCCTCTGATGCTAAAAATGCAATAAAAAACAATTAAAAGAAGGTGGCAATGTCAGTGAGCCAGATCGTCATAGACGCTCTTGCATACCAAGAGCACTGTTAATTTGTAGCCCTAAGAGAATCTGACTGAGCGTGTAGGAATGCCACCCGATATGAGAATTGTGTTTGAGCAAGTCTGGGTTCCCTGTTCCAATTTTTAGAGGAAACAGGGTTGTTTTATTGTAAATAGTACTGATAGCTTAGTGTACCTAGTGTATGTTGAGAGTGAATGGATTTATTGGAGTGTATGTGTAGTACAAGAGGACTGGTAGCAGGATATTATCCAACAACCCTCAATTAGGTCAGTATAATAAGTGTAAAGGGTAATGGAGGAATATCGAGTACTCCACTACTGTGTATTGAATGAATGATAGGTAAATAGAAAATAATGTATTTAAGAATGAATGTGAATGGGTTTGTATTAAGGAAATGCATGTGTTGGGTACTGAATCCTAGCTGTTGACAGCACTTGGAGCCCAACATCAGTGATTTGGGTGGATGAGACTGAGGTCTGACCCCCGACTGCTAACACCCAGGGTGAGTGATTCTCGAGGCCAGTTGGTAATTTATTGTAAATTACAAAAGCTCGAATTGCCGGTGGACTGCGTGAAGTGATAGGCTGAACTCTGTACAGTGGGTATGTGTGTACATACATGTGAGCATATAAATCCAAATGCAATCTAATGTTAAAACTAATTTGTCAGATTAAATTCTACTACAGTTCAAAAACTAGTCTTATGTAATAGTAATTTTTTGCAACAAATGTTAGAATTTTTAAGTGTTAAAAATAAGTTGGAGGATAATGGGTAAATAATCTTCTTCGGTGATAACATGAAACCTCCAGTAAGGGACACATTTGTTTACCTCCATCAATACGACAATTAAAGATGCACCAGGAAGATTCCTTTTCTATATATTTGCACCTCTATTTAGAGAAGATTTTAAATAATGGATAAGGACATTTTTTTAAGGTAAGGTAAACAATCTCCAAGTTTTAAAAAGATCTCTAATTTTTTTATAACCGATTCATTGAATTGGGGTGTTACATAAATTTGTTAACTCCCCTTATCTAATTTTATTTTCTTTCTGATTTTATTTTCATTTCATGATTTCAGTTTAAGTTCAAATTTTACTATGTTAACATGGCTCCAACCCACCAAAGGCTTAAAAAAAAGTATTTGATTCTTATGAAAAATTTGAGAGAACAAGTGAAAGAACATTAGCTGATAAATTAAAGCATAGGAAAAGTACATCTAAATCTATAAGGCAGCTATTTATTATTAGATGATAAAAATCTCTCTTTAGAGGTCACTAATGAAGCAGGACAAAAGTAGTCACACCATTACTGTTCCTTAACAAGAAGTTTCACTCAAATTTGAATGATACTGAGAAAATTAGCATTCCCACAGTACTATATGTTTGATTTTATATTAACAAATTATGTACAAAACCAATTTTTAACAAAATTAATAGGAATATATCCACTATATGAGGACTTAAAAACTTATGGTTTGAAACAGTGAATTTACAAGTTGATAGTGGAATGAGATCTACAACCCATTTTATATCTGTATAGTAACTTCCAGCTTGTTATCCTGTATGTGTGAATGTTTTGTTTAGGACACAATATGGAAAGGGAGAGGTCAAGAACCATCAGCATTAGAAATCGCCGCAGAACAAATGCGCCTTTGGCCAAATATTAATCCAGGTACTTGGCTACATTTTGTGTTATATGCTTTTTGTAAGTTTGTCAATTGATTCCTTAAACCACCATTGTGTATAAATTTCAATTATTCCCATTGTACTTTACCAGTATAATGTTAATAATACAATAACATGTTAATTATTTGCTGTTCCCAGATAAACAAATTGAGCTTGCTGGTAGTGAAGAATCGACGGTTTACAGCCAAGCGATTCACTATGCAAACAGAATGGTTTATCTCATAGTTCCTGTAGATGTTGCAAGTAGGCAGATAAAACAACCAGCAGTGTGGGATCAACACTCTCATACTAATACTACTAACAGGCAATAATTTTAGATTCTTATTTTTTCCCCTTCAATTACAGTCAATGAAATATTTTTGAACTCGTACTCAATAATAATATAATATTAAACAGTCTTCTCACAATGTTTTTTACTTTTTTATTAACCAAAACAAGTGTGTCTCAAATTGACCATCATTGGGTGTTTGATTTATTTTTTTTTTTTTTTAATTCAATTATTGTTGTTTTTACCAGTGAAGGCTGTCTCATACATATGTTATTAGAATTGACACGACAATATACTGAGTGTCAACTTAGTTGAGTCACCTCTTTTTTTTCTTTCTAAAAACTACAGAACCTAGACAAATTAAAATTAAAAAATAGCATAAGCTCAATTTACACACACTGCAATAATTAATTGCATTTTGTTCAATTCATTAAAAAAGTTATGAAATGAAATTCTGGTTCTACATTTTCATTTGCATATTCATGAAACCCAACATCACAATGGAGAAATGGTTACAACCATTCAATTTTATTTTTAAAAATGGCAAAAACCATTTTAAAATCAGTTCAGAAGAAATTCTAGGAATAATCGAAATTTTTCTTCACTTCACCAAAAAATATTGAATTGTAACCTGACCTAATCATAGTCCATCCCTAACCTAACCAAACTCTAATTCTAACCTAATATATATCTAATCTAATCTAATTCCCCGTCCTAACTTAACCATAATCCTAACCTGTCCCTAACCTAACCAAACCCTAATTCTAACCCTGTCTCACCTAATCCAACCTATGTGCACTGTCCAGTAACACTTTAATTTATTTATTTTTTAAACAAAAATTCGCAACAGCAGAAATTATATCAACCCCCTCAAGGTGTCGATGATTTTGAAAAAAGTCCATTTGTAAATATGTCAGTTCGAATCCAATCTTTACAGTGATGAGCACTGTGTCAACACCTTAACAGTTGTGGTCACCAACACTCCTTATTTGCATTTTTAATATCTCATTTCTGAAATGTAGAATAAATATAAAAATGGTCAATTGAACTTGTAACTTTAGTAACTAAGTATTAACATATTTAGGCACCCTCTGCCCATTGGAACAAAAAAATGTATTGGTAGCATCCAATTCTTTTTGATAAGGAACTATTCTAATATACCTCAATTATTTTCCTATTGTCAGTTCAAATTATTCTGACACGTATTTTGTTGTTTAGGTCAAGTGTTGGAGAGAGTGAAAGTGGTTCAGAATCAGGATTTGACGAGGCTGAAGGGTTATTTGGCAATTCTACAGGGACCTCAGATGTTGTGAGAGTTGTCACAAGATTTGTAGACAGGGTATGTACTGAGGGTGGTGTCAACAGCGAACATGTAAAAAGCCTTCACCAGATGATACCCGGCGTTGTACATATGCACATTGAAACACTCGAAGCCGTTCATCGCGAATCTAAGAGGCTGCCACCTATTCAAAAGGTATTTATAAAAAAAGTTTTGACTAATTATACATTATTGTTTTTTTATTTAATTTTGAAGGCGAAGATGGTTGTTCCAACACTGGTGGCGGGAGAGGAGGTTCTGTGTGAGGGGCTCAGGGTTTATTTATTACCAGATGGAAGAGAAGAAACATCCCAACAATTACTTGGTGTCCCCCCTTTTTTGCCTGCCGAAGGTGCCATATTTGTCACAAACTATCGAGTAATATTCAAAGGAACTCCTTCCGATCCCTTGGGTATGATTGCTATTTTCTATTTGCCTAACACTATTAAAATCTAATTTTTGTTTTTTAGCTTGTGAACAGATAGTAGTCCGATCATTCCCAGTTACTTCATTGACCAAAGAAAAAAAGGTTTCTGTGCAAAATCATTTGGATCAATGGTTGCAAGAAGGTCTCCAGTTGAGGTCGTGTACTTTCCAGGTAATATGCTTGTATAATAAAGACAATTTTTATCCAATGGTTTCTTATTTATTGTAACATTTCAGCTCATTAAAGTTGCCTTTGATGAAGAAGTGTCAACAGAAAGTATAGATACATTTAAAAAAACATTACATAAGGTGCGACATCCTCCTAATGTATTGCGACATTTTGCATTTTCTGGCCATATTCCTATTCCTCAAACTCCAATGCAAAGAATTAAAGAAAAAAACGCAACTTTAAAGTAAGCTCTTTTTTATAGATTACACCTTCATCATAAAAATGTATTTGTTGTTGTCTTTTTTTTTTTTTTTTTTTTTTTTTTTTTTTTTTTTTTTTTCTTTTTTTTTTCTTTTTTTTTGATAAACCAAGATATTTAGTTGTTAGGTAAAATGTGCCCACGGTGTACAGTAATATGCACTGTTCAATTTTCCCTTGGTAAAGAAGTGTGTTACGTATGAACCTTTCACAAAGTAGAAAATTCTTGAAAACTGGAAAATTTGTAATCTCTTGGAATGTACAAAGAAAAGAGATGGGTACAGCGAGGAACATACTGACCTGACTCAATGCAATGCGACGTGACCCAACACCGCCCGACACCTTATTCCATGTTAGTGGGATAGGCACATCTGTTTGATGCAAGCACATACCATGCAACAGTCACAAAGTATATCACGGTAATCAGTCACAATAGTATTCGCGAAATGGATAGCTCTGAGGAAGGCATGGAAGAAATGGCAACAGCAGCGATCTGCTTGCTTTCAGTGATGCATAGAAAAACTTGGGTTCATGAAGTGAACCTGACTGGAAATGTATCACAAATATCATATGTTGATTTCTATATTACAAAAAGAAGAAAATGCTGATCAATTCCACATGGTCGGATGATTAAACAATTTGATTACCTGTATAGTGCGATAAACGTATCAGGAAAACTAATACAAATTTTCACCCAGCTATCAGTACCGAACCAGTAGCCACCAAAAGCTATTCAAAAATCTGGACAGTGGAGATCTTGGTTGCGTAGAGTAGGGTGGTGCTGCATCACATCAGGAAAATTTGTGCGAGGGTAATAAATTATTATGGAAAATAGAACATCTGATTAGTGTGGGGTGGCGCAGCATCATGTCACGTGTTGCGCCAGGTGTTCCTTGCTTTATGCATGGGTATAAATAAAATTAGGACATTTAAGAGAAAATAACGAAAAAGCAACACTAATTGAATTTATTGTTTAATTAACCAATTTTTCTGAAAGTGTTGATTCAATTTGTATTGCATATTCAATTTTAATTTTAGGGGGTTCGCTAAAAAGACTTTGATGAAAACAGCTAGGCGAGCAGGTTTCAAGCAGAAAACATCTTCCAAACGTCAAAAATACGTTTTACAAGATATGACAAGATCTGATAAATATCTCACATCACCTGGCCGAATGTCATTGCCATTGACTACTGATGAAATTCAGTGTTAGTATTAATTTAATTATTTTTATAAGTGCTAATTCCAGTAAATAAATTATGTTTGTATTGTGCAGTACCTGTAGAAGATGTTACCAAAGGAAGTATTGAACGAATCGCAGAAAGAAGTTATGTCCGTGATTGGGTTAGGCTCGGATTGATTCATTCATCGCCAGCGTCGCCGAATACATTAAATCACAAAGATCAGTTTAGGATATCAAGTATAAATTCAGATTATTCGTTATGCAGGACGTATGTACATTAAATAAAGTTTTATACATCATTACAATGACTAGACAATCTTATTGTTTGCAGATATCCTGCTCTGATGGTAATGCCGACTAATGTGACTGATGACAGCATCAAAAGATTTTCTCGGTGTTATAGGCATGGCCGTGTACCTGCAATCACATGGAGGCATAGTCGTACCAAAGCACTTCTTTTAAGGGGAGCTTCTTATCATGGGAAAAGTGTTATGAGCATGTTAAAAACCAATCATCCACATCAAACAGGTCAGTCTCTGTGGATGAAAAGATTTACTGGTTATTAAGAAATATTGTCATAGGTGGAGGCCATAATGAAAGCGGTGGGGCCGCCTCATCTGCAGAACATGAAAGGTATTTGTCCGTGATTGTCTCATGCACTCCAGCCTCTGCTAATCTCCGTACCGGACCATGGAGATCAGACTCTAGCCTCTCTATCAATTCATTATTTTTGGCTGCGGAAGAGACGAACCATGTCACGCCTACAATGAGGTTCGTGTTTATTTAAATTAGCCATTTTTATTTCTATTGTTGGTCATACTGATCAAGAATTGTACTATGATAATTGTCTAAGGGGGTCAACCAAGTCAACTAATAGAAATGATGAATGATGGAGTGAGTGCGGTGTTCAATCCTTTTTAAAAAGTCATTCATTTTCCTAATCCTTCCATTCTTCCTTTAATACCTTGTGAACTAATAGTTTCATAAGTTTAATTCAGATAGGTATTTTAGAAGCTGTTAGTGTTAATGAACTGTGGGAAAGTGCATTTTGAAAGATGGCCTGAATTTTATAATTTTTTTTTTACTAATTTCTAAAACTGTACCCATAATTATCATCATTCAAATTTCTCAGGGCCTGAATTTTATTTCCAAAAAAGCTTATGACACAACCTTTAGTTTTTGTCCTGGTTAAATTAAAAAATAAGCAGTTCAAAATATTGAACAGAAACCAAGAAAAATAAACATGACCTGGGACTTTTTTTTTTTTTTTTTTAATTACAAAAATGGCTGAGTTCTTTACAAAATGATAATAATAATAATGAAATAAAAACCCATGCTTCACACTAGCATATTTTCTTTGCTTAGTGGAAAAACATTTAACTATGGGTATTTAACTTAACACTAACCCAACTTCAGTTAACATAACCCATTCCTAACCCCACCTAGCCTAAAATAGCCCTACCTAACCTAACCCTAACTACTCCTAATCAATAGTTGAAAAGAATGGTTGTATTAAAAAACTGGTTTTGTAGTGATCCAGATTTTGCGTTGTACACGCTAATCAGGCTTTGTCAGTTATCTACATAAATAACTGGCATAGTTTTATTGAGAGCATTTACTGCTCAAAATTCGGATCAATGCAAAACCAGTTCTTTTGAGAGGGTTACTGGTAGCAAGTAAAAACTAAAAGCCAACAGTCATTCATGGAATGTTTTTCTTTCTGCTGACCGATTTTTGTGTCCACTTGGGGAAGTTCAACTGTATTTAATTGATATACTCACTCCAATTTCCAATTTTTATGAAGTAACATTTTGTTGAAGCCACATAGTATTGCTGATTTTGAGACATTTACACTGCATAGAGGGGTGCCTGTACAATGCAGACAAAATTCTAGTTTAATAAATAAATTAGAAAAAAATTAAAAAATTGCTTTTGTAATGTCAAAATTGATTGACCCCTGCTTGAAGATTGGATCTGGGGAGAAAAATTGTGCTATTGAGCTTTTAAAAAGCTCTACCAGCTTGTGTTATCTCTACAGAAATGTCTAAATTTTGTATTTATTTAGTTCTAATTAAGAAAATGGCTTGCATAATTGGCATCAAAAATGTTTCAACCATTGTTAATAGTTGATATTTGCAAATTTTGGCATTTTGGAATTTTCAGTTCTTCAAAAGTTGGACTTTCCAGGGCAAGATGGGGTTCAGTCAAAGATGGTGCGCCCAGACTCTCTGGTGATTCGGATTCAGGGAGTGACTGTGTACACACCTTACATAATGCACCGTTGTATGTATTATCTGACAAGACGCATTATAAGGTAAACCAAATTTATTATATCTAGAAATAAATAAATTGATTCTAACATAATTTATCATTAAACTTTTGAAGGCATTTAAAGTGGACGGTATCAAGGCGGAATTTATTCCTGTCGATTATGCTGATTTTAGAGCTTCTAAAGCTTCTTTTAAAAAACTCATGAGAGCCTGTATACCAAGCAACCTTCAGACTGAAGTCGACCAGTCATTCTACAAGTAAGTAATCCCATTGAAAATTAAATAGTATTGTTTTTATGCTGTGTCATCAATGTGTCTTGTATATATGCATTATATATTTTTCCTTAGTTTTGGGGAAATATTTCTCTTCAAAGTTTTGTTAGAATATGTCTGCATGTTTAGCAGGCATTGTTTTTGCCTCAAATTGAATTTTTATTTAATTACCGCCCTATACTAAATCTACTTTTAATGTTCAAGGTTGATTGAGAACAGTGAATGGTTACAACAGCTGCAATCGCTTTTGCAGTTGAGTGGTGCGGTTGTCGATTTATTGGATGTACAAGGGTCATCGGTCATGCTGTGTCTTGAGGATGGATGGGATGTTACATGTCAGGTATGAGCCAAAAATTTCCTAAAACTCCTGGATAATTATCTCCATGGGGGGGCGTCGGTGGCCGCAACGGTTTAGGCGTTGACACGGCGCTCATCACTAAGGTAAAGGTCCCAGGTTCGAATCCAGCGACCCTGCATTCGAATCCGGCACTTATAAATGGGCTTTTTTCAAAAACAACGGCACCCCGAGGGTTGATATAACCTCTGCTGTTGCGAACCCTCATAAAAAAAAAAAGTATCTCCATGAAAGCTGGGGGGGAAAGGCCCTCTTTCCCTAATCAGTGTTCCGTACTATACAAACTCCTTGATTATTTTAATTAATTATACTTTTTATCTAAAGTCTTGGTTGAGATGAAAAAGCTACACTACTCATCTTAACCTACAACCTTTGAAATTTTCCCCCTTTTCGCCATATTATCAATTTTTTTTCATCTCAACCAAGACTACATAAAAAGTATATTTCATTAAAATAATTAATACAGTTAATTATTATTAATTATTTGGGAATGTAATCTGGTAACACTTTACTTGTTTTCCTCTACTCTATAATAAGAATTATATATAATATTTTTTTTTTATTTATTTTTTTTTTTTTTTGTTACTGTGCGCGCGCAACAAGTAGTAACAAAAATTATACATTTTTCTCTATTTACAAAAAAATGGGTTTTGCCATTTGTTATTCTTAGAGCGGCTACTGTGTATTCAGAAGCATGGATTTTTCAACGTAAATGTTAATCTTGTGGAAAATTTAATGTAGTTTGCGAAATAAAGGCCAAATTTGAATTTTAATGATGCTAAAGTTGAGAAATTATGATGTTATGTAAAAAAAAATTCTCATTTTAAACTAAAATTACAAAAATATTAATATCTTAAGAAAGAGTCAAGATAGAAACCTCATTCTGGTGGCACTGAACTAAGTTGTTTTGTGAATCCACCATGGCAGTATTGAATTTAATCCTGTAACACCCTGTATATTTGTGATATAAAAATAATAAATAAATAAATATTCTCTATAAGTAAACAAAATTTGGTAGTCAGAACACTTGGGCAAAACGCATTATAGGATAGCTTGGGGCAAACTGAAGCCAGATAGAGCAGGTAGAACATTTTTCACAAAGTCGACCCCTACTAATCATCAAAGAAAATAAAGCAACTGTGCGATCTACTGGCCCATTGGATGTTAACATAGGAAATGCCTGAGTATCCTCCATACTGAATGTGTTAATCATTGTGTTTAACATACTAAACTAACATTTCCATAACAATGGAATTATTTTTATTGTACAATTTGTTGTGTATTTTTTAGTCCAAGAAAAATTGTGATATATTTTGTTATCTTTGTTTGATTTCAGATTTCATCATTGGCGCAGCTTTGTTTAGATCCTTTTTACAGAACAATTGTCGGTTTCCGGGTTCTTATTGAAAAGGAGTGGTTGGCATTCGGCCACAGGTTTGGTCACCGAAGCAGTCTGTCACCCAGTTCACAGGCTTCTACTTTTACTCCGACATTCTTGCAATTTTTAGATCTAGTTCACCAGGTAGTACAAAATTTACAACACAAGTCAGCATTGTAGTGCATATTCAATAAATCTCTGTGAACTTTTTTAGGTCCAGAAGCAATTCCCCTTAGCGTTTGAATTTAATGAATATTACCTCAGAGTTCTTGCATACCAATCAGTGTCTTGTAGATTCCGCACCTTTTTGTTAGATTGCGAATTGGATCGTGCTGAATGTGGTATAACGGCCATTGAGGATAAGAGGGGTTCTCTTACATCTCACCACAAGACTGTCGACACAGGTTCTGATGATGAATCCATTTATCCTGGTAATAGTTTATTTCATTAGTAAGAATAGTGTGAACTGTTTGAAATTTATTGCTGTTTTTTATTGATTTATTCATTTTATTTTGTATTATTTATTTATTGTTTTTATATTTTTTTTTATAGGAGGTTTAAGAGCTGGTACACACACAGGTCCGAAATTAGGACAATCTGTGTTTGATTATATAGAAAAGCACAATGCACGAGCTCCAGTTTTCTTTAATTTCATGTACACCCCAGATACTGATCAACCGGTACAGTTTTTTCATTATACATTTAAAAGGAATATATTCAACAGTTGTTTTATCAACATTATATTTCTGGACAGGTGCTCAGGCCTCAATCACATATAGCAGTGCTGGATGTTTGGAATTATTATATTAGTGAAGACCTAAGGCACGGACCTAGTTATGACCTAGAGTTAGTAGAATTGGAAGCTTCTCAGCAGGAAGAAGCAGATGCAGCTGAAGGGACACACAATTCTTCTAGAAAAGTTGTTTTAATGGGGTAGGCTACTATATAAATTTAATTTGTTTTGTTATTTTTGTTAAACATTTGTTGTTATTGACTCTTTGATTTAGGTATGATAATGTACAACAGTGTGTGCCCGATGCTTTTACACATTTATTAGAAGAAATCCATAACCTAGAAACTGAATTAGGACATTTACCACAAAAGTGGAAAGTGCTTTGGGATAAGTTGGAACTTCCTACCACAGATTCTTTAACTGTATTTTTATATATACATATATATATCCTTAAGCATTCGAATTAATACATATTATTTTTATAGCGGCATGCTTCATTGAGCACAGCTTTAGTTAGATCCCACGGACGTCTGCTACACAAAAGATCCACACTAGAAATATTAATGAAAGGAAAATTAGTTGATACCCAGCCTTCTACAACATCAATTTACTCGCATCCGCATCGTTTTGAAAAATACAATTTTACTACACCATCTTACTGTGATTTTTGCACTAATGTCCTATGGGGGCCTGTAAAGGTATGTTGTTTAATCTCATTACTTTTCTATCTTCCTTGTTTCTTTTTATTCAATAATTTTCTCTGTTTAGACCGGTCACCGTTGTATAGACTGTGGTTACAGCTGCCATGAAAAATGCTGTGATAGTGTTCCAAAAACCTGTACAAAGTATAAATCAGTTTCGGATGGAATACATTATGCAAACCATACATTGACAAGAAGTGCAGCAGATACAGCATCGGTTAATTCAAGTAAGTATTTCATTTGGGTTGTGATCACTATAGTAAACACAATATTTTCGTATCAACTGGTTTTATTAAATTATTGCCATTGAAAAGTGCCATAAATTTCTAAGCACAGCCTTTGGATTTAATATCAATACGATTCATTTCTCTGACACTAGGTTTTGGTGCAATTAAAGGTAACCTAACCCTAACCGCACACAACTTAACCTAATATGTCGCCAAACCTAACCATACACAACTTAACCTAATCTGTCCCTAACTCTAGCCATACACAACTTAACATAATCTGTCCCTAGTCCTAACTGTACATAACTCAACCTAATATGTCACCAAATCTAACCATCCACAACTTAACCTAACCTGTCCCTCATCCTAACCATGCACAACTTAACCGAACTGTCCCTAACTATACACAACATAACATAATCTGTTGTTAACCCTAACCATACAGAACTTACCTTAATCTGTCCCTTACTCTAACCATAAGAGATGAACATAATCTGTCATTAACCCTAACTTTACACAATTTAACCTAATCTGTCTCTAACCCAACCTATGCACACTCCCTAGCAACTCAAAAACATCCATGTTAAAATCAAAGACAAATCCAGGATTGTGACAAATGTTGTTTGATGAAATTGGTTATGGAAATGTTAAATAAAAATTATTATTATAAACAGCTTATTGAACATACATTTCAATTAAGAAAATTAGCAATTTCAGGTGTGACAGCGATACAGACAACTAACCAGCAATATTATGACCAATTTTCATCAAACGTTGCTGAAAATAGGACTCACGAAGGGTATCTGTACAAGAGGGGCGCTTTGTTGAAGGGTTGGAAGCAAAGGTGGTTTGTACTGGATTCAATAAAACATCAGCTTCGATATTACGATGCGATGGAAGATTCACATTGTAAAGGATTCATCGGTATGTTATTTTTTAAAACTATTATATTTCTTTGTCAAATTTCAATCATTTGTATATTTTGTAATTTTTCCATGAATATGTATCACTTTATTACCAAATCCAACACCTCACAGACCTTAACAATATCATACAGTATGCACCATAGTTCCAATATGCTGATTTTTTTTTTTTTTTTTTTCAGATTTAGCAGAAGTCGTGGCAGTTAATCAAGTTCCTCCAGCACAAGGACCACCAAAGAAAACAGATGAAAAGTCATTTTTTGATGTGAGTTGATTAGTCATTATATAATTAATGTAGTGGGTTTACAATTAGGATCTTCACCTATGCACTCTGTGCACACATGTATACAGTCAAACTTCCCATAAGCAGACACTACACTCAGGGATGGAATTTTGTCTGCTTATGAGAAGAATATACATAAATTATTATTATTACGCACATTAAGTGAAAGTAAAAAATGAGATTAATTAGAACAAATGTCCATACACTAATTGTTTCTTTATTTTTGCATGACGACTTTGAATCGGCGTGTCACAATCACAATCCATAACACAACAGAAAACTGCCCAGAAAGTGCCAAAGACATTCAAGAGTATTGTGTAAGGTTTTTGTAAGAAATTTCAAGTAAAACCTAAGAGTCATCATTCATTTGTGTGATCCTGGGTTGTTTTCCTTTCTACTGTCCACTTATAAGAGACGTTTTCATTGAAAATTCTATAAATGTAGTGTCCATTCTGTTTATTCTAATTTCTGATCATTATAAATACTTTTACTTGATAGTGTCTGGTTCTTAGAAACATCCGTCTAGGAAAGTTCAACAATATATACAACACATATAAATTATAATTTAAATTACATATTTTCTTCTCATAAAAATAAAAGTAACCATAAATAATAATACTTACAATTTCTTTAGTTAAGTTTTTATTAGCAAATAAGTCAATTGTCGTAATGTTTAATTATTCAGATATCGTGAGGTCACTAATCTCTACACATAATGTTTAATGTATAATTTACTAACAGTTGTTTTATTTAAACATACTATTTGAAAGAGTGATCATTGAAATTTATTTTAGTTGCGTACAAACCGAAGGACTTATAATTTTTGTGCCTCGGATGCCACCTCAGCCCAGGAATGGATTGAAAAATTGCAGGCCTGTCTTCAGTAATGGTCGTCAAGCAAAACCGAGCAAAATTGATCTTGTTAAACACTCTTAAGCTGAACTTTCTTATGCTCAAAATGTTTAAATTATCTTTTGCACTGAAAATTATTAAGACCTTACTACATAAGACGGTTGTTACGATGTTGAGAGCTCAAATTATATGTACGTTGGGTTTAAAAAGAAATATATATTTTGTTTGTTTTTTAATTTAATTTTTTTCTTTTTTATTATTATTTTTTTTTTTTTTTTTTTTTTTTAAAGGGTGATATACTCTCCAAAGATTGGTATAAACGGTGGCTGTTTATTAAATTAAATATTTTATTTTGTGAACCTTTTATGTTTTTTGTGTACAGAAAAGTTGTACAAATGTATAAATTAAATTGATCTGATTATTAGTATGGATGTTGTACGTATATGTAAATTTTGTTTTTGTTATATAACTCATGTTTTATTTATACATGGCGTACTAAATCGTTTTTGCTTTACATGCGCTTTATTACCTCAGAAAGAAGAAGGAAGTAAGATCTTGTACTGTGTGTTTGTCGAAGAAGTTTTAGTTCCCCTTGGCGTTTTTTACCCTATTTTTGTGAATTTATCAACAAATTTTGTAAAATTTACATTTCTTTGTTGTTACTGAATCAATCCTGCGAATAAATTTTCTTCCTCAAAGACAAATCCTGAATATTGTTTGTTATGTAATTTGATTCGTTTTTTAGGAAAGAAGGACATATATGTTGTGTTTTTGGTAACATTTTATAATTATACCTATGATGATAATTTTATACTTGTGGTAATAAATATGAGTGATATATATATTTTTTTAACTTTACTGTTTTTATTATCATTTATAATAGTTTTATTATCAGTAATAAATAATTATTTGCTCATTCCAATCTGTTACCATTGTTATTTTATTTTCACACGAGAGTTTGTAATGACATACAGTACATAATCTAAATACTTTATTATTATAATAGTATATATATTTATTATCTATTATGTCTAGTTTTTAAGTTTGTGCCATAAAAACAAAATCACTTTTTTTTTCTTCTAAGTATTAAACAAATCAAATGTTTAATTATCGTTTTAGAGGAGTATATTGCTTTCAATTAATAAATTAGATATTAATGTTTATTTTTTTCTTTCATAAAAGTAAATAAACTATTTTTAATGCTTTGCTTATATTATTTTTTAGCATTGCTTCAGTCGTAATGGAACATGAACCTAAAATTTAAACACAAGTTAAAAATATTGACGCGATATCAATTTAAAATGATATAGTTTTGTTGAACACATAAGAGTGTCAAATGTGCTGCAGTAACTAGCAAACAAAATAAGTAGTAGTTTCTCTAATAATTTGTGTTTAAGAGGACATCAGGTTGAAACTATCGATTTTTATTGTTGCAATTACTTTTCCGTTTTAAATTATAGTACTATTAAGAAAAGTTTGATATAATATAATAGCACAATGTTTTAGAAATACTTAAAACCGATTTGGGATAATTTCCACAGTTTAATAAACTTATTTTTAAAGAAATATCAAATTTATTTTAATAGCTGGATGTGTTATATAAGTTTTAGTGTTCATCTGTTTAAGTCAATTTATTGCAATTATCAATCAAATTGCAAACAGAAATATAATGTTTTTAACAATAAATTTACTTACTTAACATGTTGACTTGTGTTAACTTGTGTGTTAAGATGACTTCCTTTGCATTTCAAAGGCTTCCCCTTGATACAGGCCCAAAAAAACATTTTGACAACGATGCTCCGCAGTCAACGTGTTAAATGTCATCGTACTCTAAAATAATTTTTACAGCTATAAAACACAGCTATAGTACAACTATTGTTATAAATTCTGAAAAATCAATAGATTTTTATATGTAAATTCTTGTACATTGTTTTCTTGCTTTTATATGTACATTCCATTTCTATTTGTGCAATACTATTAGATATTTTCTACTGTATTATTTTTATTTACAGTTATTTTAGTAGAATAAAAATGAATTAATTTTTTAAAAATCTGAAGGAAATGTAAGAATGTTAACCTAATTAAAGACTTTGTATATTTATTACCATTGTTGAATTGTGATAATAAAATAAAAATACACGATATTTTGAAGTATATTGGACCAGTCATTTATACAGTTTCCAATCCATGTGATATCTTAATAAATTATATGGAAAAATAATTTATTAATAGTATATATACAAGATCATACATGTAATGGCCAGAACAAGAAAAAAACCAAAGATAATACCAACACATGCACTCCCATCTCTTAAGACCAAATGAGATAAGACTTCAAATAAAAACACAATCTCACTGAAAATGGCTTACTGATTTTGTTCATCATTACAAAAATTCATTGTATATAAGATTTCATATTAACACGACTGAAGAAACGAAGGTTTACACGACTGAACACAGATAGTGCACTGCACTACCGGCGTTATTGATCACCATGGCAATGCTTTTGACAGTCAAGAAGAGGAGAAGCAATTCCTCTAAGAGCAAGCATTCCAACCAGCAACCATGAATCATGAGTTCCAGTGCTGATTCAAGACTGAATTCCTTCTCTTGGTTAACTGTGGATGCACTCAACAATTTTGTTTAGAAGGTCAACTCAATTGGAGAGAGAATCTGTATGTGTGAGTGGGAAAAATTTAGAGTGGGTGTGAGAGTAAGTGAGTGAGTTTGTGAGAGGGAGAGACAGATTTAGAGGGTTCATAAAAATGATTGACATTGATGGTTCAGGGTAAAACATGTTATACAACCAATCATCGTTAATTATAAAATAATCAATTTTTTTAAACAGATGTTTAACATAGAATACCCATCCCTAAGACAAAACTACTGAATCTAAGACCCCATGTAAATATTAGCCTAATATAACACACAACAGTCCATAACATTTTCTATTATTTTTGTCAGCCACCCTTGCAATTTTGGCCTGTCAAGATGATCATACACAACCTTTAACTTTATTTTCCTATTCAGAATTAATCAGTTGAAATCCAGATTTGCGTTCACCTCGACATTTTTAATGAAAGTGTGTCTTTTTCTTTTAATATGGATAGTCTTTTGTGCTGGATATACAAATCTTTTTTCTGTTTCAAGGGATTGTGCGTGGGTTGGGGGTTGGGTTAGGTAGGGTTAAGTTAAGAATGGTTGGGTTAGGTTAAGAATGGTTTGGTTAGATGTAGGTTAAGTTAAGAATGGTTGCGTTAGGTTATGAATGGTTTGGTTAGATGTAGGTTAAGTTAAGAATGGTTGGGTTAGGTAAAGGTAAGTTAAGGATGGTTGGGTTAGGTTAAAGGTAAAAAAGGGCTAGATTCTAAAGAATAGATTTGACATTTTGCAAGTTTGAGTAATTTTAGTTTTGAGTTGGGACCTTGTCATATTAAAAATATCTATGTGAGGTTGACAATGGCTTTTTAGTTGGATGGAGGGCTTTAGGAATAGAATAATGAAAGTCATATTTATTTTATTGAATTGAATATTAAATATTTATGACACTGGGAAGACAGAAAGGTAAACCAGAAAGAAATCAAGATCATTTCTGGTTTCGGTATCATAAATCGTATAAGTGTCTTCTATCAGAACAAGTAATCACGTTTAGTTCTTTTAGTAATTGATCATAATATAAGGAAGAAAATGGAATGTTTTGTTTAAATGCAGTGAATCTCAAAAATTTATGCATTTACACTGTATCTTTTTAATTGAATTTATGTATGAGGCCAAATGGGAGTACAAAATTCAAGACGAGGCCTAACTCGAGAGATATTTTAAAGATTGCATTTATCAAATTGTTGAGAGTTACTGATTATAAAGCCCAATAATTTATAAGATTTTGCGATAATATAATCTTTAGATGAGAGGGTTGAGTTGAATATAACTACCAAGTCCCCTAATTGAATGGACCATTGTTTGTGTATTGTCTAAAGAATATTGGTATGATACCTTTTTTGACGTCCTAGTGAATGTAATTGCCTTACATTTAGACTCAACAAATTATTACATACAATACCATGAATGAAACTTTGTAAATTTACATGGAGTACCATTGCATCATCTATAGTGGGGTTTCCCAAACTGTGGTCCACTGACCCTAACTAGGGGGGTCTGTGGTAATCTTCAAGTAAAAAATTACAAAAATAAACATACAATGAATAGATAATATAAAAAATGAAAATATCAAGTCATGGCCATTAAAGTGAAGACTTTTCACAACACTATGTGATGATTGGGAAGCTTTCACCATTCCCTGCTTCTCAGAACAGAAGTGAGGTGGGAAAGCACTTTCATGATTACAGGAATTGCATTCTGAAGTCTTATTTCTGTTGATACTTTGATAGACCATATGTCAAATTGGCCAACACTTTCAGTGATGATAAGTGGCAATGAATAGTTGTATTTATCAGATATTTTCATCATAATGAATGGGATGAGTCTTTCTTTGCAAAGGAAGAATATCACAATTTTCGATGCTAATGATAAAGTTCGCCTTCAAACAAAAACTCCAGTTTTGGTTGAATCTGTTGAGAAGGAAGTGGTGGAGTCTTTTCCTGTGTTAAATCATTAAACAAAAACCTGGAGTTTGCGATTCATGAAATATGTGAACACATTTGTAGTTTGGAAATGTCCTTTGAGCACTACTTCCTAACAGCTTATGTTGCATGACCATGAATGGGTGGTCAGCCCATTTTCAGTTTCAATAAAGCCAACCAGTCTATCAAGTGAATACAGATGTTTGAAAGACATTACGTCAAACTGCACCTTGACATCTACTTTTGAGCCTGATACATACCTCATTTTTGGCTCTTTCTGGAAAACAAAAAATTTCATCCGTTTGTTGAACAAACAAAAGGTGTGTCTTTCATTTGCCACAAATTAACCTATGCGAATCTGGATTTTCTATCTATACAACCACCAAAACTAAATACTGAAGCTGTTTAAATGCTGAACCCGACATCCGTTGCCAACTATCAAAAATTAAACCCAACATATCCAAATTGTGCAGGCTAAAACAATCTCACTCTTCCAATTAATTCATTAACCATTAATGTTCGAATGATTACTTTGGAATTTGGCTTGAGTTTTACCCACCTATTGATTCCATTCTGTCCAATTTGATTTTTATGTTCCGGATTTTGTAAATAAAATTAAGTATGTCAATTAAATGTTTATTTTCATAGTGATATCCCGACTATAACCTAATTAAAAATGGACTGATCGATTTATAAAACTTTAAATCATTACATACTATAAGCATCTCATTTTAAATAGGTATTTGAATGAGATGGGTCTGCCTTGGAATTTGTTCTGTGAAAGGGGCCTGCTGACAAATAAGTTTGGGAAGCCCTGGCATTAAATTTATAGCAGATTTTTAGATCATCAGCCAGCAATAAAATATTAACATCTGTAAAGATATCAACATCATTAAAGAATACCGGGAATAGCAGTGGACCCAAGTGAAAACCTTGGGACACCCTAGAGCTTACAGTGAACAAATCTGAATGATACGATCCTACTTTTACAATTAGCTTCCTAACTAAAAGATAATTTCCTGTCCAAGACAATAAGCTATAGTCACACCATATGAGTGGCGTTTAAACAGTAATATTCTACGGTTAACAGTGTCAAAATAGGTATAGATAGACAGACGTTTATAGACCCAAGATTTTTTTCTTTTTTTTCTGTAAACGGGAAATAAAAGTTTACTACCGATAGGGTGGAATTTTAGATTTTAGGGGATTTTACAAAGACATTCTTTTAAAAAATGCATTGAACAAGGATGATTGAATGGGAGACTGAGGACCGCCTAGAGGTAGGTCAAAAAAAAGAGGGAACATTGAACGAAACATTGATCAGTTCGTCGATGACCATCCTTGACGAACCTGCTCATTAAAATGCGACTATTAATATTTAAAAAAACACGAATAATACAATACATAGTTTGTATGTTATTCGTTTTGTCATCACCGTTGTGATCATAAATCATCCTGACGATTATAAAATGATGAAGACGAGAACGACCTGTTCTTTGTCGAGAATCTTATCGTTCGTTCATTAGAACTGTTCTTCAAGGGAGTAGCAAGTGAGTTAACTGTCAATCGTCAGTCTTTGTTTTCTTATCGGTTGGCGCTGTCCTTATCTCGGGGAAAAAAAAGTTTTTTTTAAATAATTCATAACATAATCGTTGGATTATAGGAGAAACAATAGAAATCCCCGCTCGATTTAATTGATTGTCATTATCTTATCTAGAACTGAGTAAATTAAGTTTTTAATTATATTACATAACCCACCTTAGTTCGGCCGGGCCTTTTCGAACAGAGATCCCGTGGAAACGGTTTCACGTCGACCGATTTGATCCCCAGCATGAAAATGATTTTATCCTGATAATCGTCACGGGAAAACACGGAAAATCGAAATTTTAAAGTAAAAAAAACCCGCACCCCTTTCGATTCCTGCTTTAATCCGGTCCGTCGTTTTTGTGACTTCAAAGGCGATGATTCCGTCAGAAGAGACACCGTCTGGGGTGACCTTCGTCCACTGGCTCCTCAGGAAATTTCTCCCAGAAAGGACATTCAACAAGTTGCTGTGGTGAGTAGAAATCAGTTAATTTTAAGCCAGTTCACATCCTCAAGCCAAATCTGAAGATTGAACTATTTGAAGCGAATTTGCTATTGAAACGCTGCAATTTTATTACTTCTCAACATTATGCCATTTTATATGTAAATAGAATAGAACTGTCGATGTGTCACACAATGCCACCTGTCGTGTAAACAGTTCTGGCTCAAAAGTGGGTTATGGCCTGTTCCGTTTTTTTTAGGTCGTGTATTGCTCAAGTTTTGTTTGGGGAAGTGATAGTCCTTTCCACATGCGACTGCATCATCACATTGTCAAAATACACCATACGCCATATGGGTGCAATGGTGTATGCTTATGATGGTTGATAAATTTACATCCATCGATGCAGTGTTTGTATAAATGCGACTTTTAAATCACCATAAAATTCGAGTCACTGGGAAGAATCATGAGTATCGACTACTAAAGGGTTGTTGGAGAGCATCTCGGTTGGTCTATCCTTGCTTGTTTCCTTTGTCAGAGGATAGCATTTCTCTATTTTCACTAATGGGTGAAGACTTGTATAAAGTCTTCTGCCAACTCATTTTGAGCATTGAAAAGAGTAAACACGAGTTCAAAAAGATAAAAACCTAATTTGATCGTTACAGATTATTTTGGTCTTTCAGACTACTCGCCTACTCTGCTGTTGTTGACAGACCTGGTGGACTAGTGGACTTGTCCGACCTGCCCATTGGATCTAAGCAACAGTATGTCCTGGCTCAACTATTATCATTTTACGTTATGACTTCTTATTTTGTAATTTGATCAATATTGATCGTTTTGGTCTGCCTCTCCTTACTGTATTGTTCTTCAGATGCATTTTGGCATTTCTCCTTGTTCATGTTTTACAGACCCAACACTGAAGATGGATAAATTGCAATTATGCTCAGTATGCAAACCGGAAAGAGACAAAAGAAAATTTGACGGTGAAAAGTTGAAACACATCTGACATACCAACCCTTTGAGGATAGGCAGACAAAAATTATTGGAAACAGTGAAAGTAAAAGAAAACCAACCAACCTGTTCTTAAGAGTCTACACATATTCTGCCTAAGAAATATGACCACAGAGTCTAAAAGAATGGAACAATTATCAAGGATAAAAGCTAGAACTAACTACATGACTTGTACACCTATAGGACAGCAGTAGGCTGAAACTTAACTTAAGAATAACATACTTAATTTAAGAATACAAAGCAACTGCACAGTAGAGTCATAACCTAAGGTCCCAAGAAGACACAAGAATCGACAATCAGTGACTATTTAAAAGGAGGATTGAGTCAATTAAACTGAACTAAGGAAGTAAAAAAAGTACAATAAGCCAGAAGGCTGTTCGGGGATTACAAAACCCACACCTCCAAGTATTCCCTTACCAGCATTATCAACCACACATTGCCTATAAAAACCATTGCCATAAAACTGCAAACAGGCAAATGCCGACCCTCCAAATCAACAATTCCAATTCCCTGAAAACGTGACGAAGAAACTGAGCGCAGCCCATTGTGTTTTTTACATCTTTGCTTCTGCCCTTTTTTTTATTCTCCAATACTAGAGTATATCTCTTCTTAAATATATACAAGAAATAAAAAATATTTAAAGTTTCTGGTGTGTTTGTCCCTATTCTGGATTCGAATCCTGGCATGTCACTACATGTGAGAGCTTTAGTCAAATATGGCAGTGTTTCTGAGTTCTATATTCAGATTTTAGTACGAAAAAGAGATCTACTGAATTAATTATGCTTTTTTAATGTTTCATTTGAGGAACTGCAGTAGCTGAGTGATCAGCATGTTAGACTCGGTTCGAAAACCCCACAGCCGTGGTTTCGAGTCACACTGTTATCCCTGAAATTTTCTTTCATGATCCTCTTTCCCACCCAAAAAAAAATGTTTCAGATAATTCAATGTTTTTATTAGTATGAATGTGTGAGGACTGATGAATGTTATTTATACTACAAGGATAGTGAGTGTGCTTAGGTTAACAGTGCATACACTGTGGGCTGAAAATGACAGATAGCCCCTGCAGCCTAACGTCAGTGGGCAGGATGGGTAATTAAGATCTGCCTATAACACCAGAGTAGGTGATTTGCAAGTGTATAGAATAAATTGGTTGCTACTAAACTTTCATCCATTGTGTCAGAGCTTTACATGTTTTCCTGGAAGATTCTTTAACTCATTCAGTCCAGGTGACCTGCATGAAATCCAAACAGGTCCAACTCGCCAGTTGGATGACCTGCATGCAGGTCATTATGTGTAGCATTTCTAGGAATAGGAAAGTTTGCTGTATGGGAGGGGAAATTGAATGTATTAATAAAGATTTCATTAATCTGCTGCTTATATTTAAAAATATTATTTTCTTATTAGTCTAGTATCCAGCAGCATTTAATTTAAAAAAATTAAAAAAAAAAAATTTAATGATGTACAGAATTCTACTCGTGGGTACAATATGAAGGGTTACATTGTTCAAGAATGGTACCATAGCTTCCTCCTAGCTATTCAGACCAGTTGCATAGGATATGTTCTCTGCCTTCTTTAGGCATAATAGAAAAAAAGATCATTGTTGATCATCTGTTAAAGTCCATTTTCTTCCAGTTCTTATTTTATTTATTTATTTTTTAATGTGACTTTCATATATGCCACATAATGGATTTAGGCTTACATGTTGCCCCCCCTCCCAAGGCTCCCTTTTAGCTAGGATGTCTGCTGCGTCATTGTCCGAAATTCTCCCATGACGTGATCCACCTTAGTGTCAGGAGGCTATTTGTAGATCCTAGTTTTGTTAGTGTATTCAGGCAGTTTCAGACAAGTTTTGAATTGATCTCATAGGCTTGAAGAGGCTGGTCCTCTAGCAAATTGTTATTGATTTCATATGCACATGTAGTAATTCATCTTGAAAGATGGTTTTAGTGGAGCCGAGTACCATGAGCTATACCCATTCCTCTACTATTTCCCAACATTGGACCATGGTCATAGTAATGGCCAAATATCATAGAGAGCTCCAGGTTTTTGTTTTTAGGGTGGTAAACTACATTAGTCATCACCCCTCTTTGCATTTATTTTCCAGTTTATCTTGTGTTTTAATCCTACTAATTTATTTTCATGTTTCTCCAGCCAATTTATGATCGGACTAATTAGTGTGGAAACTCTCTTTTCTTTACATTCTTGCTAGCTTTCTGTACCTCGGGGACTCGTCAATTTTGGATAAGTACAGATATGCATAAAATGAAAATAGATGAGTCTGGTTATACAACCTTGGTTCTCTCTTTTCAATAATTATGTTAAATGTTTTTTTCAAAGTCATGTATTCTCTCTAATGTAGAAATAGTTTTGGACATGTCAGCTGTTTTAACTCTTTTGGAAATTTTGGCATGGCCAGCATTTTGGCCTGTTTGATTCATCACTCCGCAGAGCGCAAACAGCCAATCTTGCAAATATTAAAGTGTAGCTAATTTTTCATTATGGCAAATCTGTTTATTTGCTTATCTAAGATAATGGTTATATCATTTTTAGAAAATGATAACATTTGATTTATATTATTTTGTAAACCGAATTTTAATTGATATATAATATTATACAGCAGAGCTTCTGGTTTCTACTTTCTTGAAAGGCTTAAGTAACAGTACTTGTAAAAATAATAAACATTTTAACAATGGCCGATTGGGTTAGTTTTTAGTGGGTTGTGAAAGTACATTTTCAATATCATTTCATTATCATTTATATCAATTTTCAGCATAAAATTCATACTGGTGATAAGAAAGTTAGAAACTGATTTAACAAAAACGTTTTTTATATTGTTTGATTATTCATTCCTTCTAATTGACTCATGTAAAATAAATAATTATCAAAAGTTTATCATAACTAAAAAAAAATTAAAGCTTTCTGTACGTAATTTTGATATTGGCAATAAATTGTATGAAAAGAATGCCTATTATCACGCTGCAACTAACAGTTCATAAGTTCATTGTTATTATCTGTTATCTTTGTAAATGATTCATTTGCTTTTGCCGTAAGAGTTCTTTGAAGTGACTAAGGGAGATAATGGGCTAATCTTAGGCGTCTTTCTTAAAATCCTTCTTCCTACAATGTACACTATTTATGTGCAAACATTGATTACTTGCCTGCAAAGTAAAGAAGAAGAAAAAATTGCTTTCACAACAGCATGCTTTTTTTTCTTTCCCTTCCAGAGCAAGAGGTGGAACAATAAATATCAACCACATATTTTAACAAAATGAGATTCTATTCTAATTCAATTATTGGGCCCTTGTCATAAAAAAACGTTGTAATGAATGATGTGGGCTCTCCCACACTACAGTATCGTGATTATACTTAAATTACATCGTCTTCAATTGGAGGAGTTTCCTTGAAGGGCTCTCAAATTATTGATAAATTGAAGATTAATTATTCTTTTATAGTGTTGATTATTAGAACAAATTATAATGTCCATTTGAGAATACTTTACCCGAAACCCTTCCAGTGATAAAATTATTTGTATAACTAATTAATAATTAATGGTATAAACATTATTGAATTAATTGTGTTGAACAATTAGAATGAGGATACATGAAAGTTGAAGTAACACATTTTGTGTTTTCTTTGGATGCTCGAGAACCCCTCCAGTGAAAAGCTCAATAAATGCTAAATGGTAAAGCCAGTGGGTTCTGCAGGGAAGAAAGCCTCCATGTAGCCTCTGGGGAAGTTTGTAAATAGCCAGTGCTACAAAAAGCAAGTCAGTAGTTGAGTGGAGTTGTGTTGACAGATCAGTTGGTCACTGCAGTTATAGTCTATTGTAGTTTAGAGTTAGTCATTGATAGTGCCCAGTGGTGAGTTAGAAGTTGGGTTTTGAATGTGACAGTAGTTGGTTAAAAAAATAGACGATGGACCTTGTTTGGAATGAGCTTTTGTAGTATCTAGCTTCAGCTTAGTTTAATCATATAACAAAGTTGAAACATAGAATAGTGCTGGTTTCAGAAAAAATGGAATCCTTGACTATTTATGATCATGTGGAGAATAGGAGTCAGACAGGGATGTATTCTAAGCTCCATTTAATTTGGCAGAATCTCACCCACCAAATTATTGCAAAAAATGGGAAATTACAGTTGGAGGTGGTAAAGTGTTAAGAAAGAAAAAGAAAATGTGCGTTAATCAGATGTGGACTTTTATATTTCAATTATTCACTGATGAAAACGTGATATAGTGAGGTTGCTAGTGATTATCTATTACACCTTATACACGAATGCTGACCTTGTGGAATTGTAACCATTAGGTATATTGGTGGCATTATTCTACGTCAGAGAATAAAAGTTATATGTTGGCTTTTAACATTGTTTTTATTTTAATTAATTATACTTTTTATCTAGGGTCTTGGTTGAGATGAAAAAGCCAGCATCATGAGTGGGATTCGAACCCATGATCTTCGGCTAAATACGCCACTGCTTTAAACACTTGAGCTATTGTGAATTTGAGTAATGTAGTTAGAACAGCAGTGTATTGAGCTGAAGGTCATGGGTTCGAATCCTGATTGTGATGCTGGATTTTCATCTCAGCTAAGAACTTAGATAAAAGGTAATAGGTAGGTAGGTCAAGTATGACTATTAAATACATATATGGATTTATTTTTATACGCCACTTTTTTCATCCAAGGTTCTATGTTGAATAGATGATGGTGGATTGAGGAGTGGTGTTAAGGAAGCCAAACTGAAGATGTGCTATTTTGGTTCCTCTTGGATGGGAAAGATTCTTTCAAGAAGAGCGTCTTGAGAATTTTTTCTAGTTTACTTAAGAAGCTTATTGGGCGATAGGATTGAGGTAAATGGTTAGGTTTGGGGCTTTGGTATTATTTTTACAATGGAAAACTTCAAGTGAATTTCACTTTCGGTTGTTTTATGACATTATACAGGGTGATTCCTTACTCGTACGAAAATGTTTGTCAGGTGCTTCTACACTTCAAATGCAACAAAAAAAAAAGTTACAAACCATGGTCGTAAACTCTTTTGAAGATATTCAATATTTTTTTTTTTTTTCAACTATCTTCGGCTTTTGTCATAAATCTACTTGTAGCTATTGAATTATTCATTTTTGGGAAATGCATAAAAAGTGTTGAAACTAGTTAAATTTCCTATAAGAAGCATCCTTCTAGAACTTTTGTCTCATTTAAGACAACTTGTTTTCTATTCCTGCCAATTTCTTTATTTTAACTATCTATTGACTTCAACAATTATAAATTTCAAAAATTGTACTGTTGATTTGATCATAAAACTTTTTGTTTTATAGGTATAGGACGAGTGTGCTAGTGTTAACCTATATAACTTACATTTGTTACCATGCGGCAAAAAGACCTTTGGCTGTCCTCAAAAGTTATTTTAATAGGAGTTGCACTGATATAATTCCTCCTCCATATATAATAATCAACGATACAAATCGTGATACATGGTGTGATTGGGCGCCATTTGGTAAATATTTTTGTTTTATAAATTTTCATCTGAGGTTTTTGGAGCTTTATTTTTATTTTCAATTATTTTCTTTTAACAGATGGACCTCATGCTGGGACTGTACTCGGTGCCTTAGACTCTTCATTTTTATTCGCATACGCTGCATCAATGTTTGTGAGGTAAAATATTGTTCAAATTTTTCTGTTGCCTGTACTTTTTTTTTAACTAGTTTATTTTATCTTTAAGTGGTTTCGTTGCTGAGCGTATGAGTTTGAGGTATTTTTTGGCTGTGGGAATGATCACTACTGGCATTTCTTGTTACCTATTTGGGCTCGCTAAATATGTGGGAATTCATTTTTTATCGTACTACATTTTTGTTCAGGTATGCTATTAAAAAGAAGAGTGGATGGGAGTGCCTCAGACAAGGGGAGCCTATGGACAGAGGATCATTGATTTTATTGATTTTGTTTTTCCAAAAGTCCTAGGCTGCCAGTTGTGTATGTTCATATTGTTAGATATCTCTCAAGAAGAGTCAATCCAGACTTGACATCAGGGTATGAAGTGAAATGTTTTGGTTTTTTCCTCCAGCTCACTCCTTATTGATCTCCATCATCAAACCCCAAGCGTTTCATCGTTAAAATTATATTTGATTGCAAGCCATAGCTATCTTAGATATTAAATATATTTCAGAATGATGCCACAAGTAAGTTGATTTTTTTCCCGCAAGAAACAAAATTAACATTCGTTTTTACATCTCATAAACAACTGAAAAAATGCTTTTAGAGGAAAAACTCAAATTTTTTGCCTTCCAAACATTTGTGATGTTTGTTTTTTATTCACAAAAACAGAGATAACTTTGATATGACTTTACCAATCAGAAGGAAACTCTACTGGGAATTAAAACCCTGTACACAACACTTAGGCACAAACTCAGGCTTAGTGAATAAATTAGAACTTACGTATAAAATAAAAAGTTCAAGTCGTTTTGGTTGATTTCATGCTTAATTATCTCCTTATAATTATAGAAACTCTAAACATTGCTGATATATACTGAAAAAATAAATATTCAGTTTTCTAAATGTTGATAGATAAAATCCAGGGAAGTTATGAATTTTTAAATGGAACACTGGACATGGGAGAAGAAAAAAACACCCCGAGCTGATCCAACCCAAAAATGTCTTTTTTTGTCATTAAAAATTCAAAATATTTACATGCTTTAATAATTTTATTGCAGCCTCGTATTGCAATTGTGCCCCTCCTGTATGGTATAAATTTCCTATACCTAGAAACATTCTGTATGGAGGGTTGGGCAAGTGTGGCCTATGCACTAGCACTAAACACGTTAACGCAGGGCTTGAAACAAAACCAAATTGTTTCTTTGTTTTTTCAAAGACAAATTTTTTTGACCAACTTGCTGGTTGCGTTTTTTCATTTTTGTAACGTTTTATATATCTTATCTCGTTAATACAATCGTGCATATTATTTTCCTATCTTAGGTAAAAAAAAAAAAAAAAAAAAAAATCACCTTGAAATCCATGAAAACTAAGGCTGAAAAGCATATTTTGAAAAGTTACTTAAATTTCTTAAAAATATTTGATTTTCTCGGCTACGAGGGCCCATAGGCAAGAACACTCAGGCATGCAATTGTGTAATATTTTTTCGTCCTAGTATCACAAAAAAAGTTCCATTTACATTGATGATCCCATGTCCGAAACCTTGCCCTTGTGAGTGAGTGTCTGTATGTAAACCTATATTTACTCATTGCTTTATGAATAGATTATTTTTTCTTCTCAAAACTAGATATTTGGCGGTATTGTACAAAGTACAGGATGGCCAGCTGTTGTGGCTGTGATGGGGAACTGGTATGGAAAAAGCAAGCGAGGTAATCTTATTACTTTTTACACCCATTTGCTTGTGTAAAATTGTACACATTTTTATTGTGGTTTATTGTGCTTTATTCAATATCAAATATTTATATATACATGTAGTATGTTTGGGATAATCATTTAATTAGAACCTCTATATTGGGAGAATGCAATTGTCGTTGTGAAGCTTTTTATTTTTAATTAATTGAATTATTAAGTTTTTAAAATCAAACTTTGTTAATACAATTTAGCATATAAATTGTTATTTCAGGCCTTATTTTCGGCATTTGGAATTCTCACACCTCCGTCGGAAACATGCTTGGCAGCATTATAGCTAGTTACTTTCTTACTATTGACTGGGGATTATCATTTATTGTGCCGGGTTTGATAACAGCCGCAGTCGGATTTATTAATTTTCTTTTCCTTGTTGACAAACCAGAACACGTCGACATATATATAAACGTACCTGACGAAAGTGAACATAGTGTGGTGAGTATTATTTATTTTTCATTTGAACCGTTGCAATTTGTTTCAAACCAAAATATAAAACCATGTTAGTTGTTTATGCTTGTCAAATTTTTTATTATCTTTAAATTAAGTAGCAAATTGCATGTCAAAATGTTCATTGTGTTGTATTAGTCAGTGCATTCAATTTGTCATGTTTTGATTATTAAATATTAAGTCAAATATGAATAACAGAAAGGGTAAGTTACAAGAGTTGATAACAATCACATTTTGGGTTTGATTTGTTGTTTTCAGTGGTATAAGTTTTGCTTGCTGTCATACTGCATTCACCTAGAGGATTTTCTAGATTATTTGCTTAAAAATAAACGTTGATAAAGGAAAAGAAAATGTTTAGAAAGCAGATTTTTTTCTCTCTTATGGGTTTTGTTTTAGTTTTGTCTGATTCATCATGAATAATTACTGATAACTATTCTTTGTTTAAATAATCTAAATTGTGTACGTTTATGGTTTAAAGCACAGTAATTGTGGTAAGAAGCTAAAAAGCAAAATTCTGTTTTAATCGGTTTATAACTACCAGTCCCTAAAATTAAAGTTTTCTTTTTAATTTTAATTACATTATTTACATCATTGATGGTGTTATGGTTTGGTACAGGTTAGATTTGGTAGGGTGGGGCTAGGATTGGGGGTAGGGATGGGTTACAACAGCACTAGAACACTCCAAGAAATGTTGTCTTTGTGCATTTATATATATAAATCACTTTGAAGGAAATTGCGAGATTATTGGTGCAATTTAATTCCGTTCATCCAAATTGGTGTACAAAGAGGCATTATAATGAAAGTGTCGATCTGTTGTCAGTCTTTCGAGCTGGGCTAAGAGGTTGGGATGAGGCATGTATTGAAAACTTGTAGTTACGAGGACATAAGGGATCTGAAGGTCTGTTGGATAAGGTTGGCTACAAAGTAGATAGGTTGGGCAATGGTTCGAAAGGCTGGAGTAGATTCTTTGGACCTTGGAACGTTTAATGGAATGCCACAGTTCAATTCGTCCTGATTGATTGTATGATGTGTAGATGAAGCATTTATTTGACAGTGAAAGTTCGATCTGATGTCAAGTAGTATTTTGATTAGTTTGAAGCGTCTGTTCAGTTCTGTTCTTTTGAGTTGAATGTGGGGTTCCAAGTTGATGTAAAGCCCCAAATAGTGAAGGACTTTGCTGGGATTTGGTTTCATTGAGACTGAACCTCCATTTTTATAACCATTCTTCCAAACAGTAAAGATGGTTCTGGAGGTTTATGAAGGCCACAACTAGGTTTGGGTGTATCATCTCCATATGTAAAGAGTACTTTATCAGTATTAATAAGAATCTGTGCAATGTATACTGAATAGAGAATGGGACCGGGAGTGCTGTCTTCTAGAACACCCGCTTTATAGTGGATTAGAGAGAAGGATTCCCATTTGTACTTTAAGTCAGATGGATAATAAGATGTTAGGATGAGGTAATAGGTGCGACACTCGAAGGCTTGTTTCACATCTAGGAAAGCACTCCAGTAGCATTCCTTCCACTCAAGGGAGAATACGATTATGTCTGCCATCCTGCAGTACAGTTAAATGGTAGTGTGACGTCTGAATTTTTTGGGATAGAATGACATTGGACATTTTCAAAAATGAGATGTAGTTGTTTCCAGAGGATTTTGACGACTGCAAACTGATTGGACGATATGACAGATGCTGAGGTTTTGTAGGTTTGATGGGTTTTATGATTGATAATTTCAATCAGATTGGGAAGTAGGTAATGCTAAGGACTGACTAAGGCCTTTTTAGAAACATTTCAGAGGGTGTTTGTCAAAAATGGTCCAATGATGGATCTAGAACGCAGGGGCAGGAGAACCAAATAATCAAAACCGATGGGAAAAAAAACATTATTTTCCAGACTCAAATCCTTGCAATTGAGAAATGTACCCATTTCAATTTGAACAGAGTACAATAATAAGAATATAATGCCAGATAGCCCAAGCAGCCATCATTCACTAAGTTCAAGCATCATTAGCTGAAAGGTGGTGCTGAATTGCAAAATTAAACTAAACTGGTTAGGTATGCAAAATAAAGTCCCCCTCTGCTGAGTCCCAGGACATGTGACAGGTAGAGGGCAATGAGAGGGGGGCCCTTTGCAAGGAACAGGGCTGCTATACCCTTTGTTTGCTGATAGGTCCTGAGCCCTTCTGTGGCACAGTGGAATTCACTCATTGGACATAAACAATTGAAGAATCTTTTAGCAAATTTTGGAAGGAAAGAATGCATTAAAGGAAGCAGGAAAAAACTTTGACCCCTAACAGGATTCTTAACAGGACACTAGACGGAATGAACATCTGAAGAAGTTTAGCATAACACAACACGGCATGTGCAGATTCTGGAAAGAGGCAGAGGAAACACCAACATACCTACTAACAAACTGTTGTGTGCTACTCTTGCCCGTAGGAGGAAGTATTTTGGTAGGTACGATGTAACTGTAGAAAAGAGTCTTCCATTCAAACTGGGCCTACTAATCAAGTTTCTTGATGAACTAGAGCTAATGGTGTGCTATAACAACAGAATGGGGGATATAATAGCTCTTAAAGGGTTGAGTATACTACACACCCGAATGATACATCTACAAGGTCAAATTCGGGGGGGGGGGGGTTGTTTACTGGGAGGTGACTTGATGGTGAATTTGTCCTCTGATTTGTGTGAATGGTTTAGGGGAAGGAGAGGTTAGGTTAGGTAAGTTAGCCAAACGGGCTTGTTGAATGTTGAACTAATATTTGTAGACATTATTATGCACATTGCTTGCACTAGTTAAAAATAAAGCTCGTATTGGTAAATTAGTATAATTATTGAAATGTAATTTTGATTGATGCTTTGGAATTGTTATTGTAAGTGTGCAAGTTCCGTTGATAAGCTTCTTGTGACGTTCTAGCAACATGAAGATCAATCGTCTGAAAGCGCACATGAGAATTCTGATAATCCCAATACAGCACTACTTAGTTACCAGGTATACTACTTTTCCCAACTGTTTCACAGTTAACTTGTGCCTAGTTAAGAGAAAAAAATTTATGAGTAAAAATGCACCTGATAATTAAAAAGCACAGCTTAGATTATAATTGTATATTGATTTTAGAATTCTAGAAAATTATATTCACAGGAGAGAGAGGAGAGAACAAGAAGGGATGAAAATGCAATCGGAATGATAGCTGCATTAAAAATACCGGTACTTCATTTTTTCAATTATATTTAATTTTATTCAGAATTTGATTTATCATTTTCTTTAAGGCTGTAGTTGAATTTTCTCTCTGCCTTTTCTTCGCTAAACTAGTTTGTTATACGCTATTGTTCTGGCTGCCGTTCTACATTAACAAATCAAGTAAGACATTCTTTGCAAAGAAAAGATTATATTAATAACATATTTATGTCATTCTAGCTACATATGGTGAAAAATTCAGCGGATACATTTCGACGATATTTGATACCGGAGGAATCGCTGGGGGAATTATCGCCGGGGTGTTAAGTGATCATTCAGGAAAAAGCGCCCTTACATGCTCATTCATGTTGCTTGTGTCTATTCCTTTAGTAAGAAGCATTCATTGTATATTGTCCACTGATATAATTGACTTACTATATCTTTACAGCTTTGTGTTTATTTTCTTTACAACGAGCTTTACAAAGCAGCAAGCTTTGCATTGAATGTTACATTATTGGCCCTGGTGGGTTTTTTTGTCAATGGGCCTTATGCATTGATCACTACAGCGGTATCTGCCGAGTTGGGGACACACAACACTCTTGTTAACAATTCCAAAGCATTGGCAACAGTAACAGCTATAATTGATGGAACTGGATCTATAGGTAATGCTTAAGAAATACTCTTTATGAAGTTTCACGAGAAAATAATAATATAATGTGCATTCAGAGGGTTGTCAATGGCTGCTGCAGTTGAGGCATTGACATGGAGCTCATCACTGTAAAGGTGCTGGGTTCGAATCCAACGGCCTACATTTTTTACGAGTTTTTTTAGAAGCAATTAGCATAATGTACACATTTTGGAAACAATTCCTTTTACTCTCTTCCCTTACAAAATTATTTAAACTTGGTCTCTCTCTCTCTCTCTCACACGCATACACACACACACACACACACACCCTCTCTTTCTTTCTCTATTACTCTCCCTGACTCCTCCTCTCTCTCTCTCACTCTCCCTCCCACCCCCTCCCTCTCTCCAGCTCCAGAGCTTCTGTACTCAAATCCAACAATGGGCTTTTTTTTTCCAAAAACATCGGCACCCCCATGGTTTTCGTGTAACTTTGTTCTTAAAATTCTCTCAGGGGGAAAAAATAAAATAAATTTGCATTATGATAAATAACATTGAAAATGTATTTTGTAGGTGCTGCAGTCGGGCCGTTACTTGCTGGGATTTTACTCCAGTATGGTTGGGACAAAGTATTTTATATGCTATTAGCATCGAACATTTGTGCATTTCTTGTAAGTGCATTTCTAAATATACTTTATGTGTATTTCTATATTGATATTTTTTGTTTTAGATGCTTACAAGGCTGGTGCTAAAAGAATTATTTGAAACACCCAACGTAAGAGGCTAGTAATGTGATAGATTTTGTGACATTAGTTTTAATTTGTATTGCATAAATGTTTGTATTTAAAAAAAAGTGTTTTCAACCAAATTTATTTATGTATATATGGTACATATTTTATAACAATTTAAGAAAGATTTTTATAAAGATTTACTGTTAAATTGTTTTAATATATTACGTTTTCCGTGAAAGATCAAGTTTGTTGATAATTTTTTAAGTCGCTAGTTAATAAAACTTATATTCTGATGAAGTTCTTTGAAGCTTCATGAATCTTACAATCTTGTGACTTTAAACTGATTGAAATAAGGGTGCATTTGGCACCAATGAACTACAAACATGAGGAGGCACTGTATGTGGGATGACAAATTTCAATTAAACTTTTTCGTGATACTAGGTCGAAAAATATTAGTGGTATGTAAATAGGAGAGAATGTATTTAAGAATTGCTGGTGGACTGCAAGAAGTGATAGGCTCATCTTTGAATGTGTGTGTGTGTGTCGGTGGGTGTGTATGAACAAACATGAGCAAATAAAAATTGAGCATCTGGGGTCCCCTGTTTTGGATTTTTGCAGGAAACATGGTGGCTTTTTGTATGTAGTACTGATAATTAGTGGACCTAGTTGTGTGAGAGTGAATGTATTTATTAGTCTGAATGTGTAGTGTGAGAAGGGTGATGGCAGAATATTGAGGACCAATCGTCCCTCAATTAGATTAGTTATATAGTCGGTGTAAAGGTGATTGAGGAATATCGAGTACTACCTGGAGCTCAACCTCGGTGTCTGGAAGGATAAGACCGATGTCAGACCCCACCACACCTCAACACCCGGGGTGGGTGATTCTCGAGGCTTGCCAGTGATTTATTGTAAATAACTAAAGCTGGAATTGCTGGTGGACTGCAAGGCTCATCTCTGTACATGTGTGTGAATACGTACAAGCAAATAAAATAAATTTGAGCTTTTATAAAATCCAAATCCTATTTAGAAGGTGAGTGTTTAAATAGAAATAACGATTTTGCAACGTTTCAGTGATCTTGTGCCATATTCCAAGGCATATTTTATTTTTTAACATTGCAAGAGTTGTATACATATTGCTGTGGCATGACAGGGAACCCTACTGTATTTAGGAAGAGTATCAAAATAACAGGGATCCTCTCCTCCGTGCTGAAAGTGTTAAAGATATATTTTACCAATAATCAGATGCATTGGGAGGGCACATAATTTGAGAAAAACTATTTCTTGATTTTCCAAAAATTTGTATTCAAGTTTTTCAGGGTATGAACTTTATTCCTTGCTAAAATAATATTTAACCTAATTAACAATGTCACTAGGTCAAATTATGTATCTCAAAATTTTGATCCTTAAAGGTAAAGCTTTGCCCACTAGAATGTATCATACTAGGACCGTAACAAGATATTTATTATAGTGTCCGAAATGGAAATACAGCAGCTTGCACCACCTACCTCAATTTCTACATTTCAATATGCATTTTCAAATAATTCCCCAATCGAATAATAGCTACACCTTATCAACGCAATCGACATTGAGTAATCCCTTAACTGCTGCACATATATCAACGCCTCCTGACAATTGGATCAGTCACAAATTCAACAACAAAACTATACTTAAAATAATTTAATTACTTTTTATCATAATTTAGAATATGTCTTTTTAAATAAATTCAGAAAAATAATATTATATACTTGAAATAAAAAATTGAATAAAATAAATAATTTGTGTTTTACTTACTGTAGACACAGCTAGCTTTTCTTTTGGTGGGATACTTTCTCTAAAAATGGTGTTTTTTTTTTTTGGTAATGTCATTTTCAATTTTTCCGAACAATTCATTAAATTTGGATGATGTCATACGAAAATACTGGAGAAATTTTTCTTCAACATCAATTAAGTGCCTGTGCAAAGTCCAATATTCGCCCTCAGTTTTTCGATTTCGTATAGATTCGTGAATCCAGTAGCGTCAAATGTTTTTTGGTTTTCCACTTCTTCGCCCAAAATAATGGCAACCACTGCCAATTCTCATATAGATAATTTTCTAATAGCCATATTTTATTTAACAAAATTCACTCCACACGCAAAAACAAAAGTTCACGAACAATGCGTCACCAATTTAACAAAAGAAATGTACGACCGACTTTAGTAGGACAGCTATGAATCATTTTTATATACACGTTGCATACGGGTACAGAACGCGGTTCATCTGTTGCAGTAGGCATAGTAGTGACCATAGCGTTTTTTTCATGCCTGACATGGTCCTAGAATGATACGTTCTAGTGGGCAAAGACCCCCGATGGTGTTTACTGGAAGCATCTTTTGGTTTTTGTTTATCTAATCCCATTTGATAAGACACTGCATATAATTTTATAAATATTTGTGCACAACAAAGAGAATATTTTTAAAAAAAAGTTTCATTGAAATCGTCATCCAATGCTCTTAGCCTCCTTTTGTATCTAAATAGTCACAAATAGAAAAAAAAATTGAGTTCAGGTTGCATATTAAACACACTATTTTCACTCAAAACAAACCAAGGAAGTATAGTAATAATTTATTAATATGAACATAACATGGAAATGACCAACAAGTAATAAAAACTAAAAGCTGTGTTCTGTCTTCAAAATATCCACAATAATAAATTTTATTTCATATATTAATATGTAATTATTGACTTCAACTAGCAAGCTATCTGTTCAGGTGTTTTTCTAAATTTCAAAAACAGTGTGTACTCATTTTAATTTAAGGACAGCCTTTACTTATCCTTTAGAGGATAATTAGATAACAACTTCATTCATTTTTTTAAATGTATGATATAAGTTATAATTTTTTCATGAATAAATAATTTTTACAAAATTCATTGAACTTTCCCAAATCTTCCTCGATTGATAGTTGCCCTTGGATTTTCGGTAGTACATACTGTTTTAAAAACAGATCAAAAGTTTACAATATACAAATTAATGTTATCATTACTACTTTGTACTCGACATAACAATACTTAAGAAAATAAATATCACAACACTTATCGTTAGTAGTATGGATAGTTCAAATCCTATTAAATCATTTAAAAATTCAGTATAAAAATATAATTTCAGTTTTAGCATTTAGTTTAGTTTGGCCTAATAAAAACAATAACAACAACGATATAACTTAAAGCTCGAATTTTGGTCATAAAAGTATTATGATTAAAATACGGTTTCGCCGAATATTTCTAACACAACTTTTATGTAGGTAGTCTCAGATGGAAATTCACAACATAATCAGAGTTTGTTCGTTGTACACTAATTGCAAATGGTTCAGTTGGGTGAAATGTAAAAGCTACCAGTCTCCTTGCCGCTGGGGGTGGGCTTCTTCCAATAACTCCGGCGTATATTTGAAATTTTAGTAGTCCCGATTGCCGGGAATAAAATCTGGAGAGAAAAAAAATTCTTCGGTGTACATAGCACAAACCAAAAATTTGTTAATCAAGTTTCACCATAAAATTCTCACCTTATAGGATGTTCTCCGCATGCTTTTGGTCTTTCCATTGCCGAAATCCACTTATCGTCGTAACTAAAGAGCGATAAATCTAAATAAGGACTACAGCTGTAGGACTGCGCGCTAATTGGTAACTGGGCTAAAATTCGTTTTCTAGCTTCTACAAGACCTCCATATTTCGCTCCCACAATGGTTTGTTTAAACCTCAGTTGATTTATCCTACAAAAATGATACTGGAAATTTTACACATGCCTAAAAACTATACAAGAAGGCTTCAGGAGAAAAAACGGTAGTAGTTTTACCCCAGATTCCTTATTAGTAAATACTACTTTTTAACCTCTTAAGTGGAAATGACAGGCAAAGCAGCAGCAGTTTTCTCTCACTCTCTTTAAAATTATCTAGTTTTCGTGAGTTGACTGTCGTACATACATAAAGTATAAATTCCCCGAATTAGAAAATATACTATACAAAATCATTATTTTATTTTAAAGCATAATCTACAAGGATTAACACATTCAGTATGGCAGTGCCTTACAGACTTTGTAGCTGAGGCCAGGACCTGCACTATCAGGAGCGTCCCCCAGCCAGTTGATACTATTTCATTGTCTTGAAATCTAATCCAATTCAGTTGCACTTTTTAGCTGTGTATTACACACTCACGCATGCACAAAAGAGAATATACATTATATATACCCTCATAAAGCCCATCACCATTGATTATCAAAATAATAAATAAATAAAATAAAATAAATAAAAAGGCGGCTAGGACGCATCTGAGCATTGGATTTTAACATAGAATGCACCTGAGTGTCCTCTGTACTTATTGTGTTAAACAATAAATTGAAGAAAAAAGTGTTATTTGTAAAATCCCAACCCTGTTTGAGTACTGCTACAAACTTTATTTTTATTTATTTATAGGAAATTGAGAATCCTCAAAGACATCTATATTTCTGCACAATTTTTTATTTATTGTTTGATAGTAACCTGTCATCTTAGTCTGCCTTCGACATATAATGAAAATTCCTTTCAGAAAAACTCACTTGGCTGAAGGGAAAATCATTTTAAGTACACAAATCTCTTCACCATATTAAATAAACAGGAAAGTTTTGGTCTTTCCAAGACCACTTATTTCCCCTAGCATATTTTAATACTGAATCCAACATCATGCTGAAAGGCTCTGGGCCACTTATTGGGTTCATCATCTTATTGTTTGTTGAACTACTCGAACCGGTGAGTGAAGGTGGACCCAATAAGTGATCTGGTGCAATTCAGCATGAGTTCACAGACTCGCAGACCAACACCCAGCATCAACTCTGAATCCAATATGTTAGAGAAATAAATTTAAAAAATTCACCTGGCATAAACATTATTGGAAGGAGAGCTCATTATTGGGCCACCTGTCGGCGGCCTAGCATTTCTAAAATGATCACAGAAGTTTTCAAACAATTCCACTAGTTCTTTTGTTTTGCAATCATAAAAACGTAAAATCTGAAAGAAAAAAAGCAATTCTGTCAGGCTTGAATAATACGAGTAAATGGAAAATCGCCATTGAAATACTAAGTAAAATTAATACATCAAATGTTTAAATTACCTTGGTCGATCTTATGTTGTATATGATAAAAAATGAGGCGTGTGAGTTTGGTTCTGAAACTTTAAGTGTAACAACTTCTTCAGAGGCGTATTTGACAAGTAGATGGTCTTCATCTAGTAACTGCATCTTCCACATTCTTAATGACTTAATCTAGAAAATAACATCATTATTAATGATGTACAATAAAAGGTACAAACATAATTCTTAACCCATTCAGTATGGTCAGCATGACTGATATGATCATTGGTTCCCAAGTGAAGAACTGAGGGTGTAATATCACGCTCATCCCTTTATGCATAGCTTGATGTCGCGCTCTCGTCTCTTTAATTTTAGATGGAAGTTCATAGAATTTGTGCTTGTTTTGATATTTTTAGCGCTAGTGAGAGTAGGAAATTTAAAATTTTAACACCATTTACAGTTTCAAAATCAAACAAGTATATAATGAGTTATATATTACAAGTAGAATAGCATTGGGCTTCTCAATCCTCGCTTTACCCATTTGTTTAAATGACAGAAAGGTTCCATCAAGAGCAATAATTTTCTAATGCATGTTCTTCCAAAAGGAAGCAGATCAGCAGAAGGCATTTAATAAAAACATTAGAGCAGCGAATACTAAGATCTAGGACATCAGAAAGGTCATTTAAATAGAGAGTACAACAAGGGGCTGAGGACGCATCCTGGTCTAATACCAGCCAGACTCAACATGGACATATTGGAAGACCATTCCAATAATTTAAAGTACAGATTCCTGAAGGAGTAAAAGCAAAACGATGATTGCAGATAGTAAACATTCTTCTGTTGTTTTGCAATCTTCTGAATATGAGTGTGTATCAAATATATTTTCTCTTAAAAATGTCAGAGAGGTTGTAGACTTGAAAGGGGTTGACGTGCAGTGGATTGTACCGTTAGGGATGGGGAATTGGCTGCAATTCCCCCAAGTCCCTTTATTATCAATAGAAACCATGACTGAGAAAGAAGTGCGTTATTATCAGTCACAGAATACTGTTGTCTTTATCTTACTTTCGATCTGTTTCCACACACTGAAAACCTCATTACGATTTTTGCAATTTGGATGAGAAGCTTTCCAAATTATTGGTTCAGCTTAGTACAGATTGAGGAACTGCAAGTTGTGCCAATCTATTCCTAAGCAAAAGAAACAATGCTTGTTGTTCTTTCACTTATACATCTATACTAGTTAGAAATAGTTATTATTGAAAAATCAATAGCAGTAAATACTTATTGCTGACTGATGACTACAGTTGATTCCCAAATGTGTGGAAGCTTTGAGTTTGGCTACTTCATGAATATTCGTGCACTTTGAAGTGGACAAGAAACCTGACAATTAGCAGAGGAACGCAAGCACCGAATAATGTTGCTCGGCGAATAGCCAAGCACCATCCCCACTAGTCAGGATTCGGCGAACCTTTGCTCGCAATTCGGTGAATCCCGAATGTCTTTATATGCTATTTCTTTGATATAGTCCTGCAGATTATTGACAACGTATTTGAAAATGTAATTAAATACTTACATAGTCAAAGCTTTCATAGAATTTTCTGAGTCGCTTGTAACGGCAGCATGGCATCGAGGACCGGACGAGCGTCCTAAACAAATAGGCCAAGATCCGGTGCTTGAGGCCGCTCAAAATTTTTGACCTGTACGGCCGTTGCAAAGCTTCTATTTCAGTCGGGTCCCTCGAATCGCAGTATGTATTGTAGAACATAGAATTGTCCTGGCTATAGACGAACTGTCCGATCTTCTTCATAAGGACGAACCTACCCTTGCGAACGTGGTAAATGTGGATGGTCTGGTGCTGTACGGAGAGGACGGCGAGTGTCTCCTCATAAAGGTAAATCCCCTGATTGTGGGACAAGTAAATTTTATCAGTCTTGAAGTTAATCGAATCGCAAAGTTTTCCAGATTGAATGTGGACGATGTGAATGGAGTAGTCTTCGAGCGGTGAGCGGGGGTTGGGAGTGACCGCTTCGTTATTGGTGTAGACGTCGTAGAAGTTGGGCCGGTTGTCGTCCGTGATGAAGGCCGCCGCTCCGACGATAACGTGCTGCCCGTCCTGGGTGAAGAGGCTGCACTCCCGGTTCAACTGCTGGCCCCTCGGTGCGACGGGGACGCAGAATTTGCACTTGAACAGGTATTCGAACGCGACGAGGCGGATGTAATCGTTGAGTGGGTCCGCTTTGAAAGCCAACTGTTCGTTGACGCACGTGTTGAGGATGCCGTTGAGCGATGTCGACCCCTCGTAGAGGTAGATCTCGACGCAGGTCTGGTCAGCTGAAAACGCGATGAAATACCTGCCGTCGGGGCTGAACTTGCGCAAGAAGCAAGGCGGCTTCTCGACGTTCACTATCGTGTAGTCGGGCACGACATTCTCGTAGAAGGAACGGTTCACGTACATCGAGGTGCCCATCTTTACCTCGCCGAAAAGCTCCCGCGTCCTCAGCTTGTCCACTATGTTCTGAGACTTGACTCGCCTCTTGTTGAAGTAGTTGGGGATGCCGTCGAACTGCATCTCGGCCGGCGGTTTCACAACGGACAGACTCCCTCCTCGGGGAACGGGACGCCCATCTCAGACGGAACCCAAGACGGGACGAAAAGAGGAAAAACGCCGTCACCGGACCTCGGCCCAAGAGACTCCAATTGAAAAACGGCACATGTCTTCAAATCTGCAGGAAGGTTAAACGATAGATAGACGGGCACGTTCGAGATCGCGAAAACAAAGCCTGCCTCGCGCGTCATCGAAGTACCACGCGCTTCACGAAGTCTACAGCCAGGTCCAAAAAGTTTCAACACACCTTTCAAACTATAATTATTATTAATCAATTAATATTAGTTACAATTTATTGAATTTATTAAAAATTACAAACGTTGGAATTACTGATGGGCTGCGAGAAGTGATAGGCTCAGGGATAAGGATAAAAAAGGTGGCCTCAAGGACTTCTCCACCTCGACCTCACCAGACCTATTGTGCTCCTCTATTTATGTATAACTCACTGCCAGTTTTAGGTTGTTAATCGACTGCCAGCAGCTCCTTAGAGTAAGGATCTTGCTTGCGAATTTTCCTCTCCTCCAAGAATCTACACCTACATAAACCCTCACAGAAATATAGATTATGTTCTATGGTAGTGCACAGTGTTTCTTCTGCCTGTTCTCCCATCCGGTGCATATGCCTTCTTTGGCAGCAGTGCCCTGTCATCAGTCTAACTAGAATCTTGGGGTATTGTTCCACGAAGTTTTTGGATTCATTAAGGATCCATTTTTGGTTTTGTCCTTTTTTTTGTAGCAAGATTCTAGGCCACAATAAGGTTCGGGGCATAGAGAATTCATATTGGCTCCTTTATTGGCCTTCTTCTTCTCATTGCTTCTATGTCCCAAATGACCAGATACAGATGCCAAGGAATCCATATGTTCTTTGCCTTTAAATTACATGCGACTAAGGCCTTAAATGCTGCCTGACTGTCAAAGAAAATGGCTATCTTCCTGGAAAGTGATCCTAGACTTTTTATTTCTCTGGCGCAGTGTTCGATTGCTATGATTTCAGACTGGAAAACTGTAGCATATCTACCTAAGTGTAAAGTCATTTCGGTTGTCACATTCACCTTGAGGTTACCAGTTCCCATGCCCCTATCCATTTTGGAGCATTCAAAGGTATTCCTTTTTTCCTTTACATGTTGGTGAAGTTATATTTGATAGAAGTGCATTGTTTGACATGCCTAGTACAGCATAACCTTCACTCTGTTTCCGTTGTTCATTGATATGGCCTATCCTAGCAGATGGTTGTTCATTTATAACGCTTTGAGCTGGTGCTGAGGCTTCTCCTCAGATTATTATATGACACAGTGGAAGTTCACAGCTCCAAGGCGGCAGTTGGCGTTGGCGTTGCACTCACTGATCAAGTGACACTGAGGCAAGCTGTCTTTGAGTGTCACTTAATAGCCTGAACAACTTAGCCTGCAGTCTTGATCCACCACTCCACTGACCCACATTGGTTTATGAAACAGGTGTAGAACCATAGGGTCATTATGGGATTTAGTCCCTTGTTTGTGGCGCAGAGCCTTCTGCACTTCTCCCAGGCAATTTTTTCTCTTTGGGTAGTTTTAATTAGATGTAATTCCATGAATCACTGGCCTAGTGTGACCCCCTAAATATTTGGATAATGGAGTCAGTGTCCCTAATTCCAAATTAGGCTTGGAATTTTTAGGCTGTGAGAATTTTAGGTTCTGTACATGTGTGTATGGATGCAAATTTGAATATATAAATCAGTAATACATTTTCAAGCTTTAAAAAGTATTAAAACAAAGCTCTCTAATTCTTCAGAGTAAAGATATATAAATATATATTATAATAAAACAAAATACAAAATATATGTTGTATTTACATTTATAAATGATTAGTTTTTCTACCAAAATGGGGATCAAGCAGGGATGTATACTTAATCCTCTATTTACCCTGTTTCTGCATGACCTTCTGGAAGAAATTGATGGCATGTTAGTCGGCAGTACCAAGATAAATGCTTTACTGTACACCAATGGTATTGTGCTGATTCCTGATTATAATATAGTATGAATAGAGTTTTACATTTTAAGATACGCACGTTGAGTGGATATACAGGAAAGTAGAATCTTTCAAGCCAATTAAAAAAAAAACACAAAAATCATGGTGTTTATGAAGGATTCGGATCTATATAAGCTCAAATCCGCACATGTACGTACACATGAGTTCGGAGTCGAATCAATCACTTCTCACAGTCCACCGGCAATTCCAGCTTTTATAATTTACAATAAATTACCAGCGGGCCTCGAGAATCTCCCACCTGAGGTTTTGGCAGTCCGAGGTCAAACCTCAGTCTTATCTGTCCAGCCACCAAGGTTGTATTCTATCAACAGCTAGGTCAATTCAGCACCGAATGTGTGCGGTTCCTAAATCCAAATTCATCCACGCTCTCACTCATTCTTTCCTGCTGCCTCTACGCTTGTCATAATGATCCTCCATTGGCTTTGGAGACAGGAGGCAAGAGTACTTGCAAATAAGTTCTTTCCTATTTACACACCATTCACTCAAGTAGGGTGGAGTACTTGATATCCTCGTTCACCCTTTACACCTATCACATAACTAAACTAATTGAGGATCGATGGGGTATTCAGTATTTTTCAAACAGCCATCTCACACTACACATACATGCTAACAAATACATTCACTCCAACACACTATGTAAACAAGATAAGACTCAGTATTATATTCAATAAAACAACTGTTTCCTCCAAGAATCAGAACCATGAGGCCCAGATATTCACTGCTGTGCTCATGTTCAATTATCATATCTGGCGGCACTCCAACGTGCTCACTGTGCTGAGCCAAGTTGCTCCCTTAAATTATGTGGGAGACAAGCAACTTTTCTCTACATGCCTGATGCCGGACACACAGGTTTTATAATTTATTTCCAATTTTTGTAAAATCAGTTTTCAAAATTTTCTTTAGTGTAATACTTCTGCTCTTAAAACCAGTTTTGTTTTTAATAGTTATATTACTTCACTTTTCTAATTTTCATTTATAATGCAGCAACTTCGACAATTAGTTGTTTTATCCTTATCTGAGGGAGTAAGGTCGAAATTTCTTTAAAAAACAATAAAAATAATAATTTACAATATATTTTCATAAAAACCTATTATATTGGGTTGTCCGGAAAATAATGCAGGATTTTGGTATTAAACAAAAAAAAAGAAACTAGTTACTTTAAAGCAATGTTCTTTAATCAAAATAATTTCCCATACTCTCAATACATTTCTCCCAACGTGTTGGTAACTTATTAATTCCGTCTGAGTAGAATTCAGAATTTTTAGAATTGATAAAGTCAATAAATGCATTTTCCAGTTCCGTTTGATTTTTGAATATTATGTGTTGTAAGTAGTGGTCCAGGTGTCTAAAAAAATGGTAGTCAGTAGGCGAGAGGTCCGGAGAGTAGGGTGGGTGAGGCAAAGTTTCATAGCCAAGCTCCAATAATTTTTGTGACGTTACACGTGACACATGTGGTCGAGCGTTGTCATGCAACAAAATGGGCCCTTTCCGATTGACCAAAGAGGGCTTCATTACTGCCAATTTCTGATGCATGGTATTAATTTGGTTACAGTATGATTCAGCATTGATGGTTTCGCCAGGATTTAAGAAGCTGTAGTGTATTAAACCAAATGAAGCCCACCATACCGTAACCATTACCTTTTTTTGATGAGTTGGGGGCTTTGGAGCTTCTCCTTTGTCGAGCCACTGTCCAGAACGTCTAGTGTTATCGTAGAGAATCCACTTTTCGTCACATGTAACAATTCTGGCCAGAAATGGGTCATTTTTGTTTCGACAAAGAAGTGATGCACAAACATCAAAGCGCTGATTTTTTGGCGATCGTTTAATGAGTGTGGAACCCAATTTTCGAGTTTTTTCACTTTTCCAATCGCCTTGAGGTGGTCAGCGACGGTCGTTTTACTGACTTTGAGTTGCTCTGCAAGTTCTCGAACAGTTGTTTTGGGGTTTTCTTCCACCACTGATCGCAGAACATCATCATTAAGAGAGGAAGGCCTTCCACGACCTTCTTCATCTTCAAGGCTGAAATCTCCCTCCCGAAATTTTTTAAACCACCTTTGCACAGTGCACTCATTAACACAACCCTCGCCCCAGACTTGGTTAATGTTTCTAGCCGTTTGGGCTCCGCTTCGGCCGAGTTTAAACTCGTAAAAGAAAATCGTACGAAATTCTCGCTTTGACATTATAAGGATGACTGAATTATTTCCAAGTAGCGGAATGCTACAGAGGTAAACAAACAATATCATTTGGAAGAGGATTAATAAGTGTTGACATTCATACAAATGAGTAATCCTGTAAACGTAAACAGAATATTTTATATAGATTTTTTTTAATGAAAACTTAAAATCCTGCATTATTTTCCGGACAACCCAATAATAATAGGCAAACCTATTAATAACAAAGCAAGGTATAAAACCAAAGCAAACCTATTATAACAATACATTCAAACTATTTATACAAAACATTATTATTTAACTATGTAGAATGGATTTCTTCAAAAACATTGGGGACAGACTAATTTTACTAACAGTAGAAGCATGTTGTCACTTTCCTCTCTCGCACATCTTTTGCAGCAATTTACATGAAGGATTTGTCATTTTTGTGCCTCAGATAGTGAAGGGGAATACAAAAATGGCCAGCAAGAGGACAAAGGATTTGATGGATGGGCATTTAGGGGATTCTGTAAACATCAGGTGTTCTATCACATGTCGATTGGCTTCTGTTTGTCCAATTGGGAATAACTATAGAACAAACTATCCATGAAAAAGTTGAAAGGTTAACCTTTTGTATGATTTTTACCTTCATTTCATAGCTCTTCTTAGAATAACTCCATTATTTTTCAAAAACTAATTTAAACCCCAGGAGAATAGAAATTATTTATTGTTGTAACTAAATTGAATTGAAAATTAAACAAATTAAATGAAAAGAATAAACTGTTAAACTTATGGAGTTTTCTCTAGAAAATCCTAAAAATCTCAAAATATTTTAGCATTTATAACAGTCTATCCATCTTATCAGTAATCTTATTTAATGTAAAAATAATCAAATCTTACTTTGAAAAAGCACAAAGATGATAAAAAAAAAGTTCACAGCCAATATTCTTTGGGATCAATGAAGCCATACCAGAATGGTGCAAACCGTTTGAAAGCTGGTTTCATGCTGAATCTAAAAATTCCTTTAAAAAAAAAGGGGGGAAATAATAGCCAATAGAAAACAGAATAGAAAAAAGATCAAGATAAATTTGTTCAGTGTTAAAATAATTGTTGTATACACATAATTATATATTTGCAATTTTGAAAAATAAAACAATTTCAACAATTTGTATTCAACTTAAAAGTACACTTTCGATAATAAAATAATACATCTCAAGACATAAAATTAAATGTACACACCTACAAATAACAAAATTACATATTACAGTAAAAAAATTTAAAAACAAACAAACAACAACAGTACATACAACCTTACAACTAAGTTTAGCATATAAAATAAAAAAACAAAAATATATACATCAAATATTTTTAAAAAGTATTTCCTTTGAAATTAATATACATTGTAATATTAATTACACTGCATAACAGACTAATTACAATCTCAAGATCAATGAATGTTTAATATCTAAAAAATAATAAAATCATAATTAAAAATTAAATAAAGATTCAAATTTAAATTCATTAATGCCTACTTACTCGCTTTACAGACGATAACAAACATGCACTCAATTTACAACTTAAGAAAATCTTATTTCTGCGAACTTTTATATTCGGTGTAATTTCCATATTAGTCAAATTATGAAGGATCGATTTTATCCTCAAGATCGCTGCACTAAGCAAAGGATTAGCTGATTTGAGTATGTCCGGAATAATTTGGTCTTGCGTATCTTTGTAATCACAATTATGCATTTGCTGAAATGGTTTAATTAATTACAAAAAAAATGTAAAACTGCAAAGCTAATTCCACATTAAAGTAATTCGACACTTACTTTTAATTGAACACATAATGCCTTGTGTTTCTTTTTCGTTGAATTATTTTTACCGGATAAAAACCAAGAGCACCATACATAAATATATGCTTCCATTTCTTCATGCAAGAAACATGTACTTAATGAAATTGTGTTCGACTCAGCCTAAATGCAAACAAAGTGTTGTAACTCGTTTTGATTGTTATTAAACAATTTTTTCATAATCATAATAAAATAAAAAGTAGAATGTACCTCTTTGATTGAGTATACGTAAGCTTCTGTGGCACAATCTACAAGGTCGCTTACGACTTGGTACATTTTAGCATTCATTGCGATTATAACTAACACTCGGTAAGTTGTGCCAGGTAAAATAAAACTCTCATCTAGTTTATATACTGTCAAAAACAATTCAAGCGCTTTGTGTTTATACTTGTTAAGATTTTCAAACATCAATAATAACAGTGGTCCAAAATATTTAGAAACATCTGAAAATATGGTTAATCATTTTAACATTTTCTTTACTTGCATGATAAAAAAGTTCTTTTTAGATGGCCCGGATGAATTTCTCTTGGACCAATGACTATCAAAAAACAAAATATTTAATGTGTTTAATATTTTTTAGCCTTGTTTCAAATTTTTACCTTTTTTGGGGGAAAAATTAAACAGGGTACCCTCAGACCTAGTTCAACTTCAACATTTCAAACACGACTCTATACATCCTAACAGATCATTTTAAGGGATTTTTTTATGCTGAAAACAATGGTGCAATTAGATTTTAAATTGGTCAAAAGATGACAAAAAGTTATAAAAAAAATTTGGTTTGCTATTTATTATTAATTAATTAATTAATCATATTTCATGTTCGAACTGCCTGCCCTGAGTAAAGATACCATGATTTGCTATTTTTAACAAATCTTCACCAGTGCTCAGAGCGATAGAGACAGGGGAGATGGACTGACAAGCATTTTCTATCCTTTGCCGCAGTTCTTCACTGAGGTTGCTGGGTTATGATTGGCGTAGACAATGTTTTTTAAATGGCCCCACAAAAAAAAAGTCAAGTGGAGTTAAATCAGGGGACTGAGAGACAACCGATTGGGCCATCCGTGTATCCCGGAAGTGATGATTCAAAAAACTTCTCACCTGCAAAGAATTGTGTGGGGCATCCATTAAGCTGGAGAATCTTCTTTATCGTTGTTGCTGAGGAACATCATCTCTAATAGTGATAGTAAAAGCTCCTTCAAAAAAGTGAGGTACTGAGCACCATTTAAAGTATTTTCGTAGAAATAAGATCCAATTAATTTATTGGACAGTATCTGACAAGTCCACACCTAACGTTGACAAAATTCTCAGATTTTCCTCTGCCCACTTTTGAAAACTCGAACAATTTAGTATACCATTAGAGGTGCACTTGGATTCATCAGTCCATAGTATGTATTGAAGAACATTTCCTCAGCCTCCCAAATCGACATTTGTGCAAGATTAGACACCGGTAATAAACAGTCCCAAAATCCCTGGACAAGATGAGAGCAAAACAATTTAAAAATCTGAGTCCAAAGTACGTCTAATTTTATTTTGTGAAGAAAAAGAGGGGGGAAACTACAACCCTTCCTACATTTCCGAGAGAGGAATTCAGATTTTAGCAAACTTTCAGTAAAATATTCAGCTCCTCGTCGAAATTACATCGCCTTTTTGCCATAACTTCATCATTTTTTGACCAATTTAAAATCCGATTGCACCACTGTTTTCAATGTAAAAAAATCCTTTAAAATAATGTGTAGGGTCATATTTGAAATTTTAAAGTGGAACTGGGTCTGAGGTACCCTGTATAATTTTTTTACAAATAAAAGTAAATGTTTGAAACAATACTAAAAAATATTAAACACATTATTATTTTCTTTTAATAGCGTCATTGATTCAAGAAATGTGTGTGTGTGTATGTATGTATATATATATATATATGTGTGTGTGTGTGTGTGTCTTTATTTACAACCTTGTTACATAATGTTGTTATGATTGATTTACAAAAGTAGACATGCATTACCACTGGTTGTGCAAACCGTTGTGGGTGAGTTGACCTTGCGACCTATTAAATTTCTTTTATTTTATAATTAAATAAAATAATTCTCTTTTAAACTAATAGCATTACATTACAGTTAAAGTTTCATTGACAGAATAATAATATCAAACTAATAATGACTTTAGGGCTAATTTACAATTGTACATAAATCATATTATTCCTTTTTAAACAATTAGTCAATTCTTTTACACTTCATATCAATGTAAAACCATAATCTAAATAATAATATAAGTGAAGATAAAGTAAAGTAAATCAAACCAAAATAAAACAAAAATCAACAACAATTATCTCTTCTTCCATTTTTTAAATTATTAAATTACACACACACACACACGCGCGCGCGCGCACTATATCATAATAACAATAAAATGTACGTACCAATTGGCGAATAAAGTGTGCTTTGAGCTTTGAGTATTTTATCAAATAATCTGATTATCAAATCGGGCAGCCGAAGATGAAAAAAATTATCCATTAAAAACATCACAGTGTTGTATGTGATGCAAAAATCATCGTCTTCACCGTCAATAAGCCATTTGGTTTTATCAGCCAAAATTAAGTTGTTAGCTGAAAATAGACATCAATCATTCAGAACATTATAAACTATTCTATATATACATTTATTAGTCATAATTGACTATATTAATTAATTAAACTTAATCTAAGGTTGAGATGAAAAAGCCAGTCTCACGAGCGGGATAACCAAATATAGCAAAAAAGTTCCCTTATGTTAGAATTAGAATATGTATTTTTTTTTTTAAATACCAGGGACTGGAGGAGTTCCCTCCTGAGCACTGCAGCTGAGCTATACAGCTTATTGTACTTTATCCCTGGCTCCATATTTTTTTCTTTTTTTTGGGAGGGGGGGCTCGCAACACAAATGTGAACTTAACCCCCGTTGTACCGGTGTTCTTCTATAGAAGAAACTCATTTTTGAAGGGGGTTGGGGCCAAATTCAGGGTCGCTGAAATCCGATCCCGCCCCTTCCAATGATGAGTGCCGTGTCAATTTCTTTCAATTGCGGCCACCGGTCCCCTTAGGCGTCAGAAAAAGTCCAGAGACGACGGTGGGGATCGAACCCACGACCGCGGGTCTACTACCCAAGAGTCTGACACCTTAACCACTCGCTACCGCGGCCCCCTCTAGAGTATGTTAAGTTGAGTTAAGAGGAGTTGGTGTTCGAGTGGATTGAAGTCATGTTAGCTCAAGAGGTTAGAGAAGCGGCGAATTCAACCGAAGGTCATGGGTTCAAATCCCGATTGTGACACTTGCATTTTCGTCTCAACACCAAGAACTTAGATTAAAAGTATAATTAATAAAAATTATATTAACCTAAACAGCATGGCTGGTGTGCTTAAGTTTAGTGTCAACTTTCACCTAATACTAATAAATTCATAAGTTAAGCATAAAAATGATCTTCATGTCAATATTTCTTGTTGTTATGAGTAGTGTGGATATGAAAACATAAAATCTATACTACTGTTGAAACTGGTAAAATAATTATATCTGCCCTCAAGTATTTTTGACTTATGAAAATTACCATACTATCAAGAGATATCCAAAACAGTTTGGGAGTTTGAGGTTTTGTTTGGTATTAGATTGTCCAACATTTTGTTTTTGTTTTATAACATTTTAAAAAGGATTGAAGAGTCAATCCCCTACAAAATATTTACAAATCCATAATAAAAGCTGGTTAATTTTCTATTTAAAAAAACAAATCTGAAACTTTCTTAGTACACAATTAAATTTTAATGTGACAGTGTAAAAAAAAGCAACTGCCAAATAGTTTTTAACATGGTCACTTTTTTAAGTGAGATTTTCATTTTTTAATTAATTTTATTTATTTATTTTTTAAGGAACTTCATCAATTTGTGTAACTGGAAAGTCTTTACATAAGGTAGGGTTAGGGACAGGATTACGCAGTGAGGGTTACATTACATTAACACATTCGTTTGGGACTGATTAGTAAAGACTCCTGATACAGAAAAAATCTTTATTAATTTTTTTTTAATTGTAAAAAATCTCCAAAAGGTCAAATTGAATAATAACACTTTACAAATAGTTTCAAAAATGGGGGTTTTCTACAAGAGGTGCATTGTTTTACGTGTATATAAGAAGAAAGAGGAAGGGTTTCGTGCATCATTCAAGAACAAGGCTGTAATGATCGTGTTGAAGTTGATGGTGGGTGTCTGTGAGTCACTATCCCTAACCAGTATTTTGAATTTTTTCAAAGGACAAAAACTATAGGTTTTCTTGAGCGGTTTTTTAAATTTTATTTTAATATTATTTTAATAAAATCTAGTCCCTGAGCAAATTTGTTTTTCATTGACAATAATTAAGGGCAGATTTTTTTACAAAATATTCATCATGTGACAATTGGTAATACAAAATTTTAAAAAAATGCCTAGGCAAATTCTTCGTATTAAAAAAATAAAAATAAAATAAATTAAATTAAAAAATAAATAAACTAAAATAAAAATATAATAAAATTTTTGTATAATTATATATATAAAATATAAAACATAAATAAAAAAAAACAGGAACATAAATTCAGGCAATTTTTAAAAATACACTTACAGACAGATTATTAACGCTGAACAGTTAAAAGTTATATTGTGATCGGGCTGTTTTTCATGAAATATTAAAGGAAGAATGAACCTTACTGATGTACTACTCTAGTGAGTTTTGATGGTACTGGGATGTGCATATGGGTTAGGTTAAATGATGTAGGGATAAGTTAGTTAACATAGGGTAACGCTACATATCTGATTCAATTTTTTTTAAAGTAGTGGATGATTTAGTTCATTTTTATTTCTATTTCAAAATGATTCTTAAATATACGAAATATAAACAACTTACATAACATGATGTTTGTAGCCGAGCTATAGTAACCGTTGAAGAACATAGTTTGCGAACATAAAGAAGCTACATATATACAACTAGTATTGTGTACAATGGGCTGAAATAGAAAGGTTTACACATTAATAATGAAATATAGTCAAAACTTCCCATAAGTGGTCATTTCTCAAGAGAGGGCTTTTGTCCACCTATTACAAAAATCTTTAGGTACATTAAAGGAAAAAAAAGAAAAGAAAAAATAATTTGAATTTTCTATCTCGTAGACTTGCTCAATGTCTTATATAATAAATATGCACATTGAACAGACTTTAGCCCTGTGCTCTCTATTGACCTAGAAAAGTGGAAAAATTTTCTATATTAAAATTGTACCTTACCTTAAAAGTAATCGGGTTTATACGCTTTTCTTTTAACAGTGCAATTAATTTGAATGCTTCATTCCACTTTGTCAAAGTAGCAAAATATAATATGAAGTCAACACAAACTTGTGTTATCAGTTTAATATCGTCTCGTTTTTGTGTACCTAGAGGAAAACTCAATATTAATTTTTTTAACATTTTAATATTGATTTAAAAACCATACTCTTCTCTATATATTGTATTATATTTTCTAAAATGTGAAGTATGCTCTCCTCATTATATTTAACAGAATAAAATAACTTTTTCCCAATTAATTTTCTTTCAGATGAATTATTCGCCCATACAATTATCTTAGCCAGAGTTATATAATCTTCAGTGCGCACTGACTCTATAAGCGCCTTCAAGATGCTTTCGATAGTGATATTTGGCTCATGTGCAGGAGGAGATAATTGATATGTATTTTCACTGATTTTCACTTTTTTACAAGCAGTATTGGGAGAGGTGTTGCGTTTCCTTTTTCTAGGCGCATCAGACTCCTTATTCATGCGTCTAACTATGGTTGATAATTTATTCTTTAAAGCCTTTTGTTGGTTATGAGATAATTTTTCCTTTTTCATGAATTTTTTTATTTGATCTAAATATTTCCAAAAATCCTTCTTCAGGTCGCTAATCTAAAATAATTAATAATTATTTAATTAAAAAACTTATAAAAATAAAGTAATTTTAAATTGTGACATCCCGTTATAGCTCCATTAAACCCTCCAGGCAGCACACACGGTTCATAAACTAGCAAATCAAACTAAACACCACAAATCTCTTTAAAAGATAGTTCTTACTCACAGTTTGTTCACATCATCAGGAAGATGGAGTTACAAACACTTTTCTAACTAAACACTGATGACGAGCATTTAATGCTTGAAGTCCAGATCAATGAAAACAACAAACTGAGTAAGATATTTTAAAGAGATTAAACAACATACTCATCACACCTTTATCATTTCTATAAACACCACAAAGTCCCATTTACCATAAACCTTCATCGCATCACTGCCTCACTTATAAGGCGGGCGCAGACTAGGTCGGTGGGGCAGAGCGGCACAGGTCTGACCCCAAGAAAAATACATTGAAATGGATGTAACCCCACACACTAGGCTAGTAGGGCGGCACGAAGCCGCGCTAGAAAAGTTGCCAGACTTCTAGAAGCTGGGGTCGTGCCATGCCACGCCACTCTACTGGCCTAGGGTTCGCCAGGGCGGGCAGAAATCGCTGAATTCACCTATGTTCGGCTACCCTTGGAAGCCCTATTTGTAATGACGAAGCCAACTATCGTCAAAGGAAACCCCTTCTGTTTCCAGCCACACCATCCTTCTCAATGTTCTCTTTATAAAAGAAATTGCTAGATCTACAAAAACTTCCAACTGTGTGGTGTGTGTGTGTGAGAGAGAGAGCGTGAGAGTGAGAGAGAGGGGAGGGAGGGAGGGAGAGATAGAGGGGAGAGAGAGAGAGAGAGAGAGAGAGAGAGAGATGAAACACACTGAGTAATAATAAAATATGAATTATTTATATTTACCTTAACTGTTTCTAAATTATTTATATGAATAACCCAATAACTTAAAATTCTACTTAATCTTACTATAAAAAATAAAAATAAAAACTAATGAAATAGTATAATTCAGTAATAATACATAGCTTACCGCCTGCTTGTTAGGACAATTTCTTGATCTGCAGTTATTCTTCGAAAAATTATCAGGGCTTATTTTATCATTATCATTTTTTGAATCATTGTCTGAAAACAAAATTTTGAATAAAATATATTTCTTAATGAAATAGTATTTGTTTGTAAAATAAGTCCATAACATTTTTTAACAAGTAATTTTACTTGTCCTTCTTATGTTTATATAATATTGTTACATATTAAACAATATTAATGGGAAACACTACTTCACTTAAGGAATACAGGCAGAAAACACTTTTTTTTTTGTTTCTACACGGGTATTTTAACTATGAGGTTATATGACCCCTAAGAGTAAGCGTTTTTGAAAAACGTCATTTTTCAAACCCGATATCTTACAGTGAGCACCGTGTCAACACCAATACACTTAACCAATGTGGCCATCAAAAACCTACATGAAATAGCTTATTGCTCAAAAAGCTGAAAAGTTCTGAGTGGACAAAATTATACGTTCGAAGGCATCATACAGTGGAGCAAGCTGGTTAATGTTTTGTTTACACGAACCTGAATTTTTCATTGAATTTACCATTAAAAAACATTATGGACTTATTTTATGACTGAATAAAATTTTTTTAAGCATAATAAAGCTCTCTTATTTTAATTTTAAATTTATTTCATTAACAAAAACAATTATCACTTTATAATATGCATTGTTATTGCAAGTGTATAAAATAAATCATATCTACATACTGTGAGGGCAAATCCTATTTGAATATACATTTAACATATCCACTTTCTGCTCCAACATAGAGATATAGTAATTAAAATGATTGGAAATATCTACCTGTAAAAACATTCATAATTATACATTAAAGTTACTTTAATTATAAAAAATAAATATACATGATCCAAGGGTGGCGAAGCTGTTCTGTCATTTTTCTCATAAAATTCACCATGAAGTTGTTCGTCATTTATAGAGGAATTCTGGATTTTTAGTTTGTTATGTACAAATTTACTGAAATAAAGAAAAAAACAATTAAATTGAGAAGTGAGACAGTGCAATAACTCAAGACTTACATAAAAAAAGACCAATATTTAAACAATTATCTTTATATTTAAATCCCATTTATGATAACCCAATGCAAATATCTTTGCACAGAAACAAAATTCAAAAGCACATTAAAAAAAAAAAACTTTTATACAGTCGAATAAGTTATTTTTTTGTTTTGGCATTTTGACTCAGTGGAGATGGTGAAATAGAAAAACATTTCTGACAAACCAAAATTATCGGCAACTACCGAATTTCTCAAAAAATAGGCTAAATTATTGTATTTACTCATGACAGTAAATGACTCTCATTAAAACATTGCATCCTGTTTGATTCTTCTTCTTGAACGTGTGGTGAACAGTTAGAATTGTTGTTAAGAGTGCTGCTTAGCAGGGGAATTGATGGAGATGAGTCGAGTGTTCTTTTATATCCTGATTCCCAACCTTTCAATACAGTGCCTTGTTATTTTCTTCATATGTTGAGCACCACACGGCAAGTCAGTGTTAATTTCTGTAGGCGCTTCCCTACCGTTTAACGAAAAATTATGTAGGGATGTTTCAGTATCGGGATCACGTTGGAACTAGTTTATTTCTCTAACTAATGCTTATTAGCATTTAAAAAAGGTTAGCTTGGACCACTGTCAAGAAGTTAATTAGATAAGCTAATGGATCAAGATGTCATTTTGTAATTTTTTATAGAATGTCAACATATGGAGAGAATAATACAAATAGTACAGAGAATAGTACAAATAGAACTTGCCTTGCAGTTCTTGAATTTTTTTATCTTACCAGGCCTCAATTAAATTTTAACTTTCAACCATGCATCCACACTACCAGCCATAATTGTGGTACTTAGGTAACAACAACATTATTGGAAGATGAATCCCAAACAAGTACTTACAGGGTCGAAGATTACTGGCTCATTGATGCTGATGTTTATTATTTTCTAGATTAGTATATTAAGTCAACATGAGAGCTACTGACTCTTTTATCAAAGATTCCATGTTAGATGTTGATATTTTTTGATTAAAAAAAATTATCTAAGTCGTTTACTAAATTTTTCAATAAAACGAGTTAAATAACATTCAAATTTTTAACCGGCAAAGAGAACATAAATATAAAATAAAAAGTTTAAAATTTAATTTGTTCTTATACGGTGCTTACACCAAATGGTCTACCAAACTCTAGAAAGAAATTCAAAGAAATATTTATTATTAATAAAATACCTATCAGAAAGAGAAGAAGCCATTTTGTCATTGTACTTCGTAGATGCCATTTTCATTTTAGATGAATTTGTAAAAGATGTGGATGGTTGAGGGTTTCTTTCCATTTCCTGAGACATTACTTCTGCTGTTTGTTGGACAGCTACCAACTGTCTTTCCACCTGTCTCTCATTGTAATCTAAAACATCGAACATTAATGATCACTGTGAACTGATGTCTAAGAGCTTAAGAAAAATATATTCACTTTTATTTTTTAAGTCTTCATGACCTTGTTGCGACTTTGCCCCACTAGCTGACCTTGAAGCTGCCCTAGATTTAGAAATAGCTACCTTGTCATCCTTTTTACTTTTTGATTAAATGTGGAAAAAATATATTTCAATTAAACTAATTGATTCAAATTAAAATTAGCAAGGAAATTGTAAAACTGATTCAAGGCCAATTTACACCTATCAAGAACTCTGCTAAATCACTCGCTTCGATTTACTTTTTAGCTGAGCAGGGCGATTACATTACATGTAGATGAGACAATGGTTTAACATTTTATTAAACATTATTCGGTAAAGATGATCCCACAAAGGAAAATGAACAAACTTAATATAGTTTTTACAGTTATGCAACTTTTGACTTGAGCTATTAGAAAACTATAGAAAACAGAAAACTTCGAAAAAAAAGTAGCTGTTTAAACAACACAAAATTGAGGAGTATTTTTGATTAAATTAGAAAAGTAGTACTAGTAGTCTTGGCCGAGTACTCGGTATACGTAAATGGCCACTTCATAAGGGATAATTTAAACTTTAAATGGAAATTACGAATTTTAAAAGGAAAATACCTGTTTTTAGGAAGGAAGGAAGCTCGTTGATCATTGTGCTTCAAGGATTCCATTTTCTTAGTGGATATTTTTATTGATGACACCGATTTATTAACACTTTTTTCTAACTTTTGGGTCTGTGTTTGTGGATCAGAAGACACAACTTCATCCATTGTTTGCGGAACTACTGTTTTTTCAGTCCGAGGAGATTTTGTTTTCCCACATGTCCTCGCATACTTTGAAGTCGGCTTGGACACATCATCTCTTCTTGGTTTCTTTTTGCCTGCTTGACTAAATTTAAAAATAAAAAATGAGAAAAATTTGTATTAGACTTCATAACAGTTAGTTTATCATACCTTTCACTTCGCTGCATAAATCGAAATTCCATTTTCTCTGTACATGAATTTATAGGTGCCAATTGATCTGAGCTTTTTTCTAATGGTTGGCTCCTCACTGGTGAATCGGGAGACATTGTTTCATTTGTCATTTGTACCGCTACTGCCTTTTCTGATGGTGGTGATTTTGCCTTCCCAGAACTCACATGCTCATCAGCCTTCTCACTTGGTTGACTAAATTGAAAAATAAAAAATGAGAAAAATTTGCTTTTAGAGTTCATAACAGTTAATTTATCATACTTTTCATTTTGTTGCATAAAATGAAATGTTAAATCAGTAATATTTGCTGATGCAGATGTATGTATTAAATGTGCCAACTGATCTGAGCTTTTTTCTAATGGTTGGCTCCACATCAGTGAATCGGGAGACATTGTTTCATTTGTCATTTGTTCCGCTACTGCCTTTTCTGATCGTGGTGATTTTGCCTTCCCAGAAGAACTCACATGCTCATCAGCCTTCTCATTTGGTTGACTAAATTGAAAAACAAAAAATGATAATAAATTATTGAATATAACTACCAACTATACTTGAATATAAAGTTAAATAAAGTGGTAGAATGGTTTTTTCCCAACTTTTAAGTATCAGGCTATAACACAAATCACTCCCTTAGACCTGGATAAACTGTATGGCATGGTGTTACACATATAACACGCTACCTCATCTCTCCTTTAAACAGCACTATAGACTCTAAGAGATTGAATCTTGAAAGAGCTAAATCCCTAAAAATATTGTAAAAAAAAAAAAATCAAATGGAAGGAAAAAAATTGGATATGCATGATTTTTAAATCGAGATCACAAAAACACTTTTACTGCCTCCAGCAATAATGCCAAAAGCCTCATTAAATAAAATACACTTCTCAGAGTACGTAAGTGTAAAAGGGCAAAGTCATCAGGTAAGAAAAAGACGTGTGGTTTGTAGGACCAAAACTATATGCCAAGATGTACTGTACTTTTGCCCTGACCAACCAGGTTTATGCCTAATTAATTGCTTTCGGGAACATCACAATTATAACTAGACATGTTTCCAAAAGGAATTCTTTATGTATGTGGTGAGTACTTATAATTTTTAAAATAAGTTAATTATTTGTGTATACACAATAACTGTATTTAGTTTTAGTATATAGAATAATTTTAGCATAATTATAGTTTTATTTGTACCAATGTTTGTTTTGTTAAAATATAATTTTAGTTAGTAGTCAGATTTGCAAACTGAGTTTCTTCTGTGCTGAACATGTTAAAAATCAGCACAATAGATTTAACAAAGCATTGTCATGCCCAAGGACTGTCTTTATGTCGGGTGCCATGCCTACGAGCTCCCTGTAAGAGGCCAAGGCACGACACTATTCAACCAAATTAAGACACTGAGCAACTTTTTCTCTACATGCAGGACACCTGCACAGGGTTTCCCGCAAAATCAGGTGTCCATGTGTCAATCAAGTATAGCCTATCCTCAAACAGGTGAGCACAATCCCTTCCTTGTGTTTCGAATTGTGCTTTTAACAAGCAAGTACTTCTTAGACAATCTGGCCCATCAATGCTGCCGTTCTTTTATTGTGTTCTTTACTGCTTGTACTGCATCACAGGGCCAACCTGTCTGCCGGCAAGACATCCCAGATTTTGCTGTTTCTTCTGCACGTTCATTGCCCTCTAGCACAACATGTCTGGGGAACCAGTAGACCACCACCGTTTTTCCGAGACGCTCCAACTCAGATATCTCTGTAATAATAGAATGACAGAGGGGTCCACCAAGAATCTGTCACGAATAGCCGAAACAACACTCAGCGAGACTGTACAAACAAGATAGTTCATCTCTAATCACCTTGGGTGCATGCCAAATCTCATAAAGTAACACCATGTATATATGTTGCAGAGCCATGGGAGCTCACCAGTTCGAGCCGTCTATATAGACGCGAAAACTGGCAGAACCTGGTCTAAGTTCCAGGAACACAGATCGGTTGAGGTGTGGCAGGTTACACAATCTGATTAATACTGCAAAATCACCTCAGATGAGTACGCTGGGAGGGCCCAGGGAGGCATCGGCCAGTTTGGGTTATTGTTATTCATTAATTATTGTACATTAATTGCTTATCAATATAATTAAAATACCTTTTTTTATGAAGAACGGGAGCTACTAACTGGCCATGGTGGCTTGCTGATTCAACTTTCTTTTTAGCAATTTTTATTACTAGCGCTGATCGACCAGTGGTTGCTTCGAAGTCTTGGCCCTCTGATAGTAAACTGGAAGACATTACTTCGTATATTGTTTCTTGACTGACTGCCTTTCTAATCCGCCGCCTTTTCTTCCCAGCTGACCTATGATTTGAAGTCATTGCACATTATAATTCATCATAATTGTAACCTTCTGTAAATTTTTATTTTAGTTTTTTTTACAGTTTACTACAAATTTTTATTCTTATTACAGAGAAAAGAAAAACATATAAAAAGTGTAATTTGATTATGTTCCCAAACGATGAAATAGTGCTAACTGGCTGCGGGACGCTATTAACTAGATAAAAAATAAAAGTTTACATGTTTTTGCCCCAAACACCCCAATAAAATAAAAATATAGAAGGGGAATAGAAGTTACTCGCCATGTATGTAAAAAAAAAGTAACAAAAATTAGAAAGAAAATGCTTTAGTTAGGCCAAAGAGGTGGGAATATTACAAGATTCACTATTATAAGTTTAAGAAGTTTGCCTACTGCCTTGTTTTACCACGCAATGCTGCATTTTTTGGCACAAAAGCTGATAATTATAACTTATGAACCCCACAACGAAACCAAGACCCAATTTGATAAAGCATAAAAATAAAGATGTTGGAGAAAATGTGTGATTCTATTGTAAAAGAAAGAGAAATTGACATTCAATGGTTTAAATCAAGTGACTACTCATGACCAACTAGGACTCACCAGTGTGCATTATGTACAGAATGGGGCATACATAGCTCTTCTGGCACAGTATATCACACACCAAATATTACATCTGACATAGAAACAAAAAATACAATCAATAATATACCTGTTTTCAGGAAGGAAGGAATATGTTTTGTCGTCTTGCTTCGCCGATTCCACATTCTTTGTGTATGGATTTGTAAAAGATGTCGACGGTTGGGGGCTTTTCCTCGTGTCTTGACTCTGTATCGGTGAATTAGAAGACATTCCATCCATTGTTGGACGAATCTTTTTCCTCACATATAATTCTAAAATAAAAACGCTATTATTAATAATTATTGCGAAAGAGATAAAAGTAGAATTGTTTACAAAAATATATATTCACCGGTTTTTCAAATGGTTGCCACGTGCAAGCAACTTCGTCAATCAACCTAACCTCCGACACGTGGGTCGATTTAGAATCGGTCAATTTAAGTCTAAGTGTTTAAACTAACAGTTAAGTGTTAACATTGAAAAAAAGAGTAAAATATGATGCAAAGAAAATACAAACTGTTAATAGATAAATGTATCTAGGAAGAATGGTGTATTTACGCCACGTGCCCAACGAACCGGATCTGGACAAAATGGCGGGCGCGGAACTACTTTAGTCGATTTTATTAGGGAAATCGTTTTCAACCGACGTACTTTTACACGTTAATCAATTAAAAATATCACGTAAAAACTTTAAAAAAAGATATAACAAGTTACCGAGAAATCGAACGATCAAAACTGCAGTTGTCGACGAGTTCCTTCCGTAACCGTTGGGTACTCTGCAACGTGCTCTGTGGCCTGCACAGTCTAGATTTTGATTGGCAAGTAAACATCGTGGAGAAGGGGATCCTCCCACACTACAGCGATCTCTGTTTGCCAGGACGTCAAGTCGAGAAAGTAAAAAAAAGAGAGCGCCATTTTTAAAAAGAACTCGGTTTCCCTTTTTAAAATGGCCATCGGATTTTCTTTTAAGTCTCCACGGATCCCAAGTTGGCAAAATTCGTTTACAAATTCAAATGTATACCTTTTCCAAATGAAAACGAACCCCCCCCAAATCTTTTTAAAGATTTTCCATTTTCGTCGTTCCATACATACGATTCTAGTTGCCCGCATTACCTAGTTGCTTGCGGTTTGAATAGAAAATCAGCTTAATTCGCACAAACTTGATATTCCTCGGGTTAATTGGGGTAAACCACGGACAATTAAATTCATTCTAATAAATAACACATAACACATACTGTCATGGTTTTATTGTTATCTTTTTGGTCTGAATGAGTTTTTGATTGATTTTTTAGCAGCTGACATCGAATAATTTTATTTTCGCTTTTGGCTAAAAAAATCATTGTTACCCCTAGGAAAATGGTCAAATTCGCAAGATAAAGACTTCATTTTCTACGGAATACAAAATCAATGCATAAAAGTAGATCGGGTTTAAATATTAGTCGATAGAGGGTGGTTTTTAAAATCATCACGGTGTAACAACCCTTATTCCAATTATTCCTAAATATTTTATTTTAAAAGCTTTCCCCCTTGTACCGACTTCCCAAGATAAGTACTTTACCAACACCCTTCACTCCCACCATTGTAAAATCTCTCCTAGACCTCCCACCAGGGTATATAATAGGACCGATTATAATATTTTACGAGTCTGTTTCCCGTAAGCCCTCCAATCCTGTAGTTATTAATTTTTAAAACAGAAGTTAATTTTTCCTCTGCCCGTGTAAGTCTACTTCTACCCCAGTCTCCACCCCATAATTCTGACGTTGGTTAACACAACGTGGCCAGAAATTATTTTTAAAAAATTTCATCAATAAACAAAAATAATTTAGAAAAGATGAAGGATACATACAAATAAATAGTAAATTGTAAACCAATTAGAAAATCATTGTTTTTAGTAGTTTTATACTTACCTTCTGATGATGTAGTTAATACTGGACGTTCGGATAACTTTGCATGGACTTTAATTGTTAAAATATCGTTATTTAATCCTGTATTTCTGTTTATACTGTTAATACGAGCCTCTTTGACTATGGACAAGATTATAATGAATTCGCTAATGCTAATCCTGTTAGAGAAAACGGAAGAAAGCTTAACTTTTTGTGAATGGTGGGGTCCGCCGGTGGTGCGCCCTATCACTAACGTTTTTTAAGTTTTGATCAAGCACCGTGCTTTATAATGGTATAATTTTTATAGCATTTTTTTAGGACAAAAAATAACGCCTGACTTCCAATTCTGTGACAAATTTTAATAGGTTTTATTTTGTAAAATACTCGTCAGGGGAAAATAATAAGAACGTGGTACCGGGAATTCTATTGTTGGGGGGGGCTCATGTCGTTATGTTTCCTCCGAAGTCCAAAACAGGAAGAGAAAACATTTTAAAACGAAAGGCCTTAAATTAAACTTAAATAATACGGTTTTCAAAACATGAGGATAATTTAAAAAAACGTGTCCGCGGAGAGGGTAGAAATAAATGCAGAAAAAATAATTTAAGAAGAAGAAATCTATTTTTTATGAGAAAATTTATTGAAACAAATGTTTACACTACAGTTTTCTAGTTTCTTAAGCAACATTCCAGAGAGACATGACTACACCAGAAGTCTTTTTATCTGAAATAAAATTATAATTGTTATTATTAATTTTTTTTAAGTATTCACAATGTAAATAAACTAAGTAATAAATTAATAGAATTAAGGCTTAAGGATGAAAGGAGCCTCTACAATCTTCAATCTTGTATACTGTGACCAATATTGGTCTATTGTGCAATTTCTATCATTCTCTTGGGCTATTCGATAATCCGGTAATTATTTTTATAAAAAAAATGTTTTAAACCTTTTCTTGGGTACTTGTGTTTCTTTATATTTTTCACTTTACCTAACACAGGAAATTATATTCCTTGTACACACTTGTGTGCCCAGCTATTTATTTATTCAAGTTATATATAAGTTATATATATATCATATTATTAAAAATTAGTTAAAGAGCTATTTGTACAGAAATATGCACTCGGCTTATCTCGGATGTCGATTAAGCACAATTGCATTTTTCTCCCCCTTAACCCGAGGTGACTTAAAGAGGGACCGAGGGTAGATAGATTAGATTCTGTGTACGCTTTCTCGAATGTATATCGGTAAAGCTACGACTTTTTAAATAAACATTTTTTAAAAAGTAAGATCTCGAATTATTATCCATAATTTTCATTTATTTTTTTAAACGGGCAGATGCCCAAAATACAACATGCAATACATTAAAAAATTTGTCCTTACAAAGAAGTGGCAACGTCAGTGGGCTGGATCTGCATTTTACTACTGGTTTGTGCCTTGGTGTTGTAGTAGGTAGATGGCTAATTTGTTTCTGTAATACCTAACATTTTTATATGATAGTTGTGATTTTTAATTAAATAATGTGAGAATATTGTCAAACATAAAATCCATATTGTTTTTTTATTCTGCAAATGTTGTGTACATTGGTAATTTTTATGCACAAAAATTAATAAATGTGAACGAAATGAGGAAATTTTTGTCTTCGTTTTTTCTCTATACCATAAATACCTTAAAGAAAATAATAAAAAATTGCACTTAATAATACACACAATGATTTGATTTTACTAACTTTTACGTACAAAATAATTATGGCACAGTTAAAAAAAAGTGGAATAAATAATATGTATTTAAATATGAAATATAAATATATGTACATTATAAAAAAAAAACATACCGTTTTATTTTTTTACAATCTTGAACCTGTACTCTTTAGGTTGATGTCGAGAAATCTGTCAAAAAAATCACATTACAATATTTGAAATAATACATGTAAAAAACAAAATAAATAAATATTTATTTTAATTAAATTATAAATTTAGATTATGGTTATAGCATTCTTTAGACTTAAGCTTTAAGTCTATGCAGTGTCAGCATAACAGCCAGGGCCCCATTGAAGCAAAGTCCCAACGACCAGAAAAGGCAGCCCCAGGCAGTGAAAGAACTGTTTTACTAAGGAGGGATTGGTGTCTAGTCATCAGTTCCTCCAAGCTCACTGGAGATACTTAGATCTCAGGGTCTAGCATTGACTTAAAACAAGCTTTTGGTAAGGTAGAGCACAAGGGCTTAAAATTTAAACTCAAAATAAAAAAGTTGCTTGTCTGATTGTTCTTTGTCAGGGCCAATAGCTGTTGTTCATAAAAAAAAGTAACGATAAGAACACATGCCCTACTGTTCACCTGTGCCTATCAGATTTTCCATCAAATGCCATTCCAGTTATATCGCTGAAGATTTTTCATATTTGCTTCAGATACCAATATTACAGTTGCCAGACATGCAGCTTCAAACAACCAAATACCTAAATTAATTTCAAAGCCCTGATGAACTTGAAATATACCTTGAAAGCTTGACTGAGGGTTTTTCTTTTCTTTCGCATTGGCTTTTAATCCAAAATCATGATCAAATCAACATAAAAAAGTGATTGGCAACAGTCAAGTAAAATTATTAATTTTTCTTTGTGGTATGAGTCAACTCTGATGTTTTCAATTACAATACCCATCCCATTTTGTCACTTATATAGATCGGTTATGTAGTAAAAGTGAGTGCACAACTGACACAAAGTGCTGTTTTTATTTTATTTTTTTAATTTGTTTTATATTTATCGTATAGCTTTTGTATATGAATGTACATTGGTTATATTGTTAAGAATCAACGTGGCAATGACATTCTAAAATTCATAATCTTATGTTTTTTCTTTGTACCACAAATAAATAATAAATCACGATGTGTACCAGTAACAGCTTTTAATAACAGCAGCATTAATACCCAATGAATTGTTAAAAAAAATTAGGCCAAGCAATTCTTAGAAAATTGCACCTACCTTTCGCAGTTGATTAACATGATAAGTTCTGGGGCTTGCATTCTAAAATATTGAAACATACAAAATTAAATAGTTATAATCAGAAAAATTAATAAATAAAAGTATTTTAACTTACTGCTACTTCATTTTTAACCAAATAATAAAAATAATATATCTTAAAAATAACCAAAATGTCTAAATTTTGAAGTGACTTCAATTTTCATAATTTGATGTATCCATAAAAAATTACACATAGGTCATTTCAGATTATGTTTAATAATAATTTCATAATTACAATAAGCAAATGTATAATTGAAAAAATAATTAATTTAACAGTGAAGAAATTGATTTCTTATCATACATGTTCCCAAACAATCTTGACATAAAATAAAGGAGGCAGGAAAGGCAATATAAGTCATTCATTCTCATAGTCAAGAAAAAAATTATATTTACTGAAATTTGGAATATTTATCTGACATTGATTAAATTTTAGTTTTAGCCAGTAAAGTCTGTACTAATTTTTTGCATAATTGTTAAGGTAATAGGAAGGTAATATTTCAAAATTTAATTTTTTTCTGAGGGTTGGTAACATTAACCCTCAAGGTGGATTTTTTATTTTTTTTATATATATTTCTTTTAAAAGCCCATTTGTAAGTCCGTTGGGTTCAAATGAAGGGCGGCTGAATTTGAACCCAGGACCTTTACTGTACAGTGTCAGCGCCTAACTGTACCGTTGTGGTTACTAACTCGCCCAAAATTCAACATGAACAAAGAGAGAAATGACATGTTATTGTTTATTATTCTTATTTGGGATTCGTGCTTCATTGAACTGCACAGCACGTACTTGCTCTTTGTTTCACGATTGGATTGGGAAGTCATTTTCGAGCTCCTCTGAGCTTCTTCTCAGCTGATGTCTCTGTGGTTTTTATCCATTTTCTTTTTCTCAGAAAAACGAACATAAAATTGGCAAATTGGGAAAGGAGGGAAAAGCCTTCCCAACCAAATGTAAAATAAAGAATGCAGGAAGCATGTGAAGTTCAGAAAAGCATGACTCTTGATATTATAGTAAAGACCAATCTTTAAAATGTATCCAATTTCACCCTCATATTACAAAAATTATACCAAAATAATACATTCTTTATACCTGAATAATTCTTTATACCATACAAAACTTACATTGAGAATAATTAAGTTTTGTGACGATTTCGATATTTCTGCAATCATTTGCTGAAAAAATGAACATCAAATTACATTACATTACTTACAGATTAAATTGATTTCCATTCCAGAACAATATCAAATATCCATGTAATATGTTTACCTGTGAATCATGATCTCTGATATTTGTTTCTGATGAGGAAGACCCCAATATAGGCTCACCTTGGACAGACTATTAACACAAAATAAACCAATGCAAATTATTATGATTAATTGATTGGTGTACAACAAGTCAAGGGTTTTTGATTATGTACATATTGCTCAGTCAGTGTTATTATAATTTGCATGGTTCTGACTGATCGGATCTTTTGTTTATATAAAAAACCTATTATGTTCTGGAATATGTTGGTCTGGTTTAAAAAAGTATTTTTGATTTTTGTAGGTTGAAATGAGGAGTTAGTGTCTGGGTGGATCAAAGTCACGATAGCTCAAGTGAAAGCAACAGATTTTGATTCTATTCTTGACTGTCTGTAATGCTTTCAATAAAATTGGGTGTTCGAGTAAAGACAGTACTATCACACAAAATATCTATATATAGACAGACAGAGATTATTATTATTATTTTTTTTACATGTGTGTACATTTTTTTTATAGAGACTTACAATTGGACACTTGAGATCTAAACTGATTGTTTTATAACCTATTTTTTAATTTGAAGTGTGCCTTTTAATAATTCATTTGTGTATTGATAACTCTAGGCTTTGAGTAGTTTATTTGCTCGCTCTTACTTTATCATGTACTACATCGGGTAATGATTCCTCAGATGTGATAGGAGCCATAACGTTAGTTCCTCGCTGGTAAGAACAAGAAAAAAAAAATTATAAGATTAAAAAGTTTTTAAAAACTTGTAATGTGTAATATACCTCCACCTCGAAAGCTGTTTCTGGAGGGGAAGCTTCCTTCTGCACAAAAATAGAAAAATACAATACCTATTGAATTTTTATGTTATACATTTACCTCTTCATCCATTAAGTTGAAACTGTCAATGCTATCTTCATCTGGTAGCTATGAAATGATCGGGGTTATACTGGTTATAATTTTAAGGGTGCCATCGAACAAAAAAGACTTTATACTCACTGTCTCTTCTGGCTCATTCTGTGGTAACACCTGTAAAAAAAGTGCAAATAAGGCAGATGAAATAAGTAATTCTTATCTAGTGTTTCTGACAAGTTGCCCAATTGTTATGTCGGTTAAATGTCAAAAGCTGAAAAGTTAAGTTAAATGATAAAAGCTTGAGAAAGCATGTGACATATACACTCTTGCAAATACTCTTTTTGTTTGAAAAGATTTTTGTCTGTCTATCCATGACTGCTTGGTTTGTTATGGGTCTTGAGTCTGACTGACCAAAAGAGCAAGGACAAGCAGAAAAAACTATACATTCATCGTATTTCACAGTGTTTGGCTACTTGAAATTAATGCTTTTTTTCCTCTGGCAAGTATTGAACCCCATTATATGAAGTATTTCACATTATTTGAACTAATGCAATTAGTATTAAATAATTTGTATTTGCCACTTAATTTATTGTTGGCCTATGCATTGGATTCATCTCCGCACTAAGGTGCTTATCTCTAAGCTTTCTGAATCGATAAATTTTCCTATGACTCTTGTAGTTTTTACCACATAAGGATTTTAATTAAAACTACCCTTATAAAACATGAATTTTGATTTACAAGTTTCTCTAACTCCTCTGAGTTGTAATATTTTCAAAGTTCATTGTGAATGATGATGTGACACTTACATCATCAGTAGCTGAGACGTAATATTCTTCTTCATCACTATCCTATTAATAACAACAAAAATCAATTAACGATAAAAAAAGGTAAAAATGAATTTTTTAAAATGTGAAATTTACTTACATTGCTGTCAAATTGCTCAGCTGCCTCAACTGGCAAGGGAACTTCTATCTAATAGAAATTAATTTGTGTTAATTTAAAAAATCAGTATGATTTATTATTAGAAATTAGTGTGAAATCAGGTCGTTCACTTTCAAAAAATGCCTTAAAAAGCTCTTCTTCTTGTGATCACAGCCTGTGGTTTACTAAAGTTTATACCAAGCGTACTGCTGGCAGTCATCACTAGTTTGTCTATGCTTCTGCCTTACAAACAGTAGTCAATGAGCAGCACCCTATTAATTAAGCAGGAGCTCTGGCTCAAACCTGATCTCGACACCTTGTTATAGCACACTGACACCTGATTTGGCTCACAACTGCCCCAAGCTTTACACCCTGTAACATCTACCAACAACGGCTTTTCCACAGACATCTGGCTCATCATCAACTTAATTGACATAAACCTAGGTAGAAAAGCTACGGGTTTTCAGTCAGAAATCATAGCTGGGACACAGTGCCAGGGAAATAAAAGACTTGGATATCCAACTCTCTGACAGTCAGGCACCAGCTCAAAGCAATATCCTGACCTTTGCCTGGGATGGTCAAAAGTGGAGACAAATCCCTCCGAACCCTAACCTTACAGTAACTTAGTAATTTTACTAATGACTTAGTAAACAAAAAATACATTAAAATTAGCTTAAGGAGTTAAAATCCAGGTTGATCAAAACCCCAGGCATGTGGCATGTGAAGAAATTCAGAGGGGCCACATACAAAACTCACAGAACTACTGGTCAGCAGCCCAAATAAGACCACGAGACTTCATATGCTCTGAATAGAAGTACTTGGCAGAAGAAACAGTGTGCAAAGATACCATTTGCCAAATCGGTGGAACAGGTTCTGGGTTACTGTATGGACCTATATAAATGTAAGTTTCTGCAGGTAGGTGAGGAAAAACCTACAAGCAGTCTTTTACACAAAACTATCAAGGCGTTGGAAATTAATAAACAGTTTAAAGCTGATTAGTGAGCTTTAAAATAAGAGAGGAACGCTTCTTGTGGAGGTGCAAGAGAGTTATGGATTGAAAAAACAGCTTACAGCTTCATAGTATCACAAATAGAGGAAAGAAACCACTTACTCCAACGGGCCCTGAGCAAAAAGTGGAGAGTTAAACCAAAGATAGTAAACTGTTATATGTTTTCAGACACACTATTTTAATTAAATTATATTTGGTTAAAAAATAACAAATATACAATACACAGACTAGTTATATCTGTATTAGCTAAGTTGAGAAGTTGAGGCCCTGATTGCATTCTTTGAGAGAAAGTGCATTTTCAAACAATAAACTTATCTAAGGAGAAATTTATTTATTTTTGTTACCTCTGGCGTTCGTCTCTCAGTCTGGATTAGCTGGACACTTCCACTGGTTGAAGAACAATAGCTTAACTAATTAACAAACAAATGTACAAAATTAACAACATGAAAACCATACAATTTGTACTGTAAGCAATGCATAAGTAATAACTATCGTCTATCATCTATGTTACAGTAACCTTGAAGAATTCTTTTTGCTTCCTTTAGCCTACGCTTTGTAGAAGATAATAATCAAATAAATCGCTTTTCAGTTTGAAAACGGATTCTTTCCCATAAATCCAGCTGCTTCTTGTAAAGATAATGATTTAAAAAGTTCCCCGTTGCATAATCAATGTAGCAGCTAATTTGAATCAGTCTGCACGAAATGGCAAATACTGCAGCCTTCTGCCAATATTTTCAATTGTATATGGAGCCGGCAATGCTCAGCTAATAGGCCTGAGTTTTATTCAGCCATGTTAGCCAGTCTGTTGTACGTTCTTTTTCAACAAAATCTGCCTCTCTGATCTAGGATGTTGTTTTCGCCAGTGTTGGTTAGGCTCCCTTTTTATGGCAGTTTGAAATTTTACAGAAGGCTCTGGTCCTGCTGAGCCTCCATGGCTGAAGGTAACTTCCTTGTGAACCTGACAAGATGCAATGAGGGATGGTTAACCATCCCTAACCAGATACAATTTGTGCTCTATTATTTTCCCAGTGCTCTGACCTTCATATACTTTACTTCGGATGCAGTGGATTATAGAAGATAATCATCAAATAAATCGTTTTTCAATTTGAAAAAAGATTCTTTCCCATAGATCCAGCTGCTTCTTGTAAAGATAATGATTTACAAGAATGATTTAATACTGTATATTAAAAAAAAGGTGCATATTGCATTAATTTGTCTTAAACATAATCAAAGCATATGAGAAAAAGCTAAAATGAGATAATATTGAATGATATTCTCTTACCTGTTGTGTTTCACTTGAACAGCTAGACAATTCATCAAGTTGAGATATTCTGCTGGCCACACCAGACACGCTTATCTGAATAACAAAAATATTGTAGTAGGTAGATGATGGGGTTTGGCCTGCGAGTTGGTGAAAATATCGTATATTAAAAAAAAATTATACTCCTTTTGTTCATAATTATAAACTAATCTTATGATTAAATCAGATTTTTGTTATGTTTAACCAGCCTGAATTATAATAGAGAATCTGCAGGCCTAAATAATAGGAATAGAAGGAACTAGGATCCACTTAGAATGGACTCTCAAAGCAAAACGAAAATTGAACAAACTCATGTGGAGCCAGTCATATGATTAAAGAGGGGTCAATACTATCAAATACTATGATCAATTAAGGTAAAACACAGCCATGTGACCACACTGGTCATTGACATCTGAGAAGACATCTACACAATATGGAAGATTCAGTATGTCACATTAATTGTCATCCGGTATGTCTCAATAGCGGAAGCCAATCCTTGATCCTATAATATGTTCCTTTATATTTTTAAAATTTTTGGGAACTGACTATTGGATAGAAAAGTAGTTTTACCATAAAATGATTTGGGAAATCTCTGGCTATCTTTGTGAATCACTGTTGCAAATGGATTGGAAAAATAGATCTTAGCTAAAGATAATTCCTAAGCCTTTAATAATGATCCTAATTTCCAGATGGCCATTCATTAAACAAAGATGGCTGAGAACCTTAAGAGACATGCTGTTGCTACTAAATCATCCAGATAGTGTGTGGTGGTTAGTGACCGTTAATCATTAATTATTTAGAAATCGTGAGATGCGGTCTGGTGTGATGTAGGGGGGCACTCTCTACACGACACGCAAGAATTGCACAATTACACAGAAGACAAACACTTTGAGCCCTGAAGATGATCTCAATAAAGATCGAAACGTTGGCACGATAAAGAAAATGTTTTTCTAAAACCTACATCACACCAGACCGCATCTCACGATTTCTGAATAATCATCCAGATAGTGTTAACAGTATTGAATGATGAAGAGAGAAGCAATCAGAGACTTGACAAGTTTGAACATTTTTACATCACCAGCATAAATATTCTCAATCTTTCAGAACCTCTCAAAGCCATTTATATAGAGATTGAAGATAAGTGGGCCTAAATGAGAACCTTGGGGCACACCTGATGTAGAAATAAACAAACTTGATTACAGTGACTTTAATTTAACAATTTAACGTATTTATTTTCAAGAGATGTGACAAAATCCACTAACTCAGGGTGCTTGTGAGTTTGCAATGAGATTATGAAAGTTTACTCTATCGGATTTATTGAAGTCGGTGTAAATAACATCTGCCTGAATACCCAATTTGAAGTTATCAAGTATGAAAGACTGGAATTTAAGAAAATACACACATATGAAAGGCCGTTTAACACTGACTTGTTTAAAAAAGGTAGATAAATAAAATGTTTTTGCTTACTTTAGGCGAATTTATAATATGCTGAGAACTTGTATCCCTGAATGAACTCTGAAACATAAATAAAACATAGTGGGAAATTGCAAAACCAATAAAAAAATACAACCCTCAGATAAAATAAACATACAACAAACAATTAAATCAATTGTATATTAATAATTGACTGTAAACAAATACATAATGAATAATAACAACTCTCACCTTAGGCTCTTGTCTAATAATCATTTGCTGTGAATCCGCCTGTCAGAAAAACAAGTATAACTATGTATAATTAAGTACTATTGTATTAGATAATAAAATATTTTAGAGGTGTGAATTCTTGCCATGGAGAATCATGAACAAAATTGCACTTACTGGTCTGATTATTACTTGCTGCGAATTGCTGTAGATCTGACAAAGAAATGCCCAATTATTAAGGCAAAGAATCAAAGATCAGACTTATTTATTACAATATTTAAACAATTTAAAAATGATATAAATATTTAGCAAGACCTTTTATCGGACACACTTACTTTGCTGCTTTTCTTGACCTTATGATCAACCTGCCAAGCAGATATTTATTTATCTTTATTTATTTGATAAATTTAAGTATCAAGGAATAAAATTAAACATAGAGTTAATTTGATCATAGTGTATGTGTTTTTTCTTAAGGATTATTTTGAAAACTGTACAAAATAACAGTATTTATTATAGAAGAACCACTTGGGTCTAGGTTTCCTTATATGGTCCTTATATCTCGCCTATGGTCTGGAGATTAGCTATGCTTGGTTTGTGAACTAGTTTATACAGTTTTTTTCTAATTTAAAATTATTATTTATATGTATTATTTAGTAAAATTTAATGTTTACCTGCCCAACAGCCTCCCTGTGGTTTGCAGATTTTTTCGGAGCTTTCTAAAAATTAACAATTAAAAAATACATAAGTACAAAATGTTATACTTAAATGTAAAACTTTACTAACGTCGATTTGGCCTGAAAACTCCCCCAGAGGTGGCTTTTCATCTGCCGATTCCTGTCAGATAGAGGATAATAATAAATAGTAAATTTCAATAGACATCATCATATAATTTTTTATGTAATGGAGACAATGAAAGCATGATTCAATGAATCTTCATCGCCATGCACCATTATTATTGTTCAACTGATAAATTCTTTACAATTGTTAACTGTTGAAATTTACAAAACCTAGTACTTACAGGGTCGACGTAGTAGAAATCACCTGCATTAACTGTGTCCTCATGATCATATGGCAAAATGTTAAGTTGCTTCAAAAAAATAAATAAATATATAAAAATAAAACAACACAACACACAAAATGTACAAGTTAAACAGGAAACATTCAAATAAGAAATTGACACGTTTCAAGTCATGTTTCAACTAGAAATTAGTGAGTCATAACTTGAACGGCAAGTCTGGACAACCAAAGTTTGACTGTTCACTACTTTTTAGTTGAACTCTGTTGAATTGAAGATTCTCACGACAGATTTCATTTAACTTTAGTTAAACAATGGCGCTTTAGTAAGGTGCTTGAATGTATTCAAATCCCACATGACAAATCAGTTTTACAAGTTTAACATAGAGTGTATTTTGTGATTACTCACCATTTATTTTTCACGTTTTTGTATAATTATATAATATATTAACTATAATACATAATTCTTACATTCAGTAGTTCGCCGTTATTGTAATGTTCAAAATCATTTGGATTAGTGTCTCCTTCAGACCCAAAAGGAGGAAACTGTTGCTACAAAAGAAAAAAAAAAGGATGTTTCATTTTTATTAAAACCTTATAAAAGCTGTGTGTGGTGATTAGTGACCGTTAATCGATATTTATTTAGAAATCGTGAGATGCGGTCTGGTGTGATATAGGTCTCAGAAAAATATTTTCTTTATCGTGCCAACGTTTCTATCTTTATTGAGATCATCTTCAGGGCCTGGGATTTACAAACATTGTTTACATATTACAATTACAATTTGAATATATAAAATATATTTTGCATTGTATAAATTCACTTTTCTACATCCAAAATGTAATTGTAATATGTAAACAACGTTTGTAAATCCCAGGCCCTGAAGATGATCTCAATAAAGATCGGAACGTTGGTACGATAAAGAAAATGTTTTTCTGAAACCTACATTACACCAGACCGCATCTCATGATTTCTAAATAAATACTTATAAAAGCTTACAGAAAATATGCGAAAANTTTAAGTTTTTTTAGTAATGTATCAGGTGTATGTTAAAAGGATGAGTTCTCAGATCTGGTCTTTGTTTTGTATTTTTTATATGAATGATGGGAAAAACTGAAAAATGTCAAGAGTGTAAAACTACCCTTGGTGTATCTTTGTGGGATATGAACCTGTAATGAGGCCGTTTATGATCATTTTGGTTACTCTATCCTTGCTGGTTTGGTCTGTCAGACACATTTCAACATGTGTGATAGGCTTTTGAAAATGACTTTTTGTACAGGATGAAAATTTAAAAAAATTATCCACGCTTGGAAAAGCTTTCTTATCTATCATAAAAGAGATTTTCCTTTGGAAACACTTTAGGTAAATTTCCCACCATCAGTCAAGTACTAAACAATCAAATCAAATTTCATTTAGATAGAATTATTAATTAATTATCTGGAAAAATCATTTGCCCTCTAAACAACTTACATGACTTGATGATCTCTCCAGTTCAATGTTTTTCACTTCATACCCAGAAATAATTTCAGTCTGAAAATTTTTTTGAAAAAATTAACGTGATTTGGCTTTTTAAGTATACAAAGAAATTGTTTTGATGATAAAATGTATGGCAAAAATTTGTATTTAAATCACAAAAAGGCAATTATTTTGATGAACTTCATCAGATAAAATGATTGAAAAAATAAGACAGAATCCAGGAGTTATCTGATGGTAATTGATGTAAATACATTTCCAACTTACCAAATTTGGTGAATTTATTAGTAAAGCTTTGTTCTGGCCGTAATCACCTTTTGAAAATTCTTGATATCCCATTTTAACCTTTAACAAAAATAAACAAAAAAATTACTCAATGTTTGTTTTTTACTGACTTATCGTTATAATTTGGAGCACAACATTATGACACCACAAGAATAATACCAAGCTTTATAGCCTGAAGATGACACAAATAAAGGTTGAAATATCGGCCAGAAAATGAAAAAGGTGTTTTTCTAACATACTTTATTCCTGACCGCTCCTCATTACTTCAACAAAATATACTCAATATTAAAATAATATACTTCTTTTGTTATATACCAGGTCATAAAATGTCGGCCGCAGATCTGATTCCATGTTCACTAGCTTGTCTTCTTCTTGAGGGTACTCCATATCCTAAATAAGAATTTTTTAAAAAATAATATCAAATCAAGGTAACTATGACATTATTATTAAAAATTATTATATCCCTCTAGTGTGCTTACAGGCTGTAAGATTCCTTGCTTTTTGATGTAGCAATTGCCATCTTGTAGATCAACAACACTCACTAATTGAGTTCCATTACCAACCTAAAACACCAATCAGTAAAATCAGATCATTACGTTAAATCCACCGTCCTATATGACAAAATGTAGTAGGGTTTTGGTTAAATGCGTTAGGGACTCAAATTATCTGGCTGTTCAAAGTCCCAGAAATTTCTGTGGCATAGAAAGGATAAAGGATGAAGGTCTAAAACCAACTACAAACATAATTGAAGGTTTAATTTCAATAATGAAATGAGGCAGGTGCAGAGTATCAGCTAGAAGAAGTCTGTTCTGTCTGAGTTACCAATGTCTGGTGACCCTTGACTAGTCAACCCCATTAACAACATAAATAAACTGAAGTTTTGCACTCAAGGCAGATGTCTTACAAAATTTGTCTAGATCTACTTCGAATACTAAATTAAATTATGGAAAACCAAAAGAAGGGCTTTGTATATTTCTCATAGTGTATAAGAAAACTAAATGTATTGCTATTAACAAAGCAACTTCCCTAAATAATATTTAAAAAAAATAAAAATAACATACGAGTGATTCACTCCTGATGTAAGCATCAGCTCCAGCAGTAATGGCATTACTAATTTCAAATGCCGAATCCATCTGAAACAGGACAATTGTTTATTGTAAAAAAAGGTAAGTGTGACCATTTTTACATCATCAATTTCGCGTCAATGGGGAGTGCGGGTTAGGTTATGTTATCCTAGGTTAGGTCGGATAGGGTTATGGTTTTGGACTTACAAGTGTGCCTTGAAAGAAGCTCAAATCCTCATCAACAACAACGACTCGGCGAGCTGCAACTTGAAGCATACCAGTCTAAAAAAATAACCCATTTCAACAAATAACGAATAAATTGGTGATTTAAAAATTTGCTAAAAAGAAACAAAGGTACTAATTTAAAAAAACTTATTTTTATAATTTTGTAATTACCTGCATAGACAATCCATCAGCAATCAGAATCATGTTGTGCTGACAACCAGTTTCTGCCTTAAATTGAATTGGTTAATGATAATTAAATATAAATAATATATATAATATTAAATATAAATAAAGTGACATAAATCAATCCTGACTCTCTTAATAAAACTAAGTGATATATTAGCTGCAAAAATTACCATACCCACATAGCTCTGCCCAATACAATTTTTAACCAGTAGTAGTTAAAAAAAGAAAGAAAAAAAAAATATATATATATGTGTATTACTAGCAAGGAAAAAGTTAATATTTGTTTTCTGCAACCCCCCCCCAAAAAAAAAAAAAAAATTAAGTTGACACCTCCCCCCTCAAAAAAATAATAATATATGGAGAACATGAGAATGGCCCAGGTAAACATCCATCATGCAAACGCTGTGTCGGCAGTAACAGCTAGGATGCTCACCACACAACACCTATGGATAATTCTCATTTAGGAATCCTGGCAATGGAACGGATAAATCAGAGGTTTGTCCTACAAAGACGGTAGGGTTGTATGGGATTCCCGACAGAAAAATTCCAGTGCATTTTTATTAATTAGGACAAAATACTAATTATCTCTAGCTTGCGGAATTCATGTCCACAGACCTAGTCCCCATTAAAATAGAGATAACAACCGATGGGAAAAAACTGGAGTCAGTGGCAGGCATCGACCTACTTCCTAGGAAAGGAGGACCACCCTCCCCTCCCCAGAAGAACTGCGGAGACTGGCTGACTACTGCAGCAAGAAGAATGCTCCCCCTACTCGTAGGATGTGATGCCAACATACACCATCAAGTCTGGGGAAGCAACAACAACAAACGTGGTGAGTCACTCTTAGAACTATGGTGAAGGAAAGATTAGAAATTCTTAACATAGAGTCAACACCCACCTTTGACACCAAAGTGAGACAAGAAGTATTGGATATTACCATTTGCAGCTATGCCCTACACAATGTCATAAAGAATTAGAGGGTTTCTAACAAAGAATTAATGTTAGGCCAAAGAATAATAAGGTTTGACACTGAATCAGATAGGATAGACCCTACACCATAGAAACCCTTGAAACACTGACTGAGAAAGGTTCACTGAAATGATACAACACAACTTGGACCATGCAACTGTGAAGAAAATAACAAAAACCTGCAAAGAGTTAAAACTTGCAGTCACAGAACTCACAGGATTTATAATTGATGCATATAAATCAAGCTGCCCTGTGAAGGAACTCAAAAGAAGACAAGAACCACCATGGTCGAATAGAGAACTGGGTAAATTAAGAGTCAAAATCAATAAAGCAAAAATAACAAGCAACTGGGGAGAGTATAAAAGGTTACTCACCTTATACAATCATACCGTCTGCAGGACTATTGCACTTCTACAGAGAACTTTTGAAAATTCTACAGAGAAATCTCCTCAGTATCAACAGCAGCTAGACCACATAAAGCACTAGCAAAGGACAAAATAGATATAAACACTGCCCTGAAGAAAGTAAATGGCAGCTACACAGAAGATGCCAAACAAAAAGCAATGCTTCTTCTAAGTACACATTTTCCAGGCAGCACTTATGACTCACCCCTGGAAAATATGAGAATACATAAACAGATAAAAGAAAACAGCTGTAATATGCACAGAGAAAAAGATCATCTGAGCAATCCATTCTTTCAGCCTATATAAAGAGCCAGGAATGGATGGGATTCTACCTGTCCTGCAACAAAAAGAAACAAGAATAATAATTCCAACACAGATGCGGATATATAGAAGGAGCCTAGCATTAAGCTTTAAACTACAGACATGGCATATGGCAAAAATGGTGTTCATACCAAACATAGGGAAAAGAGACCCTACACTACCCAAATCCTACAGACCAATCAGCCTAACATTCTTTCTACTGAAAGCACTTGAAAAGCTGATAGACAAACCACTTAATCAATGTCAACATGCATAAAAGAAGGATGATAAACAGCAACTGCTCTGTATCAGTTAACCAGTGGCCTCAGGAAAAAACTAGAAGTAAAGGAAATAGCAATCTGCACATTCCTCGACCTTGAAGGAGCCTTTGACAATGCATCCCATGCATCCATGAAGGCCACCCTAGAGAATAAACATGTAGACCATACTGCATCTAGATGGATTGGAGAAATGTTGAGAACCAGGACACCAAAACTACTTACATCACATGCCTATTTTTCTCAAGCACTATATTATTTTGTATTTTTGAATTGAATGTACAACTATTTTGAACTTACCAAGCTAATATGTGTGATTTGTTGTGAACTCTCTTCCTTGGCGTCATTCAAACCCTTGAAACATTACAAAACAAATTGAAAGTAATGGTTTATGATCTTATTATATTTATGGAATTAAAAAAAAAATTAAAATAAACCTACAGACACGAGTTTAAATATAATAAGAATTCACTAGTTTCGTGTCTGCTTGACCAATTAATATTGTACAATTAATTAAGGTTTTCAGTTGAGATAAAAAAGTCAATGGAGGGAAAATTCAAAAGGTATGGTTGAGATGGGAAGTTGGTGTCCAAGTGGATCGAGGTCACGATAGCTCAAGTGGTAGAGCAGCGGCTTATCAAGCCGAAGATCGTGTGTTCGAATCCTGCTAGTGCCATTAACTTTTTTATCTCAACTGAAAACCTTAATTAATTGTACAATAAGAATTTTTTTATGGTTTTAACAACATCAGTTTTTTTACCTCGAAACTATCTTCGAACATTTTGTGATTGGTTAGTTTATTTTTCTTCTTTTGTTTCTGCTTAGAAGTGTTCAGGTACTGGCCGACTCGTGAAACTTTAACAGACTATTTTAAACAGAATTTTATCAATAAATAAATATTTATAAGGATTGAAGATTAATAAGTATTTCAAAAGAAATAAGTGTGATTTTTCTAGTTGTTTTATATTTTAGTATGTACCAATTAATGAGTGAGTGAATAAGAGGATGAAATTGTACCATCCGTGTTTGGATAGGACCGAGGGTTAAACATGAAACCAGTCTAGTTTCAAACAATGATGAAATAAATACTTACCGGTGATTTTTTCTTATGTCCATTTATGTCTGGAGATGAGGAGATAGATTTTACTATCATCTGTTGCCCCGCATTGTAGCTGATGGTCTGATTTGACTCTACATCCTGAGGGGTGATGTATTGTGATCCAAACAGTGCTGTTTGGTCACTCTGTAAATGCATTTTTTCTCTGCTCATTTTAAACAAATATGTACATTTTTTATCACCCTTATTTTTGTTCAATAGGCAATATCTATTGTATCATTGTTTTACTGGCCAAAAGTTACACAAAACAAAAATACAAAGAACATTTCCCAAAAATAGTTTAGTACAAATAATATAATTTATCACTAGGTATTACCGCTTCAGATGTTGCTGAATCCACAGGGAATGGCCTATGTGGAGCCATAATATTCTGCCCTGAGCCATTTATTACATCCTCAAACTGAAACTGAAAAAATAAATAAATGAAATGAAATAAAACATACAGCAAAATTATCAAATACTCAGAATTATGTTAAATAAATGATCGATTTTTTAAGATTAATTATATTATTCACTGGGTGACAATATAAAAAAAATTTCCTTGGTAATAAGAAGTTTTGTAATTCCAAAAAATACGTATTTCTTTATTTCTAATGTGCAACTGTGACTTGTGACAAATGACAGGAACTTGTCATGCTGACTGTATCCTGTTCCGAACTTTTTTGGGATTTGCTGCTGAAGAAAACCTACGGATAGTACACTTTGGTCCATTCAGGATAATAACTTAAAAATCCATGTTGCCTAAGCTGAAATTGCAAATTTGATTTAACAAAAAAAAAACACTAAGAACTAAAGAACACCCAATGTTGAAGCCGGTTTCTAACCAGAACATTAAAAATGACCAAATCATTCATTCTTGAGCTCCGATGTTAATACTAAAGATGACGAAAATTAAATGACCAAACTGCAGGTACAATTAAGAGACATATATTAAAGAAAAGTTAGATTGATTAAAATCGCTTGTGTACCTTCGGCGCAACTGATATGTGCTGATTGTCCATGTCTCCAGGTTTGGTGGCAAACAACCCTCTTGTAATGTTAGCCCCCTCTTCCAGGCTCTCCGAGACTTCTGGGATCGGCGGGGGCGACCAGGATCTTCGGCCCTCCTTCCCGGCAGAATGAGACCTTCCTCCGAATACTGATTTTATCCCCCTTGAAGACCGATCTGACTGGCCCGAGGGCAGGGACCGTGACCGGAATTTTGGCGACTTGCGAGGGGAGGTTTTGTCTTTGGCCTTGGCAGATGGAACTATGACCCTTTGAGGGGAGGATTCATGTGGAGAAGTTTTCGTCGGCACATAAACATTTTGATTATACACCTGAAAGTGTCAGAGAGGCAAAGTTTGTAGTTAATACTTATAAGCACTAGTTATTACGCACCGAATCGTTCAACAGTCGCTGACTTGATGCCAGTGAAGCCATCTATTAAAAATTATACACAATTTAGTTATTTCAAAATGGTGTAGCATTGTAAATTTAGACAGAAGCAACCTCCAATTGATGAAAGGATGTATTTTTTACGCACCGATTCTTTTACTAGACGTTGACTTGATGCTTGAGATTTCAACTGTAAAAAATAAAAGAATATGTGTTATATATACATTATTTATATATTACATTATTTATTACACATACAATATTTGCATATGTGTTTATACAGGCATAAAATGTAAAATAATAATGTGAAATTTTTCCAATAAGGGGTTTCATTTAAAAAGTTCTGAAAAACAAAATGCTAGGTTTTTGGTATCCTACAACATTAATAATGCAGATATAATTCTTTTTTTGTATTGGGTGTGAGAATTATAAGTGATAATACTGAATTTGGAGAATTCAGTAGAGAATTTTTTTAAATGTTTTATGTTAGTTGAAACCAATTTTTTACAAACAAGAAAAAAAAAAATCATTTGTGGTATCTTACTACAGATCTGTACTACAGAGAAGTTCACTGTAATAATTTACATACCAATTCGGCTGGTGTTTGTCTTGATATTGGCTCAAATCTTTGCTATAAACAAAACAAAAAGATAATATTGTATAAAGAGTATTTGGTATATGCTAAACAAAAAATAATAATAAAAAATTGATATTGTAAAACACCAAATAGAAATTGATCGACTCAAGTGGATGAGAAAGAGAAGGCTCAGCAACTTGGAATAAAATTGTGGAGTATTTCAGAGGGGATGATGAACTTGAGAAAGAAATGGAATGGTCGTTTAAAAATGATAAAAAGAATACAAGGTGAGTAGATTCCGAGATGGATAAATATCAAAAACTTACAGCTGTAAGGTAGCTGTGAAGAAAAATAAAAATTCACTAATTTCATGGTCCGCTTGACCAATTAATATATTACAATTAATTAAGGTTTTTAGTTGAGATAATATGAAAAATGGCAAAAAGGAGGGAAACTTCAAAAGGTGCGGTTGAGATGGGAAGTTGGTGTCCGAGTGGATCAAGGTCACAATAGCCCAAGTGGTAGAGCAGCGGCGTATCAAGACGAAGATCGTGGATTCGAATCCCGCTCGTGCCATTGACTTTTTTATCTCAACTAAAAACCTTAATTAATTGTAAAAATAAAAAAGTTGATCTCAGTGAAGTCAGAATGTGTCTGGAGTTTCACGGAATCACCTCCGCCTACCATTCCCAACGACACAAAAGAACAGGAATTTTGTAGAATATTACAACTTACCCCTTCTACTGATGTTTGACTATGTTTTGGTCTATATTCAGCCTGTAAACAATAAATAAAAACAGGAAAAGTTAAATTACATAATTATATTTTTCAAATAGACACAGAACTTTGAGGAAATAAATTTCCATTGTTGGTCTTCTTTGAATTACATTACACTGATAACCTATTCTGTAAGAAATTAGTACTATTTTGTAATTTGCAAACCAATTCTGCTGGTGTTCGGCTACGTTTTGGCTCAGCATATAGACATTATTATTATAAAGCACTGTATCTTTCATAAACATAAATTGAAAATAATTAGTGCAACAGGTTGCCTCTCAGGAAATGCACTCTCACAAATTATTTTAATTAAATTAGTAGTTCTTATTAATTAATTACCAATTCCCCTTGGGTTCGACTATGCTTTGGATGATGAATAGACTAAAAACAACATTAAAAAAAATAAAATAAAATAAAATAAAATCATGAAAAGCAGTACCTTAGTATTAGTAGGATTTTGTTTTCACTTACCAATTCCCCTGGCGTTCGACTACGCTTTCGATCGCGTAAAGACTAAAAACAATATTTAAAAAAAAAAAACACGTGAAAAGTAGTAGCTTAGTGTTAGCAGGAGTTTGTTTTCGCTTACCAATTCCCCTGGGGAACGACTATGCTTTGGACCATATGTAAACTAAAAACAATTAAAACAATTAAAAAACATAAAAAGCAGTAGCTTAGAGTTAGCAGGATTTTGTTTTTTACTTACCAATTCCCCTGAGGTTCGACTATGCTTTGGATGATGAATAGACTAAAAACAACATTAAAAAAATAAAATAAAATCATGAAAAGCAGTACCTTAGTATTAGTAGGATTTTGTTTTCACTTACCAATTCCCCTGGCGTTCGACTATGCTTTCGATCACGTAAAGACTGAAAACAATATTTAAAAAAAAAAAAAAAACACGTGAAAAGTAGTAGCTTAGTGTTAGCAGGAGTTTGTTTTTCGCTTACCAATTCCCCTGGGGAACGACTTTGCTTTGGACCATATGTAAACTAAAAACAATTAAAACAATTAAAAAACATGAAAAGCAGTTGGTTAGTGTTAGTAGGATCTTTTTGTGCACTTACAGACTCCACTGGGATTTGACTATGCATTGGATCATATATCACCTATAAAAAAACATGAAAAGCAGTAGCCGAGTGTTAATAGGATTTCATTTTTCACTTACCAAATCTGCTGGGCTTCGACTATGCTTTGGACCATATGTAGACTTAAAAAAGAAAAAAACCATGAAAAGAATTAAATGAGTGTTAGTAGAATTTTGTTTTTCACTTACCGATTCCCCTGGGGTTCGACTATGCTTTGGACCATATGTAAACTAAAAACAATATACAAGAACATGAAAAGCAGTTGGTTAATGTTAGTAGGATCTTTTTATGCACTTACAGACTCCACTGGGATTTGACTATGCATTGGATCATATATCACCTATAAAAAAACATGAAAAGCAGTAGCCTAGTGTTAATAGGATTTCATTTTTCACTTACCAAATCTGCTGGGCTTCGACTATGCTTTGGACCAGGTGTAGACTAAAAAAAGAAAAAAACACCATGAAAAGAATTAAATGAGTGTTAGTAGAATTTTGTTTTTCACTTACCGATTCCCCTATGGTTCGACTATATCTTGAATCGCATGCAGACTACAAAGAATAAAAAAAGAAAAGAAAAGTAGTAGCACAGTATTAGTAGTATCTTGTTATTCACTTACCGAATCTCCAGTTGTTAGACTATATTTTGGTGTAAATGCAGCCTACAAACAATAAAAAATGTATATTGTACAAAATATATTATTTACTTATTGGCCAAATACACAAAAATAACAAAAAGCTATAAAAATATAAAATTAATAATTCTAGTTTTAAAAATGTGTCCTCATTTCTTGGTTATTTGTTGTTTTATTAAATTTCGGGAGAGAAGCTTAATATTCCTCTCTATTGTATAAAGTTGAAATGCTCCTTAGAAATGGGGGGTCTTAAATCCTTCCAAAGCAACAATAATGCCAAGAAAAAGAAACTAAACATACAGCTTGAATCATACAGCATAATCACTGGTTGTCCATTTAGAGTGCAGAAGCATTGTATAAGTATTGGCATTGAGTGGAAACTTTAGTAAGCCACTGGCAATTGCCAAAACAACAATTACTGGGCACATATAAAGGCAAGTAAAGACTTCTCACATCACAACCCAATCAGAGAACAAACAATTAAAAGAACAATGAAAAGTAGTAGTAGCTTAGTATTAGTAGTATTTTGTTATTTACATACTGGTTCTGCTGGTGTTCGACTAAGTTTTGGCTTAATTGCAATCTATAAACAACGAATAAAACAACAATAGTATCTTAGTATTAGTAGATCTTGTTATTTACATACCGATTCTGCTGGTGTTTGACTAAGTTTTGGCGAAATTGCACCCTATAAACAACAAATAAAACAACAATTAATAGATCTTGTTATTTATATATAAATTCTGCTGGTGTTCGACTACGTTTTGCTTCAATTCCAGCCTTAAAACAATGAATAAAATGAAAAGATATAATATAAATTTTTGTTTTCAAATACAAAAAAGTATCTGTTATACAACCCTAAATGAACCAAATTTCAACTCTACACTGGTTTTCATTATATATACATAATTGTAAAATAATTGTACCACAATATTTTACTATTACATCATTCTATATGGATTTTAGTAGTATTTGGTACTTTTACATACCAATACTCCTAATATTTATTAGTATTTTATATATACAGGGTGAATTGCTACTCGTGCTACAAACTTCTCCAGTAGATTCTTCACCCTAAAATGAACAAAAAAGTTCATATTGTCCATGGTCCGATTCTCAACCATTTCAGAGTAATTTCGCTTTTTATCGATTTTGAAAGATATCACGTCCTGGCGTCGGAAAATCGTGATATCTTTTAATCTAAACATTTCTCTGAAAAT